ATTCATTTAACTTAGAGTCAGCTATAAGAGTTACAGGGAGTATTATGAGTTTAAAAAAATGTTTTCACTCATGTAAAAAATTCCATTTCCTGTTGACCTTTTTGCCCAGACAAACTAGTTACTGGGGAAATGACTGAATTAGAAGCTTTCTTTTTTGTTGTTCATTTAATCAGTCTTCATAAAGAGCAGGCAGTGCTGTTGCCATTTGTAGGCAACTTAATGTATGAAAGAAAAGAGCCTGTCCCATGTTAGTGTTGATTGTACTTAGCTTCATTTATTTTTATTGCCTCAGTGTTGCATCTGCTGTTGGAAAAATCCTTCTCTACATTAAATGGTGCAGTTGGTGAGCACAGAAGTTGGCATTAGCATTAGAAGCTTATTTCCCAGTTATACCAAGGTAAAGGATGGCTTGCTGGAGTTCTAGTGCATTGAAATGTTGAAATGTTGGACCGTATAAGAAACTTGCTGATTGGCACTGCTTAGCTGCAGTGTTTTACACAGTGTAATCCAGTGTAGAACCAGTGTAGAAGATCAACTGATGTTATTTAGCAACCTTCTTCATTCAAGCATAGTGCTAGTTGTGCTGGTCAAATGGAAAAACCACAACTGACACTTCTGGGTGTGCTTTTATTGCTGTACCTGTTGGCACGCATTGTAGTAGAGCTTGTATCTGGCAGTGTTTCATTTTAAAGAGCTCTGATGACTATTACTGTGCTCTGAGAATTGTGTACAAATGGAAGCCTAAGGGTTGTTTAAAAAAAAAAAAAAATAAGGAAGGAACTAGAAAATGTTTTCACTTTGTGGTGCTCTGAGCTGCAGCTTATTTAATAGGCTTAAAGCAGTTTTTTTTCATTAGTGCAGACGAATGATTGTTCCTTGAAGTTTTACGGGTTTTCATTGCAATACATTGAGTTTAGAAGCTTAAGCTCAGGCCCTATGTATCTGTGACTTGCTTCACAATTTTCAGATAAAGGGCTTTGAAATTTGTTTTTCCTTCCAGGTTTGCATATATCCTCACAGTGCCACATCATTAGACTGCCTGTTAAAGCTTGGGTTGTGTCAGCTTATTGCCCTGAGGGCAGATGGTTAATTTAAGTGGGGGTTTTGCTTCTGGGAATTTTGAACCTTGATGAAACATCTTTCAAAATTTTCAAACATGTAGTTTCTATATATGAATTGTTATTCAAATAAGATGCACAAATCTGTCTTGCACAGAAGTTACACAAGTTTCTGGAAATAAAAGGAGTGCTTAGGATTATGACTTAATAAGCTGTACGATTTCCAGAACCAATATTTTCTTTTCTTTATAATGACTGTGGAGTTCTGGAAGGTGTTTTATTACCACCTATGTCTCTTCTTCTACATTTACTGCTGTTGTACAAATGAAAAGCTTCCCTCTGTCTTCCTTGCTGATCTCCCAGGACACGTCTGCAGGTGTGTGTGGAGAGAGGAGGTTGGGAAAAGATATCAAACTCATTGTTGATCACAGTGTCCTTGTGATGTATTGTCAGAATGTTGATTTGTAAGCTGTGTCTTAAAAGTGTGGTACATCTTCAACAGCACCACTAAAAATAATTTGGAGCTGCTGTCTGATATACAGCCTACAGCTACTGGTAATCTGGAAACAGTGATGAAGAGAATGTATTGCACAGGCTTCGCTGCTTTTGCTGATAATAAGGCTTTTGAGTATTAAAGATGCTTTGTGGCCTGACAAAATTCCACTTCTTTCTTCTGTGGAGAAAATGAAATGGCCAAAAATTTGTAGAGAATTGAGGTTGCTGTTCAGTGATTGATTGCTCTCCAGCCTATTTCCAGCCTGTGCTGTGTGGTAATGCACATTTTTGAGGCTGTAGTATGTACTGTCTCAAGGTTGGTCTGGCATTAAACAATAAGGTCAGTTTGTATTCTGCTGTTAATTAAGTTTACCACATCTATCATGAGAAAAGAGAATAGTTGAAAAGGGAAATGGAAAGAAACCCACCAAACTCAAATGTCAGAATAAAGGGTAGCAGTTGACCTTGAAACAGTTCAAATGCAGATGCTGGTTTACATCATGCACAGGAAGTAGCTGGTGCCCTTAATATCTGTTTTTCTTATAAAATTAAAATACCAAAGCAATGTAAAAATTTTTTTTGTTTTGTAATCCATCATGCTTCAATGTGGGAAAATATAAGATGGCTTTGAATCAAGCAGGCTACTCTTCAGAAATGTATTTATTTAGCTGTGTAAGAGGGAGGCATGCTTTTATCTGTTTTGTCACAGGTAACATTTAATTACACTATAAGTTTGCTTTCTTAAAAGTGCTTCAGTAAAGCTGAGATTTCTGGTGGCTTTCAGCCACATGCTGCATGCAATGGCCACTCATCACTGCTAACATAGGAAAACAGAAACCTGGGCCAGATTCAAAGTTCGAAAGCTGTTTTTAACTTTGGTTTCTAATGTATCTGTGAAAGCTTATGTATCTTCACTTGGAGCAAGACAATTGAGTATGGTCACCTTTTTCTTGGGATGATTACTTACTCCTAGCTCTTATGTCTGTATTTGTGTTCATTTCTGAAATGGTAGTATGCTTATATGGTTTATAATAGAGATGTATTTCTTAATGCTTCTTATGTAGACTCAGTTGCTAAATGACCTTGTTTGCTCTCTTTTTCCTCCAAGCGATGTTGAGTTCATGCTATTGCCTGAGAGGAAATTTCTAGATTTTGAACTCAAGTGAGCCTATTATCGTGTAAACTGTTTTCTACTACTGCATACCAGTAGTTATCTCATTTTGTTATCAAAGCCAATTCTTTTAATAACTCAATGTATAACCAATTGGCTGGCTGGGGTTTGAGGTGGAAGGGAGCAGAATTAAAGTCTGCTGCAGGTAATGGTCAAATGGTATTGCAGCTCTTGCTTTTTGTCAGTTGACTGTATGTTTAGAAAGCAAGAGCTAATGGCAATGTTTACCTCATATGGAGGAGTTACAGTGGTAATGCAAATGGAGCTGTTGTGTGCACTGCAGCTCAGTAGTAACTTTTCACTCTTATTAACATCTGTGTCCTGTTTTTGCCATCTATGTATTTACTTTCTTTTGTATCTTCCTTGCCAGTTTTTCTTCTGCCGCAAGTCTTCATTGATAGCTTTGCAAAGGCATTATTGTTTAAAGATGAGGAGATTAATTTAAACCTTAAGCTTGAAGTAGATTTAGGCTCCAGCTATTATTGAAAAGGAGCAAGCAGACATTTAATATTTTCTTCTCTTTTCTTTCATCCAGAATACTTTCTAAAGCAATCCTCAGTCAGCTTCCTTAGTTTTTCTTGATCAAATACCATTGAGTTTCTTACAACAGTTTACCACTGAGTTTCTTACAACAGTTTACTATCAACAGCTAGAGATGAGTCTCAGCTGTGTCAACACTATTTTAGTTTTGGAATACTAATTGAATCCTTTTAATGATTCATGTTCTATTTCAAGGAGAACTTGCTCATGCCAAGAATATCAAAGCAGTTCCTTCAACAGGAAAAACGTCAAATAGATCCTTTTTTTCCTCATGCATGGGTATTATCATGGCTGTTAACTAAGCAAAGTGCATGTATGTGATTATGGCCAAGTTTCTGTTTGTTACTCTGCCATAGATGCTATTGCCTTGTCCTCTCTAGCCTTAGCTATGTTGTAGTTGCCAAAATAGCATCTTATTTTAAATTGTCCTTACAAGCCTGTGAAACAGCAAGCATGTGGCTAAAATAACCTGTATGAATTACAGGGAAGTTACAGCTATAAATACATGAATATTTTTAAAAAGCCATAGTACTGTTCAGCACACTGAACAGTAGGAATATAAGTGATTCCTAAGGCAAAGCCAACGATGGCTGAGGACAGCATATGCTGTTACTTCCAGCCCATTCAGTTTGGATATTAGTGAGCAGTAGTTCTTGCCCATCTTCTGGTTTGATTTTTTTCAACGTGTTTGAGCTCTGAAACTGATAAATGTGCATTCTGTACCCACCTACTTGAGATGATCTGTTCACCTTTGTAGCTTAAGCCAATAGTTTAGAAACCTTGAAATTATTCTATATCTGAACAGCTTTCTTAATTCTGTATGTTGCAATTTCATCTTGATTGCTGTTAATAGGTGTACATCTAAGATAAGTAGTTCTGTGCATAGTAAACATAAGGATAGGTTTGCTTCAGGCTTGTAGACCACAATGTCCTTTCTTGGAAAATGTTGAAGAGAAAAAGAAAGGGGATGATGACTTAAGGAAAAATTGTGAAAGGGAAATAGAAGCAGGAACGGGGAGAAGGAAGGTTATGAAAAAGGAGGACATTAGGAATGAAAAGAAGAAAAAGAAGGAAAAAATCCGGAGAAAAAGAGTGAGAAAATATAATGAAGATAATAAAAGCAAATAATCAGATGGAAGAGATGCATCAGCTTTATATGTGTTGTCACTGTATCTGAATGCAGTTTAGATATAATAATGATAGTGAATTCTGTTTTTCTGATACTTGCTTGAGTTGAAGGGGTCTTGGGAGCAGGGAAAATGGTCTAATATGAGAAGGGGATCCCTGTGCTTAGTAACTGTATAAGGCCATGAGGAATGATATGTATTAAATTCCATGCTATCGATAATAAAATATGCTAGTGATTTTGTAAAGTTATGTACTTGAGATAAATAAAGGTTATTGGAAGTGGTGTGGGAGGGGATGTTTGTAGGCTAGAACACTTTAATTGGCATTGATACCAGTAAATGGAAACACCCAACTAATGAATAGATATGCAGAACAAGATTATCACATAGCACAATATGTCTGAGAAGCTCAAAGAATAGAGCTTTGTGAAATCTGTTCTAAAAATTAGTCTATTCATTCCTTTCTCCCAGCTGAAATGTGTTAAGGAAAGAGCTTTCTGTTCAAGTTACTGCTCCAGACTTGCTGATTAATGACCTCAGGCACTGTATTTCTTAATGTTCTCTTACCCTTCTCCATTCTCTCTTTTTTTTTTTTTTTTTTTTTTCCAGAAAGATCCAGATTACCTGAAGCTTTGGTTGGATAGTTTTGTTTCTAGCTATGAACAGTTTTTGGATGTGGACTTTGAGAAGCTGCCAACTAGGTATGTAGAATTACAGACCTGTTCACCTTTGATATCTGAACCAGACCTGGACGAGAGCCCAGTTTCTTTCAATACCAATACTGCTTTTAAACAAAAGAAAGTTTTTTTTTTTTGAGTGGCACTCCTGTTCTTCTGAAGGTCAAAATGCGTTGGGAATGATGAAACTTAGGCAAATACCAGTATTTGCGTTATATCAGTGATGAAATCAATATTCACTTGTTTTTCCTTGTAGAAGTTTAATCATTTCTTGTAAGTTTTTGGAATAAATATTCATTAAATGTTGCAGGTGAAATAATATTAGTATCAGTGCTTGGTTTCTGTAGCAGTAGTGACTGAACAGAGGTAAGATCTAGGTAAAGTTTTGTAATGTTATTGTGGACTGCTACAAGAGGAAAAAGAGATAAAATGATCTAAGTTTTAGATGCTTTAGCTAGAAAGCTTTTAATTAAAACACACAAATGATAAACCTCAAAGTTCAGGAACAGGAGTATTAATGACTCATTGCTGACTGCAAATATGGAAATATAATCATGAGATGGATATTAAAGTCTAATTTCACATTTCTGTATTTAGCATTTAGAATTTGTTGAAATTTCTGTGCACTAAGGCTAACTTTTCAAATGAGGAATAGAAACTTAGCTCTGTATCTTTTCTTTTTTTTAATACATCCTTGTATGATTTATGGGTTTTAAGAAAAAAACAAGTGTTGCAGAATTCAGAAGTCACAAGAACCAGTTTCAGAGTTATAGCTGCTACCACTACCAGAAAGAATGGCTCTGTGCATAATGCTTCTGTCCAAGCCCTGTTGAAATCAATGGAAATTCTCTACTGGGCTTTGGATCAGATCCTGTTTGAAGTGTAAGTGATAGCCTCCACTGTTACAAGGAAACAAAGAATGCTGCAACTGTATCTCAGTGGATGAAAACAGGGCATCTCATCTACTTGTATTAAGATATTCTTCTTAGCCATTATGCTAATTCAAAGTTTACAGTGCAATTACCAATGTGAAAAATCTACAAAAGTCTGCCAGTTAATTCTTCTTTCAGAGGATGTTTGCTTTGTAGTGAGATATCAAAATGCATCCTACAGTGCACAGTTCAGGAAAGCAAAAACAGTGAAAAAGTTTGTTACCCCTTGTTTTTTCTTGTTTTATGTGCTCATGAGTTGTTTTTGTTGTTGTTGTTTCTGTTTTTACAGCAACATAGTAAAGGATTAAGCACAAACATGGAGCTTAGCTGTGCTGAACAATGGCAGCATCTTCATTGCATTAAATAATGGGTTTGTGAGCATAAAAATCCAGTGTTTTTGTGAGGTTAATGACAGGATTAGTGACTTGGTCTGGAAGAGTAGGCCTGCACAGATTTAGACTCATTTGTGTAACAGATGTAGAGAAAATATATCAAAATAACATAGAAACATTTTCTGCCCTTGTTGGCATTTGAGAGATAATCAGGCATGTCAAAAGTGGCATCCTTCTGGTATTTCTCCATTTCAATTGCAAGCATTAGCACTATGGAGCTGATATTATTGAGTCTGCAAAAGAGAAATATGTAGGTCAGAGTGGAGCCACCTGTTTCCCAGTGTCTCTTCTCTTGAGACCAAAGGGACCCTTTGGACTCAGACATCTAGGAAGAAATCAAGTTTGCCCATTGACATCTGTGCCAATGATCTCAAGTTGTTCTCCTTTGTGAACAGAGGTAGTGTGGAAATCATAGAAGGAATTTTGTACTTTTTTATTGCTTTCACCCTCTGTCAAGTGTACAGTAGTTAAGAACATCCATAATTGCTAGAATGGGGACTGATGTGAGCCTGCTTTTCCCTTATGTGAAAGTTGGAGTGCTTGACAGCTAAGTGCTAGAAAGGCCTTATGTACTGAACAGCAAGTGCCAGGAAATGATGAGCAACTGTATAAGGATGAAGCTCGTTCAGATTGCTGGGCCAAGTTAACCTTTTGGAAGACAGCTCTGGAGTTATGTCAGTGTAAAACATGACACTTTTTTAACATATAAGAAAACAATACTTCAGAAATGTAGTTGAAACTATTAGCCTTTTTTTCTGAAAGAAAGCCTCTTAAGTGGCAGTGTCACTTGCTGATGTAATTGATAAGTGTTTCTTCATTGAATTAAAATACAACATGTCCTGAAATATGTTTTGGAAATAGAAAACTTTCTACATAGTACAGAACTTGGCAGTTTCTAAACTTGAAGCAATGAGTGTATCCAGTGAAATGATTTGGGTTTTGTAATAAATAGAGTTTATAAGCATATAAACATTTAATTTTACTTACATTTTTGTGTATCTTCTGTATGTATTTTTTCTGTATATTTAAGTGCAATGGTTCATTAATGGTCATTACAGTGATTTTTTTTGTAAGAAAGTGAAGATACTGCACAAAAAATAACTATGCTGACAGCTGTGAACACAAAAGTCTAATGTGTGTTCATTCTTTACCTAGAATAAATAAAAAGCAACCCCCAATCCTCTCAGCAGTATTTACACATTTACCAGCTCATAGGAGGCTTTCTTTTTTTCCCCATCACTAATGGAAGAAATTGTTCTTTGACTTAATACTTTCAGAAACAGCAATATTATCTGCGCTGTTGTGATTTATTTTCTGGTTTTGGTTTGTATGCTGTTAAGCAGAGAAGCTTAAAGGAAACGTATGTCAAGTACTGCACATGCCACACTGCGTTAGTGTATGGACTCTAAACCCACAGAAAAGGATGCAGAGATCACCAGAATAAAGCAGATTAAGGCTACTGGAAACTGGTTGCTGAAAATTGAAGCCTGGTTTTCACCAGCTTTTGTTCCAAAGTGCTTGCTTACAGCTTTAGTGGAGGAGAGGGGAGAGTACTGCTGATTTGAGCTGTAATTGAATGAGTACAATGTGAAGACTAACTCAAGTTCCTTTCAACCACCTGGGTTAGCGATTTCTGTTGCTGCATAGCCATGTTAATGTAATGCAAGGATATTAGAAATTAAAGAATCCAAAAGAACAACCTACAGGAAAGAAGGGGACAGACTCCTTAGCAGGGTTTGTGGTGATAGAACAAGGAGAAATGGTTTCAAGCTCAAAGAAGGTAGACTTAAGTTAGATGAAAGGAAAAAATCTTTCACAGTGAGTGTGGTGAGGCACTGAAACTTCTTGCCCATCAGCCAGGTTGTTCTTCATGCCCCCTTGCTGGAGACTTGCAAGGCAAAGCTGGATCAGGCCCTGGGTAACCTGATGTAACTGTGGTGTCCCTGTTCACTGTTGGGCAGTTGGAGTAGATGGCCTTCAGAGATGCCTAACAACTCTTAAGGATTCAGTGATCCTAAAGTGTGAACATATCTCATTTTTTGATGTATGGTTGCAGCAAGCAAACAAGAGTGTCAGTTGTGACTTGAGATTTTTTTTTTTTTCCTTTTTCAATAGTAAGTTTATGCAACCAGTCTCATTAAGAAAAAACAGCATTACACATCTACATATTAAACTTATCAAAATTTGTAGTGATATAGTAGCAATTTGCTGTGGGGTGGGAAGAAGTTCAGTTATTTAATCTCTGTATTATGCTTGGTTTGAGTAATACCAGAAGATGAGCGTTTCTTCTGCTTTTCTTGCACAAAGCATTTAAGTTGTATATAGCACAGACATGTAGAACACTCTTTAGTATGTGAGGCATGGAGGGGGAAGGCTGTTTGCTTTCTTACAAAGCGTTTCATGATCTTACAGAAAAAGAGACTTGTTGGCCAGTTTGGGCAAGTTACTTCTGATATACAACCTCAGCTATCAAAAATTATGTTCTTAATACAGAGATGGTGAGTTCACAGATTATTGTGAACAACACTTGTAGTCCCAGAGGGTTTGAATCCACTGGAATCTTGGGGATGAAGCTGCTCAGAAATGAATGTTGCCTTCTTGACAGCTGTGTTGAATAAAAGCAGGTGCTCTCAGTTTTCTGGTTAATGTCTCTTTATATGAACCTAGGTTCTATGAAGTCTCTGTCAAGGTTTTCCAAATCCCTTGTGCTCTTGTGACTTTTTTCTTCATTTGGTTTTCACTGATGTATTTCTACAAATGCCTAATTTTAACAAAAATAATATGCAGGAGTGCCTAATATTCTTCAGAGCCCTATCTAGGTTTGGTAGAGTTGTTGCATTTAATGCCAACCCAAGTCTTTTTTTTCCTCTCCTAAAAACAGCGAGGTACTAGGTGGATAAAACCAGTCATGTAGTGGGTTAACAACACGCAGAAACCATTAGGGTTGGGCCAGCCATTCATGCAGAATGTGTATGCCAGGAGTCAAATGAGCTGCTGGGAGCTCCCCCTTCTGTACGTTCAGACCCTCGTTTTCAAGTCTTTAAGCTCTACGAGCTGGTTGCTTTTGGTATTTAATCTTATTTTCTGCTAGCTTGAGTAGTTTGTGTAAGAAAGGCATGAAGTTTGCTGTGGATTACTGCCAACTGGACCTCATTGTCTACTTAGTTATTGGCATCTCATTTATTTTAATCTTCAGTGGAAAGTTGAAAACGTTCCCTTGTGTTTAGTTTCACGTTTCATTCTGCTGTGTCAATCCTCATAGGAGTTTCCCAGGCCACCTGATTACTACTGAAAATCATGCCATTTCTCTGTGGCAATTCAAGCAGGTAATCTCAATGGAAGAGTATTTAGGAATCTGGTTAATGTATTCCTGGTGCTTTTTTTTTTTTAATTCTTTATTGTTGTTGGGGAAAAGAAAGCTCATGCTGGCTTATTGCCAGCAAGCATTTCCTTGTAGTTCACTAGGAAGTGCTTGTGAGAAATCAGTTGCTGCATTTCTGTAACCTTTTTTAAGCAGGTGTATTGCAACACTACCGAAGCACACTAAAAATAGATGATAATGTGTCATTTGCATGATTATGAGCTGTGTGTCTGTGGTCCTTCTCTTTAGGGTGGATGACATCCCTCCAGGAATATCACTGCTTCCTGACAATATTCTTCAGGTCCTGAGGCTCCAGCTGCTGCAGTGTGTCCAGAAGATGTCAGATGGATTAGAAGAGCAGCAGCAGGCTTTGTCACTTTTGCTTGTGAAGTTCTTTATCATCCTTTGCAGGTATTTGTTCTGTTAGCTACTTCAATAAGGCTGTTGTTTTGTTTAACAAATCGTTAATGTAGACTTTAGATTCTAATCATTTATACAATGTGAACAGATGCTTTCCAGTAGAATCAGAGAAAAAGCTACTTTTCATGGTCTTCCAAGTAAAGGAAAATGAAGAAAACCATACAATCTTTGCTCTTTCTATTCCATTTTTCATGGAAAAGACACAATTTTGTAATTATGCAAGATATATCTATGTGAATTCAAGGCATAGTGTATGTGGTATAAGAAATACTTTTAAAGGGAAGTTGCACTCTAGAAAGCACTGAATATTAAAGAACTTGAATGATAAACATACAGGAAGAACTGTTTCACATTCTTAACATGCTTATAATTCCATAAATAGCTTAGGGATCTGACTTAGTCTATTAATGCAGCTGGCCTCTGAAATTTGCTCTTAATTTTGTAATACTGTCCAAGCAGGTAAATAAACTGTTTTTAGGGATCTATTCCTCCTTATTTCTTCATTCTTTTATTATAAACTGCACTGAATGAATAAGGGAATAAAGTATATGGTAGGGATTCTCCTTTGGCGAAGTATTTAACAAGCTTTTTTTGAGTCCTTTTGTTCTTCTTATCCTTACAACAGTACAAGTCTGCAGTGCAGCGTTCAAGTATTCCAGAACATTAAATAAAGCTGAATTGATGGTGATAGTTGTGTGATGAATTACCAACTATTATCTTACTCAGTTGCTAAACAGTTCTCCTTATGTGATCACATTAGTATCTGATCTTTGTGATGTCCTCAAAGTGGGAAATAGTGTGTGTGCTTTTTTGTTACTGTTGATTTTCTTAGTGTTCTAAAATTTTTGATGTTTCTTACTTGGAGAATTTATAGTACATATTTGCCTCTAGGTAATATATTTATTAAAGCATTGGAAAATGTATACAGCTATGGTATCAGTCTCCTTGTTCTAGTAATGTGGGAGAAATTAAAGTTATTGCTTCTGTTATCACATGCCATTTCTGACCTCTCTATTTAGAGCGTCCTGGGAATTTATTTTATCTCTGAAACGCCAAATTCCAGATAGAGTTGACCTACAGCAGGGTGACTCAGGCCTTTCTTCTCCTTCCTTTTAAAAGAAAACTTGTGTACTGTGTTACTGTGGCAGAAATAAACATTTGAGTACATCCAGTCCTCTGGGGAGTGTTTCTGAAACGCTTATACATTTTTCTGTGATTATAGACCGAATACTAAAACTGACATTGTTTGAACTAGCCTCAGTACACTGTGTGGTTTTTTTATTTTCATAGGAATTTGGCTAATGTGGAAGAGATTGGGATGTGTTCATACATTAATCACGTTATCACCATGACTACGTTATACATTCAACAGGTATGTTTTCATCTTTAGTCTATTATTTTTCCTCGTAGAGGACCTCCAGGTCTTGCTTATTGTGATCCCTGTCAAAATGAAGTGTTTGTGGGGGAATGCTTATGGAGGGGGATTAAGACGAAGTTTTAACTTCTAGGCGTCTTTTGATTGCTGTTGTTACTTCTGGATTTTTTTTTTTCCCAGTTAAAAAGCAAAACAAAAGAGAAAGAAATGGCAGATCAGACACCAATAGAAGAATTTGTGAGACATGCACTGGCTTTTTGTGAAAGTCTCTATGATCCATATCGCAACTGGAGGCAGAGAATTGCAGGGTAAGTGTGGACCAGGACAGGATCACAAGCTATGTGAGTTTTGATACCTGTAGATAAATGATATGTAAGGTTGCTGACAAAAACTACTGATATCAAAGTAAAATAAAATATAATTACATGGGTATGCTCCCGATACATTTTACAGGTGTTAGAGTTGGTTGTCATAGGCAGTGGGTTAGATACAGTATGCTAGTTGTTTTTCAAAGATTCTCTATTCTAAAGAGTTAATGAAATACACTAGTTTTGGTAGGAAAAAGAACTCAGGAAATGGATACTCAACACTGAAACCCAGTGCAACTGGAATTGTCAGTACTAGTATGTGCTAGGAAACTGGCTTTTTGACACACTTAATTTCTGTCATTCTAGGCACAAACTCTTTGAGGTTGCTAGTGATGCACTTTGTTATAACTGACTCTTCAGAGACCTTAAAGATTCCTATGAAATTTTTCATGTACAATTCTCCCTTATTAGCCCCAAATTCACTGCAGTAATGTTAAATGTACAGTATAATTAACAAGTTTTTCTGCTGCATGTACAAGGGCTGTTTGCTCCTTACCACTCTCATTCAGAGCTGCTCTTTAAGATTTTTACTTTCATCAGGACTGTTTTGATGTGCACCAAATACTTGCACCAAATATTGGATCTGTGCATGCAGATAACTAGTCTTGTAAAACTTACAGTCCATTCTACAGCTTACATCCTGTACAACTGTGCTGCATTTGTGCATCCAGTCACTCTTCTGACTCCATACATACAGAGTGGAAATCTGTTGTGGTGATACCTTGTTTGCTGGGGCTTCTTTGTAGCTGGCAACCTGTAATACACTACAGCACTGCATGGATTGCAGGTTTTATGGAACTGTCATTGATAGTACTAACTCTTGTTCCCATAACAGCTTAACTTGCTGTACACAAAGCTTTAAGGAACATGTAAGAATCACAACTTTCAGTATTTCTGTGCAGTGTAATTCCCCTGTTCTAGAACACAGTACAGGTTGAACCAGTTATTGTATATGGTCTCACAAAGTACTGCTAAGCTGTTCTTAGATGTAGCATTCATAATGCCAGCACATCACATTGTACCATAGGTACAACATAAATGCTCAAAAACAGAGAATCTGCAATCAGTGGAGGTACACAATTTGTTAATGAATCAGTATAATTCTATTTAGGAGGCTGCTTATTTTCTGAAACTGGATATGATTTAAATATTTTTAAAAACCTTAAAGATATTTTCTGATAGTCTAAAGGTTGGAGGAAAAAAAAAAAGTGGATGCACCAGGAGGTGTTTGGCTGTAACTGACTGACACAAAGTTTTTTCCATTGCTTTCTTTCAAAAACTTCCCTATTTTTCTAAGCTGGTATAGCAAAGAAGCCAGAGGAAAAGAGGCAGGTAAATGTGGTTGAATTGGTTAAAAAAATTTTTGAAGGTCACAGTGTAAATGTTATGTCTTTGAGAAGAAGTCTGTAACTCTATCAGCAGAATTACTTCCCTTTGATTTGTTCCCCCTATCTCCCATAATGAACTCATAATAATGTTTTGAGCCATTTCAAATTGCATGGTTAAGAACTTTAGTAGATGATTTACTTGCAATGGGGAAGGACTAAATACCAGGTAGCTGCTGGTGTTTTGGTTCATTTTATTTTATTTTATTTTGACCAAACCATGTTCTAAACTATTAAGGCATTTCTAAGAGTGGAACAGAAAAGTCATTATCATCTGTCATTCTTTTTTTTTTAAGGTGAAATACTTTTTTTTTTTTTTTAAGTTTGTAGGCCAGACTTATATTTTTTGGCAGGGTTCTCTGTTATGAAATCATGAAGTAGTAAGTCAGAAACAAAGGTGTCATATCTTTTCTAATGTAATTTCAGACGTATCCTTAGTACAGTTGAAAAGAGCAGACAGAAGTATAAACCGGCTTCCCTCACTGTTGAGTTTGTCCCTTTCTTTTATCGTAAGTATTATCAACAGCACGTTTAAAAATGATCATCTTTGGAGGAGTGAAGTTGGCACTTCTAAATTCCATTCCCCAAAGAATGTGTAATAAATGTAAAAGCATCTTACTGTTTTCTGAGGCTGCATGTATTGAGTTGATTTGTTTGCTTGCTTTCTGCTCTGTCACCATCTTGCCAGCCTTACTTGTCTGTGAAAGCCTGGTTCTTTTTCTCCCAGATTTTCTTTCAGTGTTTACTGTAATTTAAGAAGATTGAATCTGTGAATTTTCAACTTCATTTTTGTTGATACACACATCTGGATTGCATGTGAGATCATTGTAGCAGCAACTGTAGTGATAACTTGCATGAAAAAATCATGAGGAAAGTATGCATGCATTTTTGTCTCCTCATATGGTTTAGTAGCCACAAACAAGGAAACTTGCTGCCATCCAAATAGCAAAGTCAACTTAGACTGCAGTTTAGGGAACTACTCTTTTGTCTTTGGTTAAACTGTGTCTTAACTGCTACTTGGGAATTTGTGTTCTTAGCATTAAGCATTGGCAAAGAGGTCAGTAAAATGCCAAATGCCTTTGTCTTTGTGCTAGAGAACTGGAAGCTGACTCTAAAGTCTGCTCTCTAGCATTGTCATCTTCAGGATCTCTCCTCTCTATTTAGTTCACTGTACTGTTTTCTCCTAAATCCCTTGTTTTGTAGTGAAACAATCCTTAGTGTGCTAATTAGCTGGCAGGTACTCATCTGCTGATTGGCCATCTGTCAATACAAGAAATTGCTGAGCATGTGCTAAGGACGTACTTTCCACAGGAGTACTAAAGACTTTTTGTCTACTCTGCCTCATAATTTTTCCACAGTCAGCCAGGTAGTACTACTCTATTGAATTTGTCGTAAGTTCCACAAAAGATTCAGAGGCTCTAAGTCAGGGAAATGGCAGGCTATGTTTAATTTGTATACCAGGTTTTAAAAATAGTGGTGCAGTTTTCTTTTGAAACGAGCTTATACTTCCAGGATGCAGCCAGAAATACAACTTGCCAATAACTGGTAGTTGTCCAAAAGGTAACACTATCATTTTAACAAATACAGAATTTTTCCATTTTCAATTTCTAACGTTTAAAATCTCAGTCTCTAGCAGTTTTATCTTATATTTGAATGGAATTACAGTGGCTAATTCAAAAAAAAAAAAATACTCCTTTTGTGGTTTCAGTTGCAGTTGCTTTGATTCTAGTGATATTGCTATAGCAACAATATCCAGGCTGTATTCTTAAGAGTTCCATATATCAGATATTCTATGAGATATCTTTGAAGGTATTTTTTTTATTGTTAGAAAGATGACAGGCCACTACAGGCTTTCTTGGGAAGTTTGGTTCATAGGGAGCAAGTTCTGCTTTTCTAAGGCACCTGCACTGTGTATGGCATTTGTCTCTGTGTCAAAAGTCTTCTAACATTTCTCATACCTGCTAACTGCTTGTGTTAGCATGTTCTGAACAGTCTAATGAAAATTAATCCCATTTATTCCATAGTACATTTGCTGTACCTCCTTGGGTCTGTCAGTTTTCCTGATAAATGCAGGGTTGTCATGTTTCTTTGATAACTCTGAAATGGATGTTAATGTATGTGACTTACATAAAAGAAAGTGGAGATTTTAGAGTTGAAATTTTGTATTAAGCTTGCATGATAGCGAGCAGCAAGGATGCTTGTTTTATTTACCTGCTTTTTTATTTTTGTTTGAGAGAAAAGGCTTGTATAATTTATATTACAAAATAAGGAATCCTACTACTTTTTATTTACTCCAATCAGAATGTTTCCAAGAAAGTGAACATCTCAAGGAAAGCCTGAAATGTTGCCTGTTACATCTCTTTGGAGCTATTGTGGTTGGTGGTCAGGTAAGAATGTTTTAAACTCTTCCCAGCTGCTGAAGTCTCCAACATGATCTTCATTACTCAAAGCTTATAAATATCCCATAATCAAGGAGAATTTATTTACTATATATTAGTCATTTATCTTGTGAAGTTTAGAGTTGTTCTGTGCAGTAGTATCTAAATACTACAAGCTAGGTTCTGTTTTCAGAAAGCAACAGAAGGCTGCTTTTTACAATAACTACACATTCTTATGAACTAAGTATAATGTCTTCACATACATAGAAAAGTGAGTAACTAGACTGCTTCCACCTGCAGAGTTTTTTATATAATTTTTTAGATTTCATATAATTACATGACATCTAGGTTCCCAGTGTGTTTCAGAAGGGAATACAAGGGCTTCGAAGTTTGGAAGGTCCGTAAGACCTTTAAAATAACATGAACAAAAGAGAATATCTGAAAAAAAAAAAAGTTAATCATCAACAAAGCCAGTGTATGCTCTCATGGGCTGACTTCTGTAATGTTCTGCTTAGTAAATGTTACTTCTGGTCCCAGACCTATCCATAGTGACGAAGCAGGTCTGAAGTCACGAAGTTGAACAGTGGGTCAGAAACAAGGGGGTACATGGCCTGGCAGGGGCATGGCTGCTAAACTACACTGTTGAGGCAGGTAAAATGTTGGGAGCCATGGCTTGAATGCAAGATCCCTAGACAAGGTGGGGAGATCCTGACAAGACTTCTTGCTGTGCTTTATGAGGCTGTACTCCTGCTCCAGATGTAGTGTGACCCTGAGGCCTATCCAGTCAGATTCCAGGAAGCAAGTTGAGGGGTAGGCATTCAGGACCCAGATAAATATTTGTTTTAAAGTATTGAGTCTATGAAAGTGGGGACCTAAAATGAAACTTTGAGTTAAGGTTTATTTAGAATTAATATGTTATCTCAATGGTACTTGATAAGAATATTGTAATGTCAATTTAAATGAGCTTTCCTTTACCCTATAAATACTGTTTGAAAAAGAAAGCCTTATTAAGTGCACAAGGTAGGCTGCATTTCATCTATAGCCAATAATCCAAGTAGCATGTTTAACAAGTACAGTATATAAATTAAAATGGAAGCAATAGTGAATGTTGCAGGATTCAGGTATCTTCAAATCAGCAATTCTGTCTGAGTTGCATTTTTATTCCCCTTAATTCTTTTTGTCCATGTGTTTCAGAGGAACGCTCTGCAAGCAGTATCTCCTGCTACCATGGAAGTCTTGATGCGTATTTTAGCAGACTGTGATAACTGGGATGATGGGAGCCCTGAGGAAGTGAGCAGAAAGGCAGAGCTTACTCTGAAGTGCCTCACAGAAGTTGTCCACATTCTCCTTAACAGCAGTTCTGACCAGCGTCAGGTGGAGACCAGTACAATACTGGAGAACTATTTCAAGTTGCTTAATTCAGACCATTCAGCTTTACCTAAACCAAGGCGATGTAGGCAGTGGGAGAGCAGGTTCATAGCACTACAGATCCAAATGTTGAGTAAGTACTCAATTGTGCAGTTTCTTTAAATGTCTGTGGATAACAGCTTTGAAACAAATAATGATTGAATTGTTGTATTAATATAACTGAAAGTTGTACAAATGTTCACTTATTTATATAATGGAAAACCTTCAAATGTTTTTTCTCATTGACACTTCATTAAATATATTCTATTTCATATTCATAGTTAACCAGAGTATCAAGGTTCATGGACTACCAGTCTCTATTTAAAAAAAAAAAAAGAAAATTGCTAGGCAGCAATGACAGCACCTTAACTGCAGAGTGAGGAGGATTTCTAATAAAATATCCTCATGATGGCTGTTTTGTGGTAGTTTGCTTTTCAGATGGAATTACTGCAAACATTGGCAAAGATGTTGGTCCTTAAAGTGTTGGTGCTGAGTTGTTGGATAAACATTTAGGATTTGTGAATGTTTTTTTTACTTTGTTTGGAATGGCAAATATAAATGCAAGTATTTTCTTACCCTGGACTTCCAAGGAAACACGAGTAGCTTTGAGGTGGTGATCACTTACAGTAAAAGGCATCTGTATAATGCAGAGAAAATTTTTGAGGAAACTAGTGTTTGTGTGCTTCTAATAGAGGGCATGGAGGTTAGGTACTCAATGACAGGGACTTCAAGCAGGATCTGAAAGCTATCAAAGGTATTGTGTAGCTATTCTACTATACTACGTATAGTAGGTTACCTGACAGTTTTCAGTGTCAAACTGTTGAGTATTGGGCGTAGTACTCTGTGTCAAACACCTCAGAATTCTCGTGATGTATAGTTTATTTTAAAATATGTATTTTTGATTCCCATGTTTATTATATACCTTTTCTAATCCTCTTACAGGTGTAGTATGGGAAAAAGAGCTTAATGGATTTGGCAAGTGCTTTGGTTTTAATGTCAGTTCCATTTTAATTTTGTAGATACAATCACAGCCATGTTAGACTGCACAGACAGGCCTGTTCTACAGGCAATTTTCCTTAACAGTAACTGCTTTGAGCATCTCATTCGACTGTTGCAGAACTGCAAGGTAAATTTTATTTTATCTTCTATAACAAAATTTTTGTTCTCTTTTCCCATAGGATCTAGCATTTAGACAAATCTTTTTTTTGTCTCAATCCCAGATAGAACTTCATAATTTGCTAGCCAATGTCTTTCACTGATTCCTTCGTACATTTTTCTCAACCTCTGCAAAAGAGCACGGATACAATGCAAATACAATGCAACTCTGGAATATTTTCATTCTATTTTTCTGATATGTTAGTGGCATTGCTATTTTGAGCTCTTCTAATACTAGATATTGTAATCTACGGAATACAATTTGATTTATCAATTATCTATTTTTATTTGGGATTGGGATTTCATAGCAGCAATATATGAAAAATGTCCTTGGATTGGGATTTAGTTATTATAATTAGTGGCAGAATGCCAGTTTCCTTGAAATGCTTTGAATAATGTCAGTGGGTTGTTCTTGTTTATCTCCAGTCTTCTCCTGAAAATACTTTATTTCACTTTTCCATTATTCTGCTTGGACATCTGCGCCTATTTCTGTACTGACCTCGTACTCTGTAAGAAACTTAGCTCCTAATTTCTTCTTTGGTTATTAAGCATTATGATATTTACTTACTGTAGAATCTGTCTTTGTTCCTGTTCTCATTTGAACAAGTGGGAATTAGAACTTTGGAAAGCAGGAGCAGCTACTCTATTAGGTTTTGCCTGCTTTTTTTTTTTTTTTTTTTTTTTTTCTGCTTGTTCTCTTCATTTTTAGTCTGCCTTCTTGTCTGTTGTAAAATGTACTGTTGGAACGTTTTTCCCTCTGATAGCCTTGCATACTACTGTGATCAATTGAGTCTCAGTACTTCCAGATTGCTGCATGGCATTTTTTAACCTTTGTAGTGGAAATAGCCCCAAGAATGATAAAGAAGGGAGGGGGGATGAAGTTATATTTTTCAGTGCATCTTTATACTTGTTTTTTGAAATAGCAAAGATGAATTTAGCAGTGGAAGTAGGATTTATTCTTGTTAATGTAGGAAGATGATCCTATTTCTGGTCATATTTTTTTCTTACCTATGAAAATTTTGCTGCTGGATTCACTGGCAGGGCTACATAAAGCACATTTCTGCAGCTCTGTATCAGGTGAAAAGGAGAGTACAGACAATATGGAAGTCAGGAATTTCTCGTATCTTCAGCAAATTTGAAGAGAGAAATTTTCATGGAAAAGAGGGGTTAAAGAAAATCCCTACCACAATTTTTGCTATAGGTATCTTGAGATATTCAAACCCATAGTTCTAGTCACCTTTGAAGTCATCTGCTGTCCAGCAATCTTCTAAAATATAGGTTTTTTTTGGCAACTGTTGGTTTTAAGCCTTATGGACAAAATTGTCTTCACTTAACTATGCTCTAGGATTATGGATCTGCACAAGAGCTTTTTGAAACTGTTCAGTTAAGTTCTGTTGATCTAAATGTTGCCTTTTGCCTTGTGATATTCAAGTAAGGGACTAAACTTTAGAGATGCCAAAAGGGGCTCAGTCTGTCCTAAGTTTTCAAGTAGCTGCTTGTACATACTGTTAAGAATCTAGGGATCAGACTTTGAGCAAAGTGCAATCATCTCTAGCAGTGTGTCTGGTTAAAAGCACGTGGTTATTGTCTGAACGGCTTTAAATAGAAGAATTTTCACTTTCATTGATAGGGCTGAATTAACAAATCTGAAAAATTTGTTTTTTCTATGTCTGCCTTTGCTTTTGTTCTTATTTTCACTTGCTAATGCTGTAAGCCTCTGAGATGTTGTCGTAATTCTGTGATGTGTACTCTTGACTGTGATGTACTTCAGACTGACTTGTGTTTCTGTGTAGGCTTACACTTGTGTAAGTCTAAATAATATTTTGAGTATTTTCTTCTATCTTGTGAAAGCTGATTCGTAGTGTTTACTCATCTTCAGAGGGAATACCTAAGTAAGGTACTAGGAGAAAATGCATGAAGAAGAAATGGTTAAAGTTTCATTCTTACCCACTGATAGAAAGTGTTGGGGTTTTTTGTTTGGTTTTGTGCTTGTTAGGTACCTTTAAAACATTTTTTATAGGGGATTTTTAACAGCACTTTGGAGTATATAAACAGAAGAAAAGCTGTAGTCATGATTAGATTGTGGCTGACCTATACTCACAAAGTGAGTGCAGTAGATTATGAAGGTACTGGAGTCAACTTCGATGTTGCAAATTCAGGTACAGACTAGGGATAAGTTTCTTAGCTGAAAATGCAGGCATATGTTTTATTTACAGCCTGACAGATTCTTAGAGTGTTACCAGATGTAGTTTTGCTTTTCTTCTGTTCTGAAGGCTTATATGATCAAAATATTCTACTGCTGTTGCTGCTTGATGTAAATATTTTGACTACATATCTTCAGCTGTTACATAGGATAAGACATAAATGGACAGCCTTGAGGCATCTGTATCCATTTCTTTGCTAGTGGTCCACTGTTGTTTTTATTTCTTTAAAGTGAATTTTTGTTGTATTGCACGTGGTAAATAAACTAATTGTTGCTAAGCTGGTAAGCAGTATAACATCCATGTTGGTCTGTTTTCTTGTCTCAGTAGTGATATGTTTTCATCTAATTGTGGACAAAAAATGCAATTACTGCTTAGCAAAACTGTGATCTTCAATATTCTAAGAATTAACAGGCAACTAATGTTAGCGGGGGAATGTGTCTCACCAATGTGAGAACTCGTTTCTTGTATGTCAGACACAAATCCTGAGGCAGCCTCCACAGGTATGATGGGAGGATAATTATGTAATGCAATTATTTCCATTATTCTTGTCTCTGTTTCTAACAGCTGTTTTTAAATGCTAACAATAAAGTGGCAGACAAGAGTGAAAAAGACCTTGCCAACAAATTACTGACAGAAATGAATGAGGACCAGGTATCTACCTAATCTGTACTTTGCTTCAATTGAGGTCAAAACACAATGACAGGAAAACTGATTCCTGTGCTTCACCTTAATGATCCTTTTTAAGTCTTCTGTGGCAAGATGATCTTGTTTCTGCAGACATTAGTATTTTCCATCTGTGGAAAGTTATTTCCCAATTAACAGACTGAATTCAACTTTGCTTTCATTAATCTACTTCAAGTTGCAAATGTTTCAGTAGATTGAGCCTCAGTTTTGCATCTTTTAAGGAAAAGGTGAAGTACATGAATGGAATCCAAATAATTCTATTAACCTGGTGGTGATTTTTTTTTCCCTTCCTTTCCTTTTTTTTTTTTTTTTTTTTTTTTGCTTCTTTGTCTCAGCACTGTGGTGTTTTGGATTCTGGGGCCTTGTTTGTGAATCTCAATGGTTGTATTTGATGTCCTGATTCTTTGCTTGTCATCAAGAGCAGATGTTCACAAATGAATGGACAGGCTGAATCAGGGAGGTAGGAATAGCCTGTTGCTTTAACTTTGACGTAATGTTGTGGAAAGTATCACATGCAAGTTGTATTGATTTTGTGGTAGAATGATTTGTTCTGATTAAAAATGTAAAGGTGCTAAGTACAAGGTATGGTAATCTACAAATTGTGATTCTAACAAATGGCTTTGGCTTTTTTAGAAACTCAGTGCAACATTAACTGCATGTAAACATTTCTTCACGTCTAACAGTCTTCTGATTCTTGACATTTCATTTTCAAAATGTCTGATATTTAGAATATTATTTCAGGGGTGGTGGAACTGTTTGTACAGTCTTGCTCATTAGTTTTACTGATGGACCTGAAATACTGCTTGTTTTTGTCCTTAAGACCATGATAGAAATATTACTATAAACAGAAATTAACGGAGGAAAAAAAAAAAAAAAACAACCCAAAAGTTAATATGAAATTGGAAAGTTGATGATTGAGATAAGAATACGGGTGAGAAAGCCACTTTACTGTGCTGGTGTGAGTAATCTCTTACAATTAGTGTGTTGCATTGTATAGGGACTTATGGAAAAGAAAATACTCTATATGTACTGCAGATGCCTGATTGTTTAGCAGCACACGCGCACACAATACAAGAGATATCTTAATTTGTTTTCCTTCCTCCCTCTTGAGGTTGTCCATTAGCCGCATGAGGAAAACGTGTTTGTCCATCAGAGCATTTGAAGTGAAATGAGTTTTGTGAAGGCTTCTCTCCTTCTCTTGAAGTGTTGTCTGTTGTTAATGTAATCTTTCTTGTAGGCTATGGGGTACTTTGAAATCATTATTGGTGGAGATGATTTTTGAAGCATGCTAGTAAACTCCATTTTCATCCTGGCAGGAGGGCACAGTACAGTTTTGGAGCAGAATTGCCTTTATGCATTTGTATGTAACCACTGTACTTGCTGCTTTCAGGTACTTCAGGGACGTCTAGACTGCTTGGCAGTATCAACCATTCAGGCTCTCACAGCAGTAATGCACAAGTCTCCAGCTGCTAAGGTAACTATGCATGCAGCTATCTTCTTGTGATTGGCCTCTTAATTTTGTCTAGCTTTTCTTTTCTTCTTTTTTTTTTTTTTTTTTTTTTTTTTTTTTTTCAAAATCCTTGGAATTTTAGTAATTAAGTTGAGCAGCTTGTGGTCACTAATTCCTGTCAGATAGGAGCAATGGACTGAGTATCCTCTGTTTCAGCCATTAGAAACAAATAGACATCTTTGAATGAGAACTGGAAAACTGGAGTGCAAATGGTAACTGGAACCTTTTTAAGGAGATTATGTAATTACTTACCATGAATATTTGGAGTAGAATTAAGAAACTTTGCAAAATATAGCTTCAGGAAGGAGTTAGTTTTTTATTATGTCTGTAATACAGGATCATATTGCTGTCTAAATGGCAATCTTGCTTTTCCCCTGCCTTTCCTTTGTGATTATTCCTGTGGCTTGATAAATTAACAAGCAATGACTAGTTTGTGAATCTGACTGAAATATAAAGCCATGGAAGAGTAGTAGATTTATTTTTAGATTGCTGAATTCATTAGATTAATCCCATGTTTGAATGACTCCTGGCACACTGCAGGTCACAGAGTGGAAGTAGCTCGATTCAGTTGCTGCTTGTAGTACATTCTCAGTTAGAAATGACAAAGTAGTAAATCGGGCTCCTCCAGAGCATGTTTCAGAGTACTTGCATCTCCACTGACACTTGGAAGTCTGGGGAAATGCTGTGTGACAGAATGGAGGATTGACTGTAATCCACAAAGTGCCAGTAAAATTTTCAGCTATACTTCCATTACAGTGTGTAATTTTTTCCCCTGTTTACTTAAGTAATTTTCACTTCTACTGGCAGATTCATCCATCTGTTCTAATTTCAGTGCAGAGTACTTCTGGGAGGATAGTATTTGTTTTGTGATGCGTTGGATATTCACTAACCAAACAGTAAACAGATGCTATGTAGTATGTTCTAGGCTTTGTGGCTCGCGTCACTTTTCTTTGTGTAAAATCAATTAATTTTCAGAAAATCATTACTGGAATACTTATCTAATTTTTTGAATTATTTAAAATGAGTGATTTCTAATCAAGCTGGTCTAGAAGATCTTTCATTCAAAAGTCAGTATCTAGATTCTTAATTCTCAAAATAATAAGTTCATTTCAAGCTTCAGTTTGCATTAAAAATAAAGTTATTAATAACTTGCGATAGATTTAACATTTGAGTATACCAAAGAAATACTTTTTGTAATTACTTCTTTGGTCTTACATTTGTTTATCTGCATGCTGCAGTGAGTTCGTTCTTATTTACAGCATGCTAGAGATAGAAATCCTTTCATAGTATGCCCACTGTGCTGAACAAAAAAAATACAATTCTTACATTCTAATCCTTAAGTCTAATATTGTTTTCAAGTAAACTTTGTTGCAGTAGATGAGCTGTTTGTGTCTATTTCATTTGTTAGTGAGACTGGATTTTTATCCTCAGGAGGTCTTCAAGGAGAGAATCGGTTATGCACATATCTACGAGGTACTTAAGTCACTGGGTCAGCCCTCACGGGAACTGCTGGAAGAACTCATGAATATGGTGAGATATACTGTGAATGCTGTCTGGAATGCTGTGTCTCTTCAACAGTATTTCTTCTTGACTGTATTTCATGTTTGATTTCTTTGTTTTTCAGGCTGTTGAAGGTGACCACATGGCTGTTGGGATATTAGGCATTAGTAATGTCCAGCCATTATTGCTGCTTATCCAATGGCTTCCAGAGCTTGAGTCACATGACCTGCAGATTTTCATTTCAAATTGGTTGAGGCGGATCTGCTGTATTAACAGGCAGAGTCGTGCCACGTGTGTCAATGCAGACATGGTCATCCGTATCATCGAGACACTGAATCACCACTCTGCACTCCATTGCACTTGTGCAGAGAACCTGATTGCCCTTCTGGGCTCTTTAGGGAGCCACTCAATGGGGTCAGAAGAACTGCTTCAACTAATACGGCTCCTTAGAACCGAGGAGCCAAAACAGGCTCACCCTTATGTTATTCCAGTGATGCGAGCCATTCTGGCAATGGCTCGGAAACAAGGCATGGCTAGTGCCTTGCAGTATTTCAACTTGTGTCACAGCATGGCGGGAATTGCTGTTCCATCAATTCAGAGGTGGCCAGGCTCTGCATTTTCTTTCAGTGCTTGGCTCTGCCTTGATCAAGACCAGGTGGACCCTAGCACAGCTAGCAAAACTGGCAAGCGGAAGCAACTGTATAGGTATGATTACCATAATGACTTCAACAGCACAAATCTAGGTTGTCTGTTCCTTGTGGAATGTGATATGTGGTACCTCCTAGTCTGTGTGGTACCTGTTCCTTCATAGAATGCAATATAAAGCACTTGATTTGTTTATTTTGTGGAAGGGAGACGCTTCATCTGTCTTCAAAGCCAGGCTGTGTTACAGAAATAAGCACGTAGCTTCTCAATTGCACTGCTTCCTCTACAGTTTCTTGTTTGCAGTTTCATTATCCACAACTCTGAATTGTTAAGGTATATAGCTTAAAAACAACAACCAGAAAAAGCAAAACACCTCAAAACAGAACAATCTGTGGTGGAACTGTGCCACAAACTTTAAAAAGGCAATAGAGCAAATTCTTAGCTGCAAAACACTTTTTCTACATAGTCACCACAATTAGCTATGTGTTTTCACCAGTGATGTTCATTCTCGTAAAAATCTGCACCAATTGAGATGGTGTATTGTTTCACAGCTGTGATGATGATAGAAAAATGTTGCACACCCAATTCATCTTTTACTGGTGTGAACAGATGGAAGCCAGAAGGTGCCAAATCTGGATGGTATGGTGGGTGTGGTGGGACAGTGCAGCCAAGACAGGCAATGTGCTCTATGTTTCTTCCAACTGATATGGGGTCTGGTGTTATTGTGTTGCAAGAGAAAAATTGTCCTCTTCTCTGGCTTGACTCTGGAGGTTCCAGCATTCAGCTTAGTCATTGTTGCAGCATGGCAATTAGTGGGGAAGGTTTGTCTGGGTTCCAAGAAATCCAGAATGATCACCCCCTTTCCTATCCCAAAAGGCAGTGTGCATCACTTTCCCCTCTATAACATCAGTGTCACATTTGTGTTTTATACCAATAAATATTTGATAATACAGTAGTTAATGCCTCCACTTGGAATCACAGTACCCAAGGGATTATAGCAGGCTTTGATAATACTTCACAGTTTATATATAGTTTTCTGTATTCAAGCACTTAAAAAGAATGCCAGGCTTCTCAAGGCAAGCCTGTTCGTGCAGGGTTTATTTATAGATAGCTGCTTACAGCTGATTTTCATGATAGAGTGAAATAAGCTATTTAACCATGACTATGTTTATATTTTGCATTAAAATTCTTGCTTATAGGTAATCACAGATTTCAAAATATTTTTAAATCTACACTTACTGTCTCATCAGTTTTAAACCAGATTTGGCTGTAACATTATACGTACAAGCATTCTGAATTTCTGAATTATTCCGTTTAGTATCTTGATCTTTAAAATAAAAACCTTCATATGCAGTGGTATGATGTAGAACTATTAAATTAAGAGAACACATCTACTAGCTATGCCAGCAATCTCACCTAGCTGCATGCATTATTAGCAGCTTTTATGGGGCTGATGGACACAATTAACAGCAAACACCACTGTTTGCAGGCCTTTTAATATCTTCTTTAGTAGAACATTGTGGCTCTCAGACTGCAACAGTCAGTAGTTGGATAGCAATAAGCTTCTTTGAGAGATGTGGGGGATGCCTTCATCCTAGCTGTCCTGGGGGTTCCTTTCTTGTGAGATTTGTCTTGTTCTTTTGAACAGAAGTAATAGCTAGGCAGATAATGATGTGAACAGCAACAAAAAGCTCAAGTTGTTTCTCTCCTCAGTGAAAATACTGTTATGTGACTTACAGTATGTATGATGAAGCAAGTCCTTAGCTTGTTTGTTTTGTCATTCTATAGCTTTTTTACAGGAAGCGGTATGGGTTTTGAAGCCTTTATCACATGCTCTGGAGTATTGGTGGTAGCAGTTTGCACAAAGAGGGAATATGCGACAGTGATGCTGCCTGACCACTGTTTTTTTGACTCACTCTGGGTAAGATGTGATGCTGAAAAGCACTGTTTAGCATAGTAGTGTTAGCTCAGAAGTAGCAAGTTTGATTGCTATTTTATAAGTGATCTATTTTATTATACTTAACTGTGTAAGAACAAATCTAAACTCAGATAATACAAGTGCTTTTTACATAAATTAGTATTTAAGATAAATTATGCCTGTTGTTTTAGCTGTTCTTATTCATAAGCTGGTTATAGTGTTTTTTAAATGTGTTTTATATGGGAGTTTTTTAATATATGGATCTTTTTTGTATTCAAACAAACAGCTGTAGTGTTGTGTGCATACTACTGTTTCTGCTGTAACTTATTCTATTCTAAAGACTGATGTGCATTGTCTTGTAAGAACCTATACTTTTCTTTAAAAAAAAAAAAAAAAGTTTAAAAGTAAAATGCTTAAAAGAAGAGCTGATATCAACGAGGTCAGACCAGCTACTTTGGATTTATTTTCCTAAGGATTTTCGTTAATGATTTCTTCATCAAATTAGTGAAGGTGAGGTTAAATGGTTGTGTATTATCATTTCACTGCTTTTTAATAACTTTATGAATTTATTAATCAGCACAACATAACTATTGTTCACATGCCTGGAAAGAGACCCTTTGGTCAGAGCATTGTGTACGTCTACGTCAATGGACAGCAGAAGATCTCTGCCCCACTTCGATTCCCTGCCATGAATGAAGTAAGTTCACCTTCTGTGTCATACACCTGTCCTGATGAACTTCATAGAAGAATGAGAGCATAGTTGGCTTTTTTTATGTTTGGAAACTCAGTGAGAGTTAAAGGTAGTTTAGAGCATTGTTGCTAAGTTGGTTCAAGTCTAGATAGTGTCCAAGGTATCATAGTGGAGAAAAAGTGGAACTAACCATTAATTAATGTTTGTTTAGTCATCTTGGTTTTAAAAACAAGCTGGGAAAAATATCAGCTTGGTTAAATAGTGGGGTTTTTCAGGACCAGAGCCCTATGATAGAATTTCTAGAAGCAAGTAGTGTGACAGCCCCAGTGAGAAATATTCCATCTTGTTTTCAGTGGCCATTCATTTTTTTAATATTTTCTATGTGTTTCCATAACACATGCTAATCTTATACCTGTTACCATCTTATATCATGCTTGGATAAGCATGAACACTAGCAACAAAATGAGAACCTGGCATTTTAAGTTCTTTGTGTGGGATGAATCCTTTCTAACCTGGGCTATAATACTTACCATTCTTCCCATGTTCAAGTCCTAATTTAATATGTAAGTATTTTGAGTAGTTTTAGTAAGCATTTAAATTAAACACTGTAATAGTGAAATCAGTATAACACTTCAAAAAGTATGTTGCAAGATAGAACTCTGGGTTTTGGCCTACTTGTAAAATAAGCACAATAGAGAAGATATCTATATGTGGGGTTGGTAATCTTCCTCTGAGGGCTTCTGTTCAAGTGGTAAATAATTGATACATATAGCAGGCATAACAGGCTAGTATTTTCAAATACAATCCAGAAGAGGAATGTTTACTAGAGTATCTTACCAGAGTACTGTCCAGGCTCTGTTCCTGGCAGCCTTTTTTGTCACACAATAGTTCAAATGACCAAATTGTTTTCAACTGAATTAGGAGCACTCTGCTGTTGTGAGAAGTATGTGTTCTTTTCTTTTGGATTCTCCAGAGTGTGCCAGTACTTGCTGTTCTTGGTTTAATTTATTTAGTTCAGATTTGACAGAGATAGTCTTCAGATTTGCTTCGTAAAATAGGTGAAGCAGAGGTGGAAAAGGAACATAGACTTAAACTCAGTGTGTGTTTTGTTTTTTCTTCTATTCTTGCTTCTACAGCCTTTTACTTCTTGCTGCATTGGTTCAGCTGGTCAAAGAACAACAACTCCTCCTCCATCTCAGATACCAGATCCACCTTTTTCTTCCCCTGTCATGCCTCACCGTACATCACTTGGGGGCATTCTCTCTCCAGGAAGCTGGGGTGGGATGCTTGCAAAACCAGAACTCATCACCAAGATGATCTCAGCAGGGACTCAGGATAGTGAATGGGGATGTCCAACATCGTTGGAGGGCCAGCTTGGTTCAGTTATCATTTTTCATGAAGCACTGCAACCCCCTCAGGTGAAAGCATTGTATTTGGCAGGTAAGTAATGATTATACTAATTTTTAGTGAAACAAAATGGTTGAGTTAGGGACAACATCACTTACAGCTTTGCTGTACACAGACATGTAATGACATGACAGACAAGTTACAGTCCAAAATAATTTTAAAGCTAACGTAAGTGAGAGGGCTCTATAAGAAGCTCAGAAATAAGTGATAAGGATTTTTACTTAAGTTAAAATATTAGGTTTCCATAAGCTCATCTATTTATTTATGTACAGGCTTGCCAAAATCTGGATGTTAAGTATATTCTCACTTTTCTTTTTTTTCCACTGTTTGCCTACAATTGACCTTATAATTGAAGGTCTTTAAAGTATTGCTCTTGTTGACAACCCACTGAGGTGATTTACACTTGATTGATTTTTCATGGAAAAATCCTGAACTGTGATTTTAAAATAAAAATAAATTATTGATCTGTTTTACTGAAGTATTAAGTGAAGTTCAATAATGACATGGGATTGTTAGAGATTAGCAAGTACTTCAGCCATTTAAAGGAAGTATTTTTATGTTGCTAAATAAAGTTGACTTGAATATTTCTTACTGTCTGGCTATTTGAGCTTTTTGATAGGTTGGTGGCAAGTATAGATGTTTGTAAAGAAATATTTCTGTTCAAGTGTCCAAAATATTGTATAGTTTGGCTTTTTATCAAGAATATGTATTTGCTTTTAATAAGAACCCTATGGAATGAATAACTTCATAATATTACTTTAAAGTGTATCTCAAATAGGTATGGTTCAGAGTATCCTGCCATAACAAAGAATAGTTGTATAAAATTTGTGAAAGTTAATATCCAGTGAAGTCTTAAAAATTAAAAGCAATGTATTTATAGGTCCAAACTGTTTAACTCCATGGAAATCTCAAGAGCCTGAAGTAGCAGATCTCCCCAGTAAGGTGTTGCTGCATTACACACCAAAGGTATGGAACAATATGGATTTTTCTGTTGCTTTTGCAGTGTGAAGTAATTTCAGAACTTATCTTGAATAGTTTTTTCTTTTAGAAAATTCTTTTAGAATTAGAACAAACTAATGTACCATTAACATGTAAGAACATTTAATATTAACATATTAAGTGTACCATTTTGGCTTTTTTTACACAATGGTAATGGGAAGATGCAGGGTAGCAAAAGCTTTCTTAGACTAGAATTTTGGGGAAGGGCGATAGATGTTGTTCTTGTTTAGCAAAAGGACAAAATTATTTTGTACAAGTCAAATCTAAGATGACATAAATTTTCTAGGGTTCCCAAGTTGTTTAAACAACATCCTATCAACACGATGACACTAACTATTATGCATTTTCAAGGATCTGTTGTTTCCTAAGTGATACTGTAGCCTCCTTACTTCTCAGGCCTGCAGAAATCCAATTTGTCTTGACCTGTCGGCAAATCTCTTGCATGGAAGACTAACTGGAAACAAAGTAGTGAACTGGGACATCAAGGTAAGTGCTTACTGAACAAGCGGAAGCTGTTGTTTATGTGACAGTTTTCTTACATTCACTAACCTTTAGAATGCTAGAAGTTATTGTCATAATGCCAATGACATTTAACAGATAAAAAGTCAGTCTTAACACTGCCTGAGGAAATTGGCTTATTTGCAGCTAGACAGCTTGATCAAGAAACATTGTGATTAATGATTTTTCTGTTCAAATAGAAAATAGTAATTCTAATACTAATACTATAGACCTTTGCTTGCAGGGCTCTTTTAGCAAAAAAAATAAAATAAAATAAAAAATAAAAAAATAAATAAAAAACAGAAACAGAAACAAAGATTGAGGGCAGAGCATGTATCCTATGGACAATTTCTTGTTTTGTTTTGAAGACGAGTGTGTGAACAAATAAATGCAATTTTTAATTTTTCTTGTTTAAAATCATTTTCCAATTTCTTACGAATAGTATGCAATCAACTCAATGAGCAAACTAATTAGTAAGGAAATGTTGTTTGGGCTACACTGTGCATATGCTCTGACTTACGGAGATCAATGTTAAGAAAATGGAAATGTTTGCTAGTTAATTTTGCTGTGATGTGAATAGTTAGAAAATACTAAAATTTGTTGTCTTTATCCAGTAGATAGAAGAGAGGTGGGTGAGGATGGCTTATATCTCTAGCTGTATGGGAAAGTATATTGAAAGTACAAATCTCAGGAGGATAATTAGTTCATTAACAAACAGTGAGGATTGGCACTCTCTTGAGGACTAGAGTGAGGGATAAAACACAAAGCTGATCAAGTCGTTAAAGAGATGAGACAGCTTGAAAGGAGCTACAGTTACTGCTATCTTGTGCTTTGTAGAAATTCAATTTTTTTCAGCTTTCAAAAGTGTGATGCTTCTTGTTTTGCCTGGCTAATATGGAAATCTTCATCCATGAGATAAATTTTACAGATTTAAAAAAAAAACTCTTAGCTTAACTGTTCAATTTTCTTTAAATATCCCCATGTTTATTGAGGCAAATCTAAACAGAGACAGGGGTATCATATGGGCATGTAAACAGAGTAACAATTTAAAAAGTGGAATGTGATGGAGGCAAAAAAGGGTTCCTCTACTTCTCCCCAGTGTTTGTGGGAAGGAAAACTGATGTTCTGTGATTGGCTTACAGGTATTGTTTTACTTTGGATTCTAAGAATTTTAGTATGCGGTGGTTTTCCTTGGGCTAAGTTGGGCAGGTGAACAAGCATCTCTGACTAGTTTGCTGATTATTGTTTTCTGTGAGGAGTGGAAATTAAGTGGATTTTTAGTCTTGAATTTGAAAAAGGGTGGAGATAAAAATTGAAGTATACATAAAACTATTTGAAAAAAAATCATCATTTTCTAACTACTTGAAGTAGAGATCTTACAGGAACAGGATTAAAACGTGTGTATAATATGTCTTTACTGCACGTAACTTAGATATCATAAATGTTTTTACTCTGTTTTTCCAAAATGCTTAATAGAAAATTCTTTGATATTTATAATCTTCAGGTTCCCATGTTTATTTTGAGGAGGGTGGAATGAAGTGTAAAAACACAGCTGACAGGAAGTCGTGTAGTTGCAGTGCCTAGAATCTGGGCAACACTCTGTTTAAACTCAGTGTTTTAAACCACTTTTAAACAGGCATAAAACAACTTTATTGATTTGTGAGTGCATAAAGTTCCTTATCTAATGTGAATTTCTGTGGCATAATTTGGAGAATTTTATTTACGGTTGCTTTCCTTCCATTTCTCTTAATTTTAGGATATGATCAACTGCATTGGTGGAATAAATGTGCTGTTTCCGTTGCTGGAGCAGATCAGTTTTCTTGGTAGACAGATGCCTGAGAAGTCTGTAGGGGAAACTCTACCTCCTGAAGTAGTTACTCCTGTAGAGGGAGACTGGGTGGTATTGTCATCCACAAAGGCATCAGGTAGGTATCAAAGTACAACTGAGATGAACTTTTAAAGTTTGGTTTTAATTAAACATCTTTATGTGAATAGAAGTGATTCTTATACTTGTTGGCTTTTCCAAAGCAGCACTCAAGCTTGACAGACTGTTGTTTTTTCTAGACATTTGATGGGGTGCTGCATAACAACAATTCAGCACAATGTAAAATGAGCCTGATGATCTATTTGAAATATAAATGCATTTAGCATTGTTTTTGCTCTTAATGATTTCCTATTGTATTAGTGTCAAAACATGCAATTATTTCTACTTCTCTTTTGAAAAGCTTGTTGTGAATATTTTGAGAAATTGCTTTCTTTATTCAAAACCTGCTAATATCAGTAGGAGGAGGTTTTCAACAGCATGGATATTGGGTCAGACAGCCAAATAAAGATTGTGGAATATCAGATCAATGCTGTGTAGACTCTGTCACACTTTCATTTTCTTTGGAAAATGTTCAGACTCCTACACCTTTCACATGAACAAATCAATACAATTAAAAGGAAGCTTTAAGAACAACTAGGGAGGGGAAAAAAAAAAAACAACGGAAACATCTAATTACCACCAAACTGTACTAGTATAAGTTGGGAATTAATTTTTGTCTTAGCAGAAAACAAGAGGAAAACAGAGCTTGCAAGAGAACCATTTTCATTTGTTTTGAATTTGAAATGGTTGAGTAAATATGTTTCCTCACTCGTTCTCATTAATTTTTGCATACTATGTCTAGTTACTGCTGAAGGAGAATGTCTGATGCAACATATACAAGAAACTGTGACTAAAAGGAGGGAAGTCTCTGTGTAACAGCCTTAAACATGAAGCAAGGATCAGGTTGTCAGTTTTTCCTGGAGAAATTTGATAAGACTGATTCTGCACAGGGGGAGAAAAAGCCACTGAAGAAAGCTTACAGATAGGAAAAAAAAAAAAATGCAGAAAGAGTTAAGGAAGTTCAGGGAGTAGCTTTCAATGCAAACACTTGATTTTATTTTTTCCCTATGATAAACAATTATCTAATGATAAACCGTGAGTCTTACTGATTCTGATTTTGGTACTGCTCTGTTTTGCAGAGGCACGCCTGGAGAAGAACATTGTTGCAACTTTCATCTTGATGATTAAACACTTCATTCAGAGACACCATGTTAATCAAGAAAATCTCATTCACTCCCATGGAGTTGCCACCCTAGGAACCTTGTTACAGAAGGTGAATAAATTTGAGAAACCCTTAGAAATGATTGTTGCAGATGAGGTCCAAATTACTTTGGCATCTTCTTAGTTTGTCTAGGATGCAAGGTTTGCCTCAAAGGTTTGTTTAATATATGCATTTCTTATGCTTCTGAAAAGAAGTGTAAAGAGCTGGCCTTGGTCTACAAAGTGAAATGTTTTGAATAATTCATGTTCTTGTTTTGTTTGTTATATTACTTAAAAGCAGGCTTGCTGTAAAAGAGAAAATCTTAATTAAAAAAAAATATTATTTAAAGTAAAGAATATCCTAATAAACTTCATATTTTGAGTGTTAACACCTGTTATTTTGATAGGTGCCAAGCGTCCTAATGGATGTGAATGTACTGATGGCTGTACAGCTGTTGATAGAGCAAGTCTCAGTTGAGAAGAACTTGCAACTTCTGCAACAGATGTATCAACACTTACTTTTTGACTTCAGCATCTGGAACAGTGGGGACTTCCCTTTCAGAATTGGTAAGTCCTTGGATATGGGGCAACTGCACAAAGACACAGTACTTCTCATTTGATATAAATATTTTTCTAGGTTCTAATATGAGACCTTATATTATAGGGCATATACAGTATCTTTCTACGATCATCAAAGACAGCAGAAGGCTCTTCAGAAAGAAGTATGGTGTACAGTTTCTTCTAGACACGCTGAGAGTTTATTATGGGTATGAGTTTTACCTTTTCTAACTTTTCCTTTGTTGTATGCAGTTGTTCTGTTATGCTGTAGTGGAAATGCTAAGTCATGGCTTGAAACAGTGAGCACCTGAGGGGGAGGCAGGGCCAACCCAGGGAAACTTGTGTGTATAAAGCAATCAATGCACCTGAGTGACCAGAAGGGGTGAGCCAGGATCCCACCCCTTCCCAGATCCCATTTAAGGGTTGGCAGTGGAGACAAGGGTATCTTGTTGGATATCCCTGTATACCTGAGGTCTCCTGAATGTAAGCAGCTTCTTTTCTTTATTTCTGTGCCTATGGCTGTTGCAATTTGAGCAAATCTTCATTTGCTGCGGCCTGGAACCTTGCTGCTCTGTTGTCACTGCTGCATTTTCCATCATATTACACATGTTCACCTCTTTACTCCTCTGCCCCCACTTGTTCTAGTAAGAAAGGAAATAAAACTGGCTGGCTTTTATTGCTTGATTTCATTTTCAAAAAACGCATGAACTTGTTTCCATTTTACTTGCTTATCATTTTAAGACACTTCATTTATATCCTTGTAGTATTTGAAGTGCAACTCAGTTATTACTGAATTATGGAGCACTTGCTTAGAATTCCTTTCTTGTCTGTTGGTGTTTAGGAGTGGCAGCAAAGACAGTGATTTAACTCCTGATGACCTGAGAACTATACAGACATCCCTTTATGGACTGATCAAATACTTTCTAAGCAAAGGTGGAACACATGAAGAAATACAGAGCATTGTAGGATACATAGCTGCTACCAGTGAAGAAGAACAGGTATCCAGTGTGGTGTAAATTAGTATAAACTGTATGTGATTTGGTTGTAGTTCAGGAGTTATACTTGATCCTTAAGGGTTCCTTTCCAAATTGGGATATTCTGTATTGTTCCGTTTAGAAATCTTATTTGTATAAAGGGAGGTATGATAAAACATGCAAAGAGTTGATTGATTTATGGTTCTAATTGGGTGTGCTTCTACATATAACCTTTCTCAGCTACATGGGGATCCTTACAAAAGTGCTCTGTTAGTAGCTGTACTTCTACTTATTTTCTTGTGTGTTATGAGAGAAAATGAATTGTCATTGATCATTTTTGTAGTGATGTGAATTCCTATTTCGTAGACATTATTAGTGCTTGAACTTGATTTGTAGTTCCATTTACAGCTTGATAGTGTTCTGCATATAGCAAAAATGTCCACTTAAATGTGATAACAGTGAACAGACAATGTACATTGTATAGCAAGAAAGAATAGAAATTAAAGAGCAAGGATTTTTTTTTTCTGGATGGAGAATAAAGTCTGCATGAATTCTAGATTAACCCAGTTGTCTTAATTTTCAGCTCTGTGGCATCCTGGATGTTCTGTTCAGCCTTCTTCATTCCAGCTCAGCCCCAGATCAACTTTTTTTATTGCTTTTTGAACCAGGAAATGCTGATATTCTTTATGCTTTGTTATTGCACCAGAGGTACTCTGACAGGCTTAGAGAACTTGTGTTCAAGGTAATAAATGAATGATATGTTCATAAATTAATCAACAGAGCATGGATTTGTATTTTTCAGTAGTCAGACTGCAGAAGTGCAAATGCTTACAAAGATGCTGGTCATCCAAGTTTAATTTTTTCTAATATGCAAGCAACAACATGTAGCTAATCACTGTAGTTGCAATGGGGTTAGTGCTCTCCTAATGTCAAGCATTGGAAGTATTGGGACCTTTAAAATTGAGTCTGATTTTTTTATTAAAGGGTTTTTTGTAAACGATGGACTAGTATGCTGTGTCATATGCAATTAAGTTTAAGAAGTCTAGATGCTTCCTCATTATTTTGCTTTTGTGTGCTTTTTCACACAGATTATGGAAGAGATGCTGAAATGTACTAAAGTTTATGAACGTAGTAAGCACCGTATGAGACTCAGAGAAGTGGGGTACTCTGGACTTGGACTCCTCCTGAATGAATCCTCAGTTACTATTTCTCTCATAAAAAACCTTCTTAACCAAGTTCTCCATGCAGGTAATGGGGAAGTGTTGTCTACTGTTAGTAAATGCCTCTTTGCTCAGAGGCAAATACACTTGCTTTTTGCTCAGGAAAAAGTTACTTTATGAATCTGTTCTACTTGCAGTCCATGTTCGTCTCAGCTGTTTTCTTAATTCCCTGAAGCATGTTCCCTTTGCCATTCCTGGTTGTGGAAGTGACTTCCAAAGCTATTTTTAACACTTAACTGTTACATCACTTGCACGGAATAGTTTGATTTGTTTTTTTCTTCTCCACAGATCCTGCTGTGAATTATAAAGATCTTTTAGCTGTAGTGCATCTGGCTCATAGATCAGATATAAACATGAGAGTGGTTATCTGTAGAAAGGTTAGTTACCTTTAAAAATAGAGTACTGTTAAATCCATAAACTATATTGTGTGATGTCTTATTTGAGATGTTTTAGCTACACTGGCTGCTGCTGTTGCTACTTTCCTTTAGTAATGATTTAGGATGTTAGGAAAAAAGCTAATATGGAACTTGATGTTGAACTTCATATATTTAAATCTTTTAAAAAACAAAACCCCAAGTCTCTCCAGTGATTCTCAACTAGCATATTTTTTTTTGTTTTAGAAGTATTGATTTGAATTAGTTTTCTCAAAGGATGCTTAAGCTCAAGGTTTTGTTTCATTCTTAAGGTTACTTTTAATAGAACATGTAATGGTTCGGAAGAGTATTTAAGGATGCAGAGAGGAGATGGAAAAAGTAATAACTCTTAAATGAGCTCTCTGGCTTGTATCACTAGAATTGGTAGTACTGAATGTAGTTCCAAGAAACTATATTCTATACCAAAGTTTCTCAAAATAAGCCACATGTATGCTATCAACAAGCTAGTAATATTGTAGCTTACTTTAGCTTTCTTAATTTTTCTGTTTAATAGATTCTAATTAAGCATATAATGTGCTAGGATTTTGTTAATGGGATTATTTGCTCTGATAATTGCCTTTTCTAGGAATTGCTGTAGAAGAGTGACTGAAAAGTGAGGACTTACTGATGTACATTGATAGTTGTTTGTTTTTTTTCCCCCATGTTGTATTCCTGGGATTTTTTTTTGCTCTTAATGCATTTCTAATTTTGAGTGATTTCTGTGATATATATGCTTTCTGTTAATTCAATATGACTCTTTTATAAGCTGCTAAAAAGGTAAAGAAAGCTGTAAGGTCATAAATCTTCTAATTTAAAAGATAGAATGAATGATAGAATTTAGTTTCAAGCTAAAATTAATGTGTAGGTGTGAACTATCTTCTATCCTTAGGTTTTGCATCTTTTGCATTCCCAACTGGATGCAGCACAACAGATTTCTCAGCAGCTGGGCTGGCAGGACACTTTGATCAGACTCTTCCTGAAAGAAAATTCTGAGGTCCGGATTGGCTTTAGAGAAAACAGGGCTGACTCCTCAAGGGAAGAGGAGAAAAATCCTCCTGCTGAAGAACTTCAGAAATATCATGCTGATAAGATGGAGGGAGATAAAGTTGATACCTTTGCATCTATAAATGGATTGTTTGATCAGTGGAGTTTAGAAGACAATAAATCCTTGGATGTCCCAGCTCATTTCTCTGCTATGCCACTGGAAGATGCATCCACAGCAGAGATGTCTTTCAAGTCAGAGGACCGAGAAGATTTGTGGCGCAGTAATCCTTCACATCTGAGTCTAGATCTATCCAGCGTTGACTCTTATGAACTAGCTGACGTTGTGAATCAGATGACAGATAGCCTGCCCAGCACACCATCACCTATAGAGAACAGAAAACCATTTTCTGGGCAGCCTGAAAAGGAGCTAGATGTCATAAGCGATGTGGGCTTCAGTGCTGCTGATCTATCTTCATTTGAAAATCAAGGAGTAAGTAATTTTCTACCTATGTGGTTAATTTCTCCTAATGACTGCAATTTTTTTCCTTTCTAATTGTATCCCTAATGGGCATATAATCATTGTCCTTTTATTCTTAATCTTCTGAAGCAAAATAGCCAATAATGTTCTTACAGTCAGTGGGGACATCTCTGGGTTATGTCTCTTTTTGGTTGGAATTGCTTGTGCAAAGGTGGAGTAGGGAGAACAAAAGGGCAGTTAAGGGTTAGGTTTAAATAATGATGTCAATATATGTTACAGTTTCTGGGAAGCCACTTTTTCCCATATTTTGTGTATTTAGCTACTAGACTTGAGACTGTAGAGTTTTCAAACAAAAAAGTGGAAAGCATAGAGAGACTATGATGAAGGAGAAACTGTGAAGATTTATAGGAGTTGAAAGGCTGTAAATATTCCTTTTCTTTTGCAGGGGGGTGATAATGAACTGATACAGTTACTTACAGACATCCTGCTGTGCATAATGTGGAAAGGCATTGAAAGATCTGATGATGAGGCTTGGGTAGAGAGAGGACAGGTGTTTTCTGCACTGACTAAACTGGGAATATCTAATGAGTTGCTGCGACCTTCTGATGAAATAAAACTCAAGTGAGTGTACTGTTCATGGGCAGGTTCTATCCTTTTTTTGATGAAAAAGGGAAAAAATAAGTGGGCTTTAGTAAGGCTAAGAAGGAATGGATGTTTACCCTCAAGATACAATTTTTTTTTAGCTCTATCTTCATGTACTATCAGTATATTTTACTACCTATTAGGTAATGTGGTTTTAAGGTTTTGAAAAGCTGTATTCCAAGTTTCATGTGCTCTTTAAAAACTTTTACATCTCTGTCTTATTGAGAATACAGCAGTTATCGCTGTGGACTGAGAGATTCAATTAAATACTTAATAGGATTTTTTTAAAGCCACTTACAGCTGGAACATGTAGTAATTACTTCGGGATTTTGTTTTACATGCAGCTTATTGGAGAAGATGTTAGAATGGTCAGTCACTGATAACAGAGATTCTAAAGCTCTCCCTACACACTCTGAAAATGCTTTCCGGCTCTTACTAATTGTACAAGATTTCCTGCAGGCAGAAGGACTTGTTAACTCAAATTTATGGACAGAAAAGGTACAGTAACTGCATAATGGAAATTTTGTGGGTAGAAATAGTAATGAAAAAGTTGTCAACTTGGATAATGTCATCTCCTCTAGGTGTTTGTTTTTAAACTAGATATTAGAGAGTAGTGGTTCATAGTGAAACATATTAGATTGTCCCTTAATAAGAAAAATCCTAAAAGCTTACTACAGGGAATATTGAGCTACTTATGAATGTATGCCCAGTTTTATACGTCCAGGGAGTCAGAAATAGGAGCCCTGAGGGAGGAAAGAACTAACAATCACAGTAAGTGGTAAGGTAGAGAAACTATCTGTTTCCTGACTGTTTCCTGCTTTCTTCATGAAATTATGTAACTTCAACAATAGTCTTTCCTCTTGTGCTGTGTTGTCCTTGCTTTCCATTTTTGGCAGATATGAGTTATTTGTTGGAAAAAAAAAAAAGTAATGTTAAGTCTTCAATGGAGTAATTGCTAAGCTGCTCTCCATACCGCAGGCTTGTGAACAAACAGAGTAATTGTAAAGCTTTCCTTTGTGTTTCTTTTTTTTTTTTTTAAAGACTGCTCTATGTAAAGGTTTTGCTTTTTGTTATGATCTAGCTTTGTGAAATCTAATTACAAATGAGATAGGAACTTTGGAGCAATGGGGGTTGTGCTTATTGCCATCTCTGAATTGAAAACAACGACTTCTGTAAATTGTCTTCCACTGTGCCTAGGGAGAATTTAAAGCACTGCAGTATTTTAAGCAGCTTTCAGCTTGCTACAGAAGCTTTCTTGTGAGTCTGGGGCTTAACAGAGTAGTAATTTTATATTTTAGAAATTTTTTAGGGAATACACCAAGATATGTTACTTTTAAGTAAATGTTTGATGGTAAAATGGGTCATTATCTTATGATTAGCTTCATTTTGTAGTGAGGTTTTTGTCAGGTTTTGGTTTCTATGTTAGGAGAGATTCAGAAAGAAATCCTAATGTAAGGTATTGGTAGTTATGAAGCTTCAAACTTCTCATCAATTTTAGTATTCATTGATGAAGCCTTGCTTTACTTCTCAAGGCACCATACATATTACTGTTGCTAGTGAATTATATTGGCATTACTCACATCACATAACACACAAAATAAAAGGGTAAAATGAAAACCCACAAATACTGAACTAGAAATTGGTTGTTGGTGTAATGTCTGCATGATTGATAAGAATGTCTTTCCAATTGTAGCAATCCTGCTGCAGGAATCTATAGCTTTTTTAAGGAGTTGACATTTCCTGGAGTAAGTTAAAGGAAGAAGATAGACATATATACAATATGTTGGTTTTGGCTTTATTCAGGAGACACTTGAGTTAACATACTAGGCTAGTTGTATTTTACAGTCAATTTTTTCAGATTACTGGTTTAGCTACAGTCTTTTAGGATGATGATATGGCTTTGGGTAACTTAGAAGTGGGAATTCTACAGCTCTTTGAAATAATTGCATCTCCATCTGGAATAGTTACTGGTAATTTGTTTTACAAAAATCTTCTGCTTTTATGACAGCTATTGGAGGAATTAGTGATTCTTATGGATAGCCTGTCAGTCTGGTACTCTGCTGGCCCAGAAGCAGCCTGGTTTTCACAGGTGCAAGTCCAGTTGCTCCTTGGATTCATTGCACAAGACAACTTACAGGTTTGTTGCAAATTCCAATATATTTTAAGGGCGTATTTGGTGTAACTGTTCTGATTCTGAAGGATCTGCTTGTACCAGTGAGAAGAGTGATGGCAGACTTTTATCCTTCTACATGAAAATGGTAAGCCCCAGTAAAAAAAATTTGCAAACTTACTCTGTGGTCCCATCGATGTGCGTATCTTGAATATGTGAATGAGGTAGAGAACAAGCTGTTTGAACTTGGAGGTTATGTAGCTTCTAGTAGCAGTAAGATAGCAGTCCTGATAGCAACTTTTCGTTTCTACCATAAAATGTTTGTTAGTGGTTTCAGGTTTGCATAGATTCAGTGCATGTGAATCTGGACTGTTAGGCTGAATGGACAATTGTTATAAAGTTAGCAGAGCTGTGTTTGGAATAATGAACCCTTCAGAAAACCCAGACTTGTTTGTTAAGGCACATACTTACCTTAATGCAGTTATGTGACTGAGGTTGCAACTGACTCAGGTTGAATTAAGTGATCAGTGCCTGTATGTGATGCCTGTGTGCCCTTGGGCTACCTGAGATACAAACAGAGTATGTAAATACTTCTGTGCTAAAAGATAAGTGCTCCAAATTACTATTTTGAGTTGCACTCACTTTGTTGTTTGTCTATGTAGGTCTGTGCTATGGCAGCAGCAAAACTGAACACCCTTCTTCAAACCAAAGTAATAGAGAGTCAACCTGAAGCATGCTACCTGTTGGGGAAGTTAGAAGGCATCTTAAGTAGATCAATAGAAGAGAAGACAGAAACGTACTCATTTTTGATTCCGCTCGTTCGGACGCTGGTATCCAAAATTTATGAACTTCTCTTCATGAATCTGCATCTCCCTTCATTGCCTTCTACCAATGGCAGCCCCTCTTTCTTCGAGGACTTCCAAGAATATTGCCGATCTGATGAATGGAAGGTTTATATTGATAAATATGTAAGTAGTTAACTCTTTTGGTGTCATTCACACTTGTTTTCATCATTAGAGCAGAGGAGTTCATATTCAGAAATCATACTTTGTTTTGATGGGAACAGATTATTCCAAATATGAAGCAGTATGAAGAAAACTCCTTCAGACATGGTCATGAGCAGATGGCAGTTTATTGGAAGGATTGTTATGAGGCATTTATGGTGAATATGCACAAGCGAGATCGGGAGAGAGGAGAAAGCAAGCTGAAATTTCAGGTAAGGTTTTCAGTAGCTTATGTCTCAGGATTAATAAAAAAATAAAATGGAGAAATTGAATTCCAAAATAACCTAATTCAAGTTACTGCAGGCATGTTGGTGGTTCTGTTGAAGATTTTTGAGTCTGACTATATATACATGTAGAAGATTTAATTCTGTTGTTTTTGTTTAAGAGTCTTGTCTGTAAGCAGAATTATTTCAGGACAGATCTTCCATAGTACAGTAACCTGGGATTATCCTTAGCTATAAGCTACTTTTTTTCCACTTTGATGTATGTTTTGAGTTATTAAAACCTGAATTATTAAAACCTCCATTATGATATGAGTTAACATTTCAAATTCTCTCAACTCTAGGGAATGTTTTAGAACAGTTAGCAGGTCCCATTTATTGCGTGGAAAAACTGACCTTTCTGTGTAAGGTTCAGATTCCGTTCAAGCATTAGAATTAATTGTTAAACAGTATTAAGTCTTCAAAAATCTCTCTTGTAAGCAATGCCTTACATTTTCAGAAAAGTCTACTGCTAAACCACTTCTATATATTTGTCATCTGCAGGAATTCTTGTAAGTTGCAAAACCGTTCTTTCAGTATTGGATTTATTTTTAATGATCTTTCAGGAGCATTTTGTGGAACCGTTCAGCAGAAAGGCTCGACAGGAAAACCTGCGGTATAACAGTATGCTAAAGCAACTTCATAGTCAACACACAGCTACTCTGAGACAGTGGAGAGCAGCCCAACTTTATTTACTCTCTGAACGTGGTCCTTGGTCTGAAATGTAAGTGAATTTCTTGAATCAAACAGGATATGATGCTTGAAAGGAATTTGTTTGTGTGATTAACTTACTATTTCATATGACTAGAACCTTGTCAAATTGACTTGAATAGCCATTCTTGACATGTGGACTTAATACTGAATGTATCCTTAATGATTTCTGCATTTCAGTTATAAACATATGAAGTTTGAAATGTACTGCTGAGCTGGTTACCTGGAGTGACAAATGCAAATTGATTATCAACATTACTCTTAAAAAACATGACAAAAAATAACCAAAACAACCCTCTTGAGATATTCTACTCATCAATGGTTCTTTTCGATGGAGAGAATAGTCTTTAAAAATAATAAGTTAGAGGTTTTTATGTGCATGAAGCTGATGTCAATTTAAAATGTTACATTTTGCCTGCCCTAACTTGTGGGTGAATTCTAACTAAAGACTTTCTGGAACTTCTAGTGTAAACAATTTGCTGTATTGCAGTTGAAAATGAATGCTGCATGCAAAATGTTTTAGGATGATCAGAGCTGCAATATGACATACTATTGAAATGCAATTGATAGCTTTTATGTTTTGCAGTCTACCAATGTGTAGGTGGCTTGAGGATTTTTTTTAAATACGTATTTCTTTGTAATCATTTTGCTCATAGGTTTTTACCTTCTTTGAAGTATTTATATGGATATTCTTGTTTTCTCAGGAAACAGCATCCTGTTCACTGGAAACTTTCAAATGTTGAAAATTTTTCACGTATGAGACTAAAACTGGTGCAGAATTACAACTTCAACTCTCATCAGGATGCTAGTGACCTGAGAGATAATTTAGGTAATGTTTTACCTAATGGTTTACTTGGATTCTGTGACTTTCTCTGATATGTTTGTGTTTTTAACAATCAGTGTGTTACAGGTAGTTAAATCATTTTATTTTTTTTGGTTATTCCCTCTACGGTAATAATATTTAACATAGCAGTGATGCTTTGACCTGAAGCAGCTTCTTTTCCCAATGGAAAGAATTTCCTCTTGTTCATTGAAGTGTGTATTTTTGGTGGAAAAATAGTTCAAGAGCTCCTTTGTTTTATAATAGGCAGTTGCATATCTTTCTTGGAATCCTGTAAACCCAGATTAACTAAAAACAACAACAACGAGAAAAAACCCCACGGAGGTACATTTCTCTGAAACCTGCATGCTGTAAGAGCATCTGGCAAAACACTATGGAATATCTTAATGGAAATGTCTGCATTAGAATACAGTTTTTAGGGTTTTTGTTTTCCTCATATAGTTATGTAAATTTTATTTCTCTGTATATATAGGTAATTTATATACATACATAAAATTGTAGAATCCTTAGAGTTGGAAGGGGCTGTTGAAGGTCATCTAGTCCAACTCCCCTGCAATGAAGAGGGACACCCATAATTACATGAGGTTGTCCAGGGCCTGATCCAGCCTTGCCTTGAAAGTCTCCAGGATTGGAACATCTACCACATCTCTGGGCAGCCTCTTCTACTGCCTCACCACCCTCTTGCTGTAATGTTCCTTAATTGTTTTGATGTATTGTGAATACCAGTCAAATTTCACTGTTTTCTGAAATGTACCGTTACCAATTAACTTGACATATATTTGAATGTAATTCATGGAGCATTTTTAAAAAGTCCTGCTTGCCCTCTGAAGTATTGAAAGAGTCTGAAGAAGTTGCTTCTTGAGTAAAGATAGCATTCAACAGTAGAAGATCCACTCAGTAGTTCAACTTTCTAAAAATGGTGGACGAAGGGAAGGCGACTGATGTCATTTACCTGGACCTGAGCAAGGCCTTTGACATGGTCCCCCACCACATCCTCATCTCCAAATTGGAGGGAAGTGGATTTGATGGGTGGACGACCCGATGGGTAAGAAACTGGTTGAAAGGCCGCAGACAGAGGGTGGTGGTCAATGGCTCTATGTCCAGGTGGAGGCCGGTAACAAGTGGTGTCCCCCAAGGGTCTGTCTTGGGACCGGTGCTCTTTAACATCTTTATTAATGACATCGATGAGGGAATTGAGTGCACCCTCAGCAAGTTTGCTGACGACACCAAGCTGAATGGTGCGGTTGATACGGTGGAAGGAAGGGATGCCATTCAGAGGGACCTCGACAGGCTGGAGGGCTGGGCTCGGGTGAACCTAATGAGGTTCAACACGGCAAAGTGCAAGGTTTTGCATTTGGGCCGGAAGAACCCCAGGCACCCGTACAGGCTGGGAGGAGCGGTCCTTGAGAGCAGCTCGGCAGAGAAGGACCTGGGGGTCCTGATGGACGAGAGACTGAACATGAGCCAGCAGTGCGCTCTGGCAGCTCGAAAGGCAAATGGGATCCTGGGCTCCATCAGGAGAGGGGTGGTCAGCAGGGACAGGGAGGTGATCGTCCCTCTCTACTCGGCTCTTGTGAGGCCCCATCTGGAGTACTGTGTCCAGGTGTGGAGCCCTCAGTACAAGAAAGACATTGAGATTTTGGAAAGGGTCCAGAGGAGGGCGACTAAGATGATCAGGGGGCTGGAGCACCTCCCCTATGAGGACAGGCTGAGGGAGTTGGGCTTGTTCAGCCTGGAGAAGAGAAGGCTGCGGGGTGACCTCATTGCAGCCTATCAATACCTGAAGGGAACCTACACCCACGAGGGGAGTAAACTCTTCAAAAGGGCTGACAACAGCAGGACTAGGGGAAATGGATCGAAGTTGAAGGAGGGAAGATTTAGGTTGGATGTTAGGGGGAAGTTCTATACAAGGAGAGTGGTTAGGCCCTGGAACGGGCTGCCCAGGGAGGTTGTGGATGCCCCGTCCTTGGATGTGTTTAAGGCCAGGTTGGACGGGGTCCTGGGCAACCTGATCTGAATGTGTGTGTTTGGTGGCCCTGCTAGGCAGGGGGGTTGGAACTACATGATCCTTGAGGTCCCTTCCAACCCGGGTGATTCTGTGATTCTGTGATTCTGTGATTCTGTGAAATGGATTAGCAAAAAATTTTCTGAGCTGTTACACCTGTTACGATAGGTGTGTACCAGACACAACCCTCTAGTGAGTCTCTGCTTCTGGAGGTGGTGAAGCAGGTGAAAGTGAGTGACTTGGAAGATGATGTGCTTGAACTGCCAGAAGAAGACACAGCAGCCAGTTCCAATATGTAAGTGCAACAGCAATGAACTGCTGAAATTCATTTATGTAATTTGTATGTGGGAAGGAATAGGGAATCAACTTCAAGAATTGATTAGCATACAAAACTTTCCTCTTTGTTTGTCCTTAGTAGTCCAATCCAGGGTTTTGTAGTAATTTGTGTAGCAGAAAAGCTGCTGCTTTCTCATTATAAACAATGATGCATGAAGAGCACCAGGGGAAAGGAAGTCTGAGTGTATCAAGTTCAGAGAAAGCATTTGTGAGGATATGTGATTCGCTGCTCTCAGTTGGTCTGAGATTGCAGGATTGTTGAGGCTTCCCACTGTGCATTTGTTGTAGTTCTCAGGAGATGGTCTAACCTGTGAGGGTGTGGACCAGTTTGGAGCCAGCTCTTGTCCAGGGAAGCCAGAGCTGTTCATTATGCTGTCAGTTGCACAGCATGAATATCTAACTAGTGTAATCTAATAGTCTCATTCAGGGGAGAAGACCAGCTGTGCTTCGTTTGTGGACTTTAGGAAACTCTTCCTCTCAGTTTTTTCTTAATAGAGAGGTGGGGATCAAGGAGGAAGAGAGGGTAAACACTTGATTCCATTCACTCTGGCTACTGTGCATGTGCCTGTGTGTCTATGCTGTTGAAGCCCAGAAGATGTGGAGGTGGTTTTTTTTTTTTGTTTTTTTTTTGTTTTTTAGTGATACTGATGAATTCTCTTGTACCTCACAAGCAAACATTCAGTAACTTTTGAAAGCATCTCTGTAGACTTAAGATCAGCCACTTCTTCAAATATGTCTGAAGTTCACTTCAGTAACAGGAACCAGGGATTAGCTTCAGGCCAGATCACTCAAGTACCTTCAATACGAAAGAAATGCAACCTGTTGTTTTTGTACTTCAGAGGAAGTCAAATTCATTGTGCCTGAAACTGAAATAGCAAGCCCGAAAAGCAATGTTAAGAAATGTTTTCAAACCAGTCTACTAGACTTCTAAATGCTAATGGAAGTGGTTTCGTATAATTTTGCGTGGTGTATTTTTTGTCTTTCAAATTTGATTCTTTTCTAAGCTGTACCAAGTACCTAAGCAACTGTATAACCTACCCAACCCCTAACACCTGCTTTTTTTGGTAGGGATGAGAAGGATGAACAGAGTCAGAAAGAAAAGCTAATATTGTCTGAAAACTGTGAACTGATTACTATAATTGATGTGATACCTGGCAGACTGGAGGTCACTACCCAGCACCTATATTTCTTTGATGGTAGCATCGAAAAAGAGGAGGGTGAGCATAACCAATGGCTTCTTATTTTCAATTCAGCAATTCTGTTTTCAGTAGAGATTTAGCACCAAACTAATTGTAAAAAAGTAGGGTGTGGATCTGTACTTAACATTGTTCCTGAAGGTCAGCCTCTGACCAATCCAATTATAGTAAATAATCTGAAACTATGCAAACTGAGCTCTTATGTTGATTATTTCTATAAAAATAATAGTTGATTTGCTGACAATGCTGCTAATGAGCATCATGCTATTTCCTCTAATTTATTTCTTAAACCACATTTCTGTTCTACATGACATGTTTCATTTATGTGCTGATTAAGAGTAGTAAGTTGTAGTTTTAAGTAGGAGGAGGAGTAAGTAACAGTATGTAAAAATTAATGGCTTTTCTTTTTTACTTAAGGAACTTCAATGAAATATGCATGGTTAAGCATGAAAACAGTAAATTGTTGGTAAAATTTGAGAAACTATAGATCAAGATGCTAACCTTTTGAGAATTCTACACAGAAGCTTCTATCTGAGCCTGATTAAGAAATCAAAGATGTTTCAGTTCATATTTTTTGCCAACAAAATACATTCATAATGTATTTTGATCAGAAAGCAAAACCAGATTCTTCATCCTGTTAGTTACTGCCCGTCTTTTTTTTCTCCCGTAATAGAGCAGATGAGGCTTCCAAGCAAAATGTTTCACCAAGCCATGTATAAAAAATGCTTTTTATGGTTGACAGTAGGGTGTTTAATACTGCATTATTTGAATAAGGAAAGTTTTTGAAAAGATTTAGATTCCAAATCCCGTAATCCAAGTGCTCTTCTTAGGGGTTGGTTTTGATTTCAAATGGCACATTTCTCAAATTCGAGAGATACATCTGCGTCGGTACAACCTGAGGAGGTCAGCTTTGGAGATCTTCCTTACAGATCAAACCAACTACTTCCTCAACTTCAATAAGGAGGTATGTGTTTGGTAAATTTTCTTGTTTACTGTTACTAGTACAAGTGTCAAGTTCTAGTTCGCTGACCTTATCTGTATCTGGTGTCTTTCATGAAACTGGCACAATAATGGTGAATTATTTGCTATGCTTAAAGATTATATAAATTTGCAGCCTCCAAAAAACTCAGTCTGACATATGAAAACTGAATAAAGATAAATAAAACAAGACTTTTCCTGTCTCTTTTTAGTGATACAGAGCTGTAATTCAACTAAAATTACCTCAGTAGTAATCTGAATGTCTTGAACCTGCTTTGGCAGGGGGGTTGGACTCCATGATCTCTGGAGGTCCCTACCAACCTCTAAGATTCTGTGAAGCTTACACTATTAAAAAAATATTCTAAGTAAATTAATTACTAATAACAGAGACTTTTTTAAATACAAAGTTAGAAATAATATTGTTCTGTGATTTACAATTAATGAACTTTTATTTTTCTCCTGCATTAATGTAAATGATCCATTGAACATGGAACTAAGGTGAATATCAGGACTTAAGGAAAGTTACATACCAGTCAGTCAATTCAAGAATAACAGCTGAAAAACATTTTAAATAAATCAATCTTTGTGTTAGTTTTGTAAGGAAAATAGTGAAAGCTTATTTGAATAGCAGCCTTCTTAGAAGAATATTTAGTGGAATTTCTTTTACTGTAGCATCAACAAAAGTCACTTCACGATGTGTATCCTGAAACTGAAGGATATCGTATCCATGTGTCCAAAGGCTTATACAGCAAGAGACAAATGTTTAAAGTGTAACCGTGTTCCATTTGCTTTGCACACTGTAACTAACAGTGAAATTGTGTACTTGTCAGCTTCAATATCTAAAATATGTATCTTTATGCTGTTTGAACAGGTAAGAAACAAAGTATACAGTCGAATATTGTCACTGCGTTCTCCAAATATTTCTGGGACCCGATCTCCTCAGGAGCTCTTTAAAGCTTCAGGTTTGATGCAGGTATGAAACTTCAGCATAAATGGTATTATCCTGCTCCTTGAAGGAGTTCTATACGTCCCTGAGTACTGATTTTTATTTATCATTTCCAATGGCAACTGCCAACTTCTCTGATGCCGCTGATATCTAAACTTCCACATGCATTTTTTTAGAATTGCAGTCTTTGTGTTCACAGTCACTGAGTTTATGCCATGTAAGTAGTCTGGTGCTGATGTGATTATTACAAGTGATCTAACAAGAGTAGAGAACATGTAGGAGACTTGCTTTTGGTCTGTGGTCTTTTACATGTATTCTCAGTCTTCTCTCAATACATGAGCAAATAATGTTCCCTGCCATCTTTTCAGGACAGGGCTTTCAGCAAAGCATATATGAAGGTTGAGCAGGAAGTATGGTTTTAAGGGAATTGGTTTTTTTACTTGTAAAAGTAAAAATGGACGTTTTGATATTACCCTAAACATGGATCACTTCTCTAAATACAGTTGATTTTTATTTTCTATCTTGTTATCCTACAATCATTGTCTTCTCTGAGGGAATGATGGAGGGGAAGGCAGTTCTTACTTAAGAATTTAAAAAATATTGGGAGTACTTCATTTTTAATTTCTTCTCAAGGACATAAGGTATCATTTGGTATATTCATGTAGTATATCTGTATATTCTGCAGTGAAATGTTTCCATCTTACTGCATAAAGCTCTTTAATCCTTCTAATCACAGCTCTGTTGGTTGATTGGTTTAAAATAGAATAATGGAGGAAGGGCAACATATGTTTACATGTTCTTCTACCATTAACCAATGGGAGAAAAACTTAAAAGTTCTGACCTTTGAACTCTAATGGATTTCAAAGTTCAGTTCCCAGTTCCCATATCTGTTCACCTGTATTCTGTTTCATTTCTATTTTGCTTCCCCTTTTTGTTCTAAGGCTGCTAGCTGTCTGCTGTGTTGCATTTTAAAACAGTACTGATATCAACCAAGGATATGATTTCAATGAAATACAGCACAGTGAATGTATTTCAGTGAAATGTAGCAACTCTGTAAAATGTAGTATAATCATCAAATCAAATGGGAAATAATAGTGACTGTGAGAAATGAAATTTGAACATTCATACCATGCTCATAGTCTAGTGCCTTTTACTTGCTGATAGTACTCTCCAGCAGCAAGGAAATACTGATGTGTAACTTGCTTCCATGTTCTTTATTTATTTTGTCCTTCAGAAATGGGTGAATAGAGAAATATCCAACTTTGACTACCTTATTCAGCTGAACACAATGGCAGGACGAACTTACAATGATCTTGCTCAATATCCTGTGGTAATTATTAAGTTTTTGTTGAACTTCCGTATTGTTTCTGTTTTTTAAAGATGGATTTAATCTGTTTGGTTCATTTTTTTCTTTCCAGTTCCCCTGGATTTTACGAGATTATACATCTGAAGAACTGGATCTGAATAATCCAGCAGTCTTTAGGGATCTATCCAAACCCATTGGAGTGGTAAATGAGAAGAATGCTAAGGCTGTGAAAGAGAAGTATGTATTTGAGCACTTAGTTATTTCTTTGTCATTTGAGATTCTATGATAATAACATATTTAAAAATGCAATAGTGACACTGGAATTTTAAAAATCTAACAATTTAACATCCCAGGTGCTTTTGCAAAGGTTTGACAGTTCTTTGTTTCTACTGTATTCAGATTGGTTAGCTCACGCAGCACTGAAAGGACAAAATTTACTGTTGTTAAATTGAGATTTTTCTCTGGGGAGATGAAAAGGTCTGTAGTTTGAAGAGATATGCTGTGTCTTGCATCTGTTTCAAGATAAGGAATGTGAAATCATGCTGATGAGATGCTAGATCTGTGTTTCCTGCTTTTTTGTGTGTGTGTGTAGGTTATCTTTGAAATAAAATGTAACTCAGTTGCTCCCAGCAGTTCCTTTCTATGTAGGAATGACAAGTATTTACACCTACACATCAGTGTATCTATCCTTCCTCTTAGCTACTGTGAGGAGTGAGTGCTATTATACCAGATGGCACTTTGCTTCCTGCAAAACCAGTTTTCTCCATAGAACTTGGAACATGGAGAATTTGCTTTGATTTGGGTCTATTCCTGACTATAATGAAACTGATTCTCTAGCAGTACTCAACTGTGGTTTTGCTTACTAGCTTTGTCATGTGGAGGAATATATCAAGTGGATGGTGGCATAGTACTGTAGAGTGAGTTTGCCAGCAGAAGAGGAAAATGGGCATCTCTGCATCTTGAATTGGTCACACAAACTGATATTTTCAGTCTTGCAGGAAACAAATTCTTTCAGTAATATCCAGCTTATTCATGGGTTTGCTTTTTTCTCTCGTATGAACTCATGCTAAACAGGGCCAGTCTTGCCCTTTATCCAGTTTCTGATATGTTATAACAGATGCATAGGGAAGGGTATAAAGAACAGGTATGCAAAGGGCGATCCATCATATCAAAGTCCCTTTTGCTTAGGGATTTTCTGAGAATTTGTGTTCCCATGTTTAATAGAACTGGATGTGATTCTCCTTCACAAATTACTGTGATCAATTCTTTTGAGTCCTTCCCTCCAATAAGTATAATCTGTGTGTATATCAGCTGCAGTGCTTATTTATATTTATAGAAGTTTTTTGTCGCTGTCTTTTGTTTTTAAAGATATGATAATTTTGAGGATCCCCTTGGAGTGATTGACAAATTTCACTATGGGACACACTACTCAAATGCTGCTGGTGTCATGCATTACCTCATTCGGGTAGAACCTTTCACAACTCTTCATATCCAACTTCAAAGTGGCAGGTACATTATGAGCAAAGCAGTACCAACTCTTTCTTCCATGTCATTTTTACCAAGGCAGTAATCAATCTGATGTGAGTTTTCTGTCCCCCAGGTTTGATTGTGCTGATCGACAGTTCCATTCTATTCCTGCTACCTGGCAAGCACTCATGGATAATCCCAATGATGTCAAGGAACTTATTCCAGAGTTTTTCTACTTCCCAGAATTCCTAGAGAACCAAAATGGTAAATAGACTGCTCAGAATATTCTGCATAGAGCACTCCTCTTCTGAGAAGAACTGTTCCAACCATTTATGAATACTGTGATGTATTTTAATCTTTAAGCCTAATAATATACTTGTGGAAATTACTTCATCGTGCTGTCTTCAAAACTGTTCAGTGAGAGCAGTTATATTGATCAGTAATCTAAATGTTGTTTAAAACTCAGAGTGGGAGATTAAGGATGGCTAAAACCATTGTTTGGTTAACAAAAGAGCAAAGATGCTCATTTGAATATTTTTTTTTAAAAGGTAATAGAAATAGATCAAATAGAAGTTAATAGATATTAATTATTTGTTAGACTAGATTTGTTGAATGATGGCTTGGACAACTTAAAACATCACATCTGTTATTCTAGGCAAATTGTTACTGTTATCTGACAATATCATGTGAAGTTGGTTGATTTTTAGACCCATATAAAATTTTAAAATATATGAGAAGAGAAGGGGGGGGGGAACAAACTATTTCCTTCACATATAAAATTTAGAAGGAGAATGCCCTGCATTCTGATGTGTGAGACTCCTAGATATTTCTTCTTTGAATTTCTTGCCCAGGGGAATTTTTTATTTCCTATTAGGCAGTTTAAAAGTAGATTTGCATGTTTGTGCTGCTGATAATTTGGTCTGGTAGCTACAGTTACTAGAGTTGTAAGTTACTAAAATTTGCAACACTTAAGTCATGTTTTCAAAAGTCTTTTAAATATTTTAGGGCTGTTGTTATGAAAGCTGGTAGAATTTAAGATTTGGAACCCTTGACTCTAGGATGACATAAACCTATTAGTTATTAGTTCGTACTTACACATAATCTTATTGAAATGTTTTGAAGCTTTAGTGCTGATAAAATAGAGCAAATGCAGGTATGTTTTTCTGATGTGTAAATTACTAATGCTTCTTTTAAGATTGAGACTGCAGCTTCTAGCTCATTTAGATGCTGTGGATAACTATTATCCCATATCACTTAACATTTAAAAGATTCAGAGTAGATCTTAGCCTCCTATGTCCTTGCTAGAATTATTTCCCTTGCATTCTTTTTGAACCCTTTGTACCTTTATTGAGAAAGCAAGATTTTGGAAGTATTTTGTAGTAACTTCAAATTCTCCAAAATTCTCACTAGGCTTTAACTTGGGTCAGCTTCAAATGTCCAAAGAAGCAGTAAATGATGTTGTTCTCCCCAAGTGGGCCCATTCCCCAGAAGACTTCATTTATAAACATAGAAAGGCTCTGGTAAGATGATGGTTATGCATGAAATAATAAGGAAAGAATTTTCACTTGATAGCCTTGTGCATGTAAATAAAATGCTTGAATGAAAAAAGGAAAGAGCCTAAGGATGCTGATGATTTGAATGTTGCTTCCGTAGGAGATACAATGCAGAACTAAATGATTTTGGGTGATAAGCTTCCCCTTGAATTTTAATAATTATAGAGAACTAGAAGCTTACCTTGCATTTCACGTCTGCATTTCAACAGCTCTAGATGTGTTGCTTTGTATTAAATTTCCCTCTGGCAGTTGGTGCTTATGCCATATTCTATGCTTCTGTCCCATACATTAGTGTACACTTAATTTGTGCATATGCTTATTTTAGGAATTTCTTTCACAGAAATCAGTAAATACTTCAAGAAGGAACAGCATTCTTACTATTGAGTGTTTTTTTTTCCTCTAGGAATCAGAGTATGTTTCTGCTCATCTTCATGAATGGATCGATTTGATTTTTGGCTACAAGCAGAGGGGACCAGCTGCAGTGGAGGCACTCAATGTGTTCTATTATTGTACTTATGAAGGTACAAAGCAGTATACTTTCCTGTCACTGTTATCAGAATTATGGGTTTTTGGGTATTAGCTAGAAAGCACTTGATTTGTGATCATGCCATGTAGTAATATACAGTAAAGCAAGAGAATTATGGAATGTGAAAGCATAACTTGTATTTGTCAGAATACAAGTTTCTTGTTCACTTGCCTAAAAGCATTCATAGGAAAGGCTTAGGAGTTGAGGCAAATTGAATAAAAAATATTGTGAATTAATATTAGTCTATTAACACCAAAAGTGAATTTTGGGTGGCTTTTGTGTGTAGCACATCGCATGCGTGAAGTGTGTTAAATCCATTTCACAAGTCAAAAAATCTGCATTTCTAACACTGATGGAGACAGCGGTGTTTTCAGGTTGTATTTTATATGAATGCGTAGTTTGGAGGCTTTCCTTTGGGAAAGGGCAATGATGCTGTGATGAATTTCTGTTGTTTCTTTGCTAATCTTTTCTGTATGAATGGTTTGATTTCTATTTTTTTTTTTCTACCCTTCTTGCTGCAATCCAGGAGCAGTGGATTTGGATGCTTTAACAGATGAGAAGGAAAGGAAAGCTTTAGAAGGGATGATAAACAATTTTGGACAAACTCCCTGCCAGCTGTTGAAGGTAATGCTCTTTTTCTTCTCAGTCAAACCTTTGGTTAAATTCAACTGAGTTAGACAAATTATGAAAAATAAGTTTCCCACATTACCATTTCTAAGGATCACTGTGAGGGAAATTTAACATAGCGTTTTCAAAATAAGTTCATTTTCTTTCTGAAAGAAGTTGAGTGTCTTTGTCTAATTTGACGCTTCTTCAAATCTAATCTTCCAGGAGCCCCATCCTCAGAGGTTGTCAGCAGAAGAGGTAGTGCAAAGACTAACTAGAAGTGATACCTCTACTCTGAATCTCTTCCAACACCTCACTGAACTGAAGTCATTCTTCATAGAGGTAGATGCATTATTTGAAGCTGATTAAAGTTTGATCTGAGACTTCTGATCTTCTTGAAACAGAAAGCCATAAGCCGTATGAAAGTAGACTTGCTTCCTATTTGAAGAAAATCCTTTCAAGTGCAATTTGTATGAAACAATCTATCTTTTTAGTTAGTTTTAAAGAAGTTGAATCCCATAAATCTGTATCTGATGGACATGAATTTGAGTCTTGTTTGGGTATTAAGTTAACAACTAAATCATGAAAGCTAAGAACAGCGCTGGTGGTACCTGAGGATTCGCTAGGTTTGGTGACTAAACTCAAGGTTACAGGGCAGAGCTAGGGTTTATGCCCTGGTGCTTGTGATGCTATATACCTGTATGAACTGAGTACGTGTGTGTCAATGCCCAACTGTACTTTAAAGGTCTGGTTTTGATTAGAGGATTTAGGTTTTAACTCTTCACAGACTCTACACTTGACCTTTACCTCTTGTGTATAATCAAATCAAAACTATGTCCTTTCTCTTAGGGAATCAGTGATGGTGTCCCCATTGTCAAAGCTGTTGTCCCCAAGAATCAGTCACGTTCCTTTATGTCTCAGGGAAGCCCAGAGATATTGGTAAGTTGCATTTGTCAATATTAATCTTGGAGAGTGCCAGCAGTCGAAATAAATAGGTGCAAATGTGCTGCTTTGCCTTTTTTTATGCAAGTTCCAATACCAGAAAAAAAAGTCTCTAGGTTTCATCAATTTTTCTAACTCTCGCAGGTAACAGCAAGTCTGAATTGTATTATTGGAACCCATGGTTGGCTGCCTTATGATAAAAACATCTCCAACTATTTTACATTCATCAAAGATACTACAGTGACAAATCCCAAGTAAGCAAATGATGAGGACATAAGCTGAATGCATCTATAGTAATAAAATAGAGTAATTGTTTGATAGAAAATGGACTGTATTGTTTTCTTTTGGCTGAATTTCTAGCTAGGTATGCATCTTCTAGTGCTTAATATTACCTTTCTAGTAAAGAGCCCTGTAAGGGATATTTCATGGCACTTCATCTTTAGAGCTACTTCTCATTCTATTTTTCTAGTTATTTATTATAAAACATCATCTTGGAATTTGAGATGAATGCTCTTCATACAGTCTTAAAATACAGTGAAGGTGTAAGTTGTCATTGTTCTCTGATTTTTGAGAAGATTCCTCTTTTACTTTAAAATTACATTATTAGGGTAATTAGTTATTTGTACAGAACTATAAATTGCGTGATTTAATCTGTTTTCCACTCTTGGCATTGACAGTTTTGCTGTGGATATCAAGGGGACAGAATTTTATCATTTTTTTTATAGCTTCTTCTATAGATTTCTTCTACATAATTTCTTTTTTTTAAAGATACAAGAATTTAAAAAGAAAGATTTGAACCAAGTTCACTCTTAATTGTTCATCATTTGCTTACAGAACACAGCGTAACATGAGTGGTCCTTTTGCACCAGGACTGGAGATCACTTCCAAGTTGTTTGCAGTATCTCATGATGCAAAACTCCTCTTTAGTGGAGGACACTGGGACAATAGCATCAGAGTAACATCTCTTACAAAAGGCAAGCTGGTTGGACAGCACATCAGGCACATGGGTTAGTAACTCTTTACATAGTGAAATGAAAGGCTTTATGTATTGTTTGTATTTCTTGATGTTTGTATTTCTGCAAGAGTTAAAAACCAGTGCACCTAACCTGGCAGGTGCAGTAATCATAACGGAATGGCAGTGTAAGAACAGATTATTAGCTGAACTGTGATTATATGTAAATAGTTGAGTGACTTTTTAGTTGCTGTAGTAATTTAATGTAGTTTCAACATAAAGCTTGATGACTGTTGTTAGGGAACAAAGGTGATAGACACATTAGTACACCTGGTTGTATAATGGCTTCATTGGTTGATACAGCCTCATCAGTCATTAGCATGGTAGAATGCTTCATGTTGACTGTAAATGAGGCTACACGGTGGACAGTCTGCATGCTCACCATCACACTGTGGTGAAATTACAGTTGAATTACATCAAATTCTTGTTGTTTCTCCTTCATCTAGATATTGTGACCTGCTTGGCAATAGATTACTGTGGAATTCATTTAATTTCTGGATCCAGAGATACAACCTGCATGATATGGCAAATAGTTCAGCAGGTATGTTATTTAGGCTTACTCTGAAATGCAGTTTCTGAATCCTTTTCTGTTTCGTTATCTTGCTATGATGGTTCATTGATTTCCCTTCTTTCAGGTTTAACAGCTTTAGCAGTTGCATTTTAGCATTGCATTTCCTCTATGGAAAGTACTGGTGACTTAAACCAGGAATTAGCTAAGGTATCACTAGTCTGTTTAACTAGTTTTACATTACACTGGCATTTCAGAATTCTTTAATGCTTTCACACTGTAAATGTATACTTAAAAGTGTGATGTTATTTCCATTGTGGCAGTAGCGTTCTGCATGCTGCCACTTCTGCTCTGCGTTGTTGCCATCTTTCTTAGCTCTTTATTCTGACACTTGTTCTGCAGTTCATGTGTAATCAAGGATTTCAGGACTTGGTGTTGGCAGTCAGATTTCTCTCACATTAGTTATAATGAAGACTCTGCAGAACTATACCTTCTTTACTATACCTTTGCTGTAAGCACAGCTCTTGCTTGAGAACTGGTCTGACCAAGTCTTTATATGCTGACAGTATACTTGCTGGAGCAAAAGCACTAAATCATCTTGACACCCTGCAATTGTGTGGACAAATAATACACTGTTTTTAGTAATCATTATTGCAAAATTTCCACTGTATATCATACCAGTGGCAGTCACTTAGAAGTTTTATTTCCTTATTTTTCCCTAGAAAATCAGAGTTAATTTAGTTTTTAAGCAAAACAGGTATCATTTTCCTTGACCTTGTCTATGAAGGCAAGGCTTCATTCTAGGTTAAAATATAAAGAATTGAATAAGCTCAGATAACAAAGTAGTAGTGAGTGGGTGAACAAATGAATCCTGTTTGGAGTGCTCACTGTGGTCCTTGCACACCTGATCATCAGAAGGAATGCGATGGAATTCTTTCACCTCTACTTAATGTTTGTATGTTCATTTGTTTCATTTCACTAAATAGGGCTACTGACGTAAAAGGCAATAAATTGAAATGAGTTGTTCCTTTGGTTTTGGCCTATGTCAGATATATACCTCTCACAGCTAACATTGAAGGTACCAGAAACTTATTTTAGTTTATCCTTCAGCTGCAAGAGAATGTCACTGCACTTTTTGTTACTCTCAGGGAGGAGTGCCTGTAGGCCTGACACCTAAGCCATTACAGATCCTTTACGGGCATACTGATGAAGTTACAAGTGTTGGCATCAGCACTGAGCTGGACATGGCAGTGTCAGGATCCAGGGTAAGCATCTTCATACTTTCCCTTCTCTGCCAGTTCTTCATTCCAAGCCTACAGTGTGTTTGATGTTAAGCACAATACCAAAAATGTTTTTTCACAATCTTTTCTTCAACCTTGCGTGTCAAAAAGATGTGCTATCTCCCTTGCTGTCTAAGTCAGCAGTCTCTAAAGAGGCTCTACACAGCACAGACCTCAACTAGTATGTCAAGTGAGTTTGCACTGATGAGTTTCAAAGTGTGTGAACTTACTTAGAGTACTTAAACTTCTCAGAGAAACAATTCTGCAGCAGCTTGTTCCCTGTTTGCCTAGCCCCAAAGGCTCTTTACAGCTTCCTTGTATTCTGCCTTTCTGTACTGTACTGGCTGACTGCTAAGCTCTGACTACCTAATGTGAATAATGCCTACTCAAAAATGTCTTGTAAAAATGGCTGATTTCTTGTCTATCCTTTTCTTCTTGTTCTATTTGAATTTGTTTTTTCATATGCCATTACTACGTGGCCTCGACGGGAAGCATTCTTCATGCAGAGCCCTTAATGCTCAGAAGTCCTAATCCATAGTTGACTTTAAGTACTTTCAAAATACTTCATTTTTTTAATAAATACTCATTGTGTGTGTTAGTGTAATTTACCTCAGAGCTTGCTGCTGAGTATCAGCTTACCTAAATTTGGTCTCTGCAGGATGGGACTGTTATTATCTGCACCATTCGGAAAGGTCAGTACATGAGAACTTTGCGACCACCTTGTGAGAGTTCCCTCCTGCTGACTGTTCCTAATCTGGCTGTGTCCTGGGAAGGCCATATCGTTGTCCACACCAGCATAGAAGGAAAGACCACTCTTAAGGTACTTAAGAATTACTTGGTTCATGGAAAGTCTGCTTCTTTTGCTAAAGACATCTAATTATAAATGTGCCTGATTTTATCCTCATTTCCTTAACTGTAGGACTTTTGTCCATACCATGTCTTTCCTTTTTATTTTGCCTGTGGATTTTAATTAAACGTGTTGAAAAGATGAATCACAGACACAGCATGCTGCTGTAAGCTTCGTGAACATCTCCAAACACGTGCAAGGAAGATGTCTTAAGAATGCACTAACAAATATTCCTGGGAGAGTTACTTTGAAATGCAAAACTAGGGGAAACATGCTCCATTACTCACAGAAGTAGAACTTTATAAGGGAAGCAATATGTTTTAAAGGCAAGATGCCCAGGGAATATGCTGATGTGACTTAATTTTGTGTCAGAAAGGCAGCTATAATGTTCACAGTGTGATTTGTTCTGTCTGAGTAGCTGTGTAATTGCTCTAACTGTATAACTTATGATTTCTATGAGGATGGGAACTTTTCTGGAAGAAAAATGTACTATAAACATAAGTGTACTAGTTGCACTGGAATGATAGGGAAAGATGAAACCAAGGTATTGCAAAACTGGAAGAACTTAAGGTGGTCGTGTTAGCTGTGTCTTCAGTACATCAAAAATTCATTGTTTTATCCAGAAAGTTCTCTCTGTAAAATAGGTATGTTCCTTTCTGCTTCCTGACTGGGGGGTGAGGTAGTTGAAGGTAAGAGGACTCTTTTCTTCTTCCTTAAGAAAAATCTTCAAAAAACAGGGACCTGTCCATTAAACCTGGGGATGTTTCCAGAAAATTTGGGATTGATTAGATGGATGGGTGTGATGTTACCACATTACGTCGAGAGTTAATGAAGAATAATTTCAAAAACTTACTCATGCGAGCAGGAATATATACATGCCCTCGGTGATGGATTTATTTTTTTATTAGGATAAGAATGCATTACACCTCTATTCTGTTAATGGAAAGCATCTGGGTTCTGAGACTCTGAAGGAAGAAGTGTCAGATATGTGTGTGACTGGCGAGTATATTGTGATGGGCAGCTTACAGGGATTTCTTTCCATACGAGATCTCTACAGGTAATGTGCTTCTGAGTTTCTTATTGAGAAGCAAATACAGAGGTTTATTTAGTAATGTGGGCTCTCCTTGTGCTAATGGTATTAAAAATTGTGGGTTTTTCGGTGTATTAAAAAAAAAATTAAGGAGAACTAAGAATGTGAAAAATTAGGAGTTGTACTAGGCCCCTTTCCTTGTAGGCATTTATCACAACCATCAGCCTGGAACTACTGTAATTTAGGAAGAGCTGTGTCTGATACAGGCAAGCAGTGATTGTTCCTGTATTTGGTTAGTCACTGGGAGCTCATCAGCTACAGTGACTCATATAGTTCTTCTACACTGCTCTTACAGAGCTCCTTTGCAGAGAGATCTTTGTCACTTAAACAGATGTGGGATTAATATTCCTCTTCTTCCACTGAGACTATCTTAATTTTCTGTATGACCCTCCTGTGCCCCTTGTCATCGGAGCTGTATTCTGATGTATGAGTTGATCTTTCTGTGGAATTTCATAATGGTCAAAATCACAAACTGAATCCTTGAGAAACTATTTTGTAGTGCATCCCAAGGACCCTGTGGTCTCCGCTGCTATGTGATGCTTTTCAATATGTAAAAATATACATGTAATTTAATGCTCTGTGGTTTCTGTTCATTTCAGCTTGAATCTGAGCATCTCTCCATTAGCCATGCGACTGCCAATTCATTGCATTTCTGTCACCAAAGAGTATAGCCACATCCTTGTTGGCTTGGAGGATGGCAAGTTGATTATCGTTGGTGTTGGCAAGCCAGCAGAGGTAAAGCCCACCATCAAGAACTTTTTCTACCGAACAGTGGGAAGTTCACTTATTTCTGCTTTCCAGTTGAGCAAGAGGTCTCCTCTATGGCAGGGTAAATTTAAAAGCAAGTTTCAGTTTTCGGTGGGGAAGAAATAACTTTTGAGACTGCTCTACTGAATTTTTTCATTAAGAGTCAAAGATATTTGGGGATCACAGATGGGAAGCTCAGCTGGACTAACTTTCAGACTTTGTCACTGACATCTGAATAAGACAAGTCATACTAGCTACTTTCTTCTGTACGTGTTAGTGTTGTCAGCTACTTTCTGATGAAATAATTTTCCAAAAGAAAATTGGGAACAAGAGCAAGCTCCTTTATTTTTCATGCACTGACTGACACTGGGGAAAAGATTACTTTTTAAGATTCTCTAATTGTAATGCATAAAGAATCTCTTGTGTAGATTCCCTATATGCTCTGGCTCCACGTGATGAATATAAACTTGTTAGTACTGCATATGCAATACCAAAGGCAGAGCATCCATCAAATAGGTGTACCCAGTTCTTCTTGTGCAAAACACAGATTTTGCTCTAAGTACTTGTCATTATTTTCAAAGCACTTGAGTTAACTTAAACCTGCCTCTCTTTCTAATTCAATCTCCATTGTGCTGCAGTGTATCTACTTGAAACTGTGATAATTGCTCCTGCATAACCTTCAGTATGTGTCAGAAGAGTTTGTCTTAACTTTATATTTTATTAATGCAGAGTGGCTTCATTTCTTAGTGTTAAAGATGTTTTAGCTAGGAGATGCGCAGTTTAATACTTCAAAAAGGCTTCACAGAATTGATTTAGTTTCAGGAAATAGGGGAAGCTTCCAGCTGGACAGCTTTTTCCTACTGTAGAATTGATTAAAATCTGCTTATGGTGTTGTGAAATGTATGTTGTAACAGTAGTTTTAAAGTCACTGCCAACTGTTTCCTGTTCCATAGAAAAAATCTTTTGTAGCCTGAAATGTATGCATCTCATTAGACTGAAGGCTTTCAGTTCTTAATCACTTTTTTTTTTTTGTATCTCTGGAGAAGGTGCGATTTCAAAGTCTGGATTCCTTTTGTGAATGTAGAGGCTTTCCAAAAGATTTTTTTTTTTTTTTTTTTTTTTTTTTTCCCAGGATTTTCTGTTTATAACTCAAATCTTCAAGCTCAATATCCGTGTAAATAGATGATATTTATATTTATACGTACACACACATGTATATATGAAGAAGAAAATCATGTCCTAGATTTTCTAGTTTTCTATAATGAGAACAACCAGTATATTTGAAGAGTGTGTGTGGTGGGGAAATTTATTTATTTGTAGTTAGGAAGGAGTGTATGAATTAGAACTTCGTTTTTTTTCGGAAGATCCTCTGTAGTTCTGGCTTTTGATGGTGATAGGTATGTAGGTAGGGTTAAGGGAGATATGTTTTTTATTGTGGATCAGGTGAAATGCCCTTTAGTCTTTCTGCATTGATAGTATCCACTACGAAGTGAAGTATGTGTATTCTTAACAATTGTATAGCTGTTGGGAAGTTGTAGAAGTCAGTAGGATTATCACCCGCTAGCAGCATTGTGCCTTTTATAAAACCCTGCTGCTGTAATGATACAGTTCTTAAGCAAGCTTAATTTGCAGGTGTAATGGTCAAGAGCTGTTCTCAAGCTTGTGCTGTTAGGGCATGCATCTTATATTATGAGGGATTTCAGCTGATTGATCACTACTGGCCAGTCATAGGACCTGTATTTAAGAAATGTGAAGTTTCTTATAAATTGTTGGCAGGTAGCAGTCTCTGGGTGCTGGATTTAAATGGACTCTAGTTGTTATCTTTACTCATTGAACATTCAATATGAATTATGTATGGTTTAAATTTTACTTTGAGCATTTCACAGGTGATTTTTGGAGGACTGTAAATTTGAGACCAGATATGCTTGTTTTCCTTCCTTCACTCAGTTATCACTGCCCTGCATTATTCCATCACTTAGAGGTGGTAATCAAGAATCCATCTTGGTTATCTTTACCTTCTCAATTCTGTCACTTTTGTTTGTACTCTCTAAAATAAGAGTCTTTTCTGCTAACTTGGTTCACTTCTATGAGACATCAATCTCTTCTCATCAAAATACCTAAACTCAACAGTAAGCTGTTTAAAGTAGATTCAGAATTAAATCGGAATTACTTGGCAATATCCCTTTAACTGTTCACAATCAAAGACAACAGGTGTTAGTGTTTTGTCTGTTATTTGTTTTTTTGTCAGTCCCAAGAATCATTCCTAAGTGTAATTTTTGGTTTGTTTTTAATAACTTTTGTTAGTGTAACTTTGTTTATTAGTATATTGTAGTGTCTGCATTTCACCAGAATCAGTGTCTGAAGTTCCTTTTTAATTTATTCGCCTTATCCCTTCCCCTTCCTTTTGTTTCTCTGAATTACTTTTAAACAGATGCGCTCAGGTCAGCTTTCCCGAAAGCTCTGGGGATCAAGCAAACGGCTCAGCCAGATTTCATCAGGAGAGACTGAATATAACACTCAAGATTCCAAGTGATTGCTGCTTCTACCTTCTCTCATGGATTCCAGAAATATATTTTATATTTTGGTCACTTTAAACGTACATCTGTTTTCAGGGGCTTCACTCTCTGTCTGTTGAAGATGAACCTATGGTAGAGGTATAGTAAAAAGCATATGTACTCATGCAAGTTAGCTTGCTTGCGTATTTTTCCTTAACCACATTGATTTGGTTACAACAGAATCTCTCTCTAAATAGCTGCTAAAACAGGGTTTCAGGGAAAAAAAAAACAAAAAACAAAAAGCAGCCAAATAAAAGGAAATGGACACAAAAACCAAAAACACCAGACCTCCAAACCCAAGCCTTGCTAATTGAACCAAAAATAAGTAGTATTTGATTTAAAACTGGCTCTATTAGCCAGATGCTCCTTGACCTCAAGAAAGATACTTGGCAGTGCTTTGAGAGCACTAATTTTCCAACAGTGAATTAACTCTGTTACAGCGGTACTATTCAAAACTGCTATAGTTGACAATTATCTTTTCACTATGTCTTTAGACCAATGAATAACTTCTTGTGATTTGTTCCTGTAAATGGCCATTGCTGTCATCTTTTGTGTAGTTTCAGTTTTAGGCTGTCTGCAAGAGCATCTGTGTTGTAATACTTGATTATCAAAAATTCTTAAAAGTACAGACATGAGTAACTTCAAAGGATTTGAAGGTGGTGGATGAGCTGAAGGAGGTAGGAAAACTTGCTGCTAAAGATTATTTATATTTTTAAGTAGAATAAAACAGGAAGGAATCCCATAATATAGTTAATATCTTGAAGAAATACGGAGGAGGAATTGCATATCCATGTCAGTTCAAGGTCAATCTTTATTAGTAAGGCAACTCCTGCAAAGGAAAAACAAATTCTATTGCAAAATCATTTTAACATTACAGCACAGATTAAATAGCACCTGTTTTTTTTCTTGGCTTAGTATTCACCAAAGCACTTGCTAGCTGTACTTTTTTTCTGTTAAACAAGCAGGAGAATAGTGAATCTGTTTTCAAGATGTGTTTAATAGTGGTGAGAAGAAAATATCAGATCTGTACATGCTCATTACACAACAAAACAGTTTTTAATTAGATGCTGTATTTTCGAAAAGCCATTATTGAATGTTTTCTTAAGCAATATATGATAGAGGAGTGTTTTCCTATCATTCTGGCCTTTTTAATAATATCAATGATATAAATTATAATCCCCATCCTGTTAAAAGCCTGGTGCTGAGGGAAAAATAAGATTTTTTGACTGGCATGAGAAAGTATGTGTGTATATGTGTCTGTGTGTATATATGTATATACATGTATGTATGTCTATTAAAAAGAGAATATCATTCCTCTTGCATCTTTCTGATGCAAGTAGAGTACAGATAAAAAGCAGAGTTAGAAGTGGTTGTTTGATAATATGTTCCCTTTTGGCTACCATTCTCTTCCCTCTGCCATCACCTTTTTGTTATTTCTATTTATTTATGGAAATGAATGTGCGATGTACCTCCTATAGAGATTATCAGATATATATTCCCTGTGACTGGGGACCTGATGAACTACCTGAGGAACTCCATTGTGTATAATCTCATTTCATTAACTTTTGGCACAGTATTTATTATCTTTATTTCTACATGGTTAATCCCTGTTCTGGGGAATAATGTTATTTTTTCTTAACTTTAGAGGAAATAAATCAGACTAGTGAGAAAAAATGGGTCTATCCATAGTTGCAATATTCTAATTAATCACTGTGACAGACTGGATTGTCTAGAAGGTTGAGAAAAAATAAGAGTAATTTCTGAGTCACCTGTCAAGAGAGCATTAAATTTCTGAAAGTGAAGTGGTTCATTTTTTTTCAGACTCCATACTTTCAAAGTGAGAACTGCTTTTGTCAATTGCCTATCCAGGAGGAAGAATAAGGTGATTCTGGAAGTATAAAGTATGCACATCAGAATGTGAAGTAAGCTTGTCCGTAATGATTTCATGAAGAAGGGATTTCAGGGGAAATCTTTGGAGAGTAGTTTTGGGAAGTTGCAAAAGAACTCACTTGGGGCATTACATTGGTTTTTATAAGTATGCAGATATGTTCTATTTAAATGCATATATGAAGTTAAGGGTATGAATGCAGAGGAAGGGAGAGGCAATAACATTTCAAGTTAGCAGAATCAAGTAGAGAAAAAGCAAAAATGGTTCTTTTATATAGTGTTTGTGAAGAAAATCCTTATCACTTGCTCAGAGGTTCACAAATGCTTAAAAAATGTCTTATTGTGTTTAGGTTATGTTTATACAAGAGAATAATTTTAATAATTTAATATTCAAGAACAGTGAATGCAGTGTGTTAGCTTACGTAACGTGTAATGTAGTTGCAGCAATTGGGGATGGGAGGACTTCTGGAGAGGAGCTTTGACATTTGAATACCATCGTTTCAGGTCATTGTGAGTATTAGGTGATCATCAGTATATCTGAGCCAGGTTGAAATGTGGACAGTTTTGGAGCAGATTTGATAACAGCTTGTGCTCTGCACAAAACAGCAGAATGAGAAAAGGTGAGCTCTGAGCTACTTCATCTTCTATGCAGAATAGCAACGTATGTTACCTTTTCATCTTGTACACCCCTCATCCTGAAGGATTGTGTACACCACCACACAGTCAATATTCTTGTGAGACCTGCTGGAAAGTCCCCAGGGGTTCTAAGGTCTGCACTTTGCCTTTATCTGAAACCAGCTTTAAATAAAGATATAGGTAGTAGTAAGTTTGAGCAGTAGGTGGCATTTTGCTTAATTTCTTTGTATGTCTTTCAAGTAGAAAATCTTTTTATTTCTGTCAGCTGTTCAGGCTAATTGAATTGCAGTCTATTATTGCAGTACAGAGTATATGACTGAATTATTGATCTTCCTTTTACTTTCCTCAAGCCAAATAGAGCATATTGTTCTTCATGTTGAGTGAGACATTTGTGAAATTAGATTTAAGTGTAAAAAAATTAAAGCTGTGAGACAAAAAGTATTCTGATTAGGAATTGAGAATAAACAGTGCACAGTTATTTTGTAACACTACATTTGTCTAGATCTTCTTGTTGCTACTTCCTTTCATTTCTTTTTTGGAACATCCTTAATGATGTTTATCAAAGCTAGAGATACGCTTACCTCTGAAGCCAAGTAAGGAAGTGTGTAAATATATATTAAAAAAAAAAAAAACTGAAAACTTGCTTTTGCTATTTGTATATAAATTAGATTGAGAAGTTAGCAGTATTGAATAAATTCTTCCTAGCATTTGAAATTGCATACCAAAAGATGATATTTAAAAGACATTTCTCCTTTACTTCAAGTAAAACATTTGTTAGATTTCTCAGTTGGCTTGTAATTCTTGATACTATTTCTAGTATTTTACCTATAGTGAAGAATCTTGTCTAGCCTTGGCAGTTTTTATACTATACCAGCATTCAGAAAGTGAAATGTTTGCAGTTCAAGTTAGCATCAGACTTAGATGAATTATACCACATCAATATACTTATCTACTACTCCGTCATAGAGTCATAGACTATCATGAAACTGTATCTTCTGTCATCCGTGTACCTTACCAACACCAGCACAAAATGATAATCTCAGTCTTAAATTAACTGCATTTTTCTTGCATATAAATATATAGCCTAATACCCTAAGGCCTGATCTAATAAATATTGCTAGATAAAAACACTGTGTAGGGTCACATTTAATTTGGTGGGAATTTAAGCATGTACTTCGGTGCTTTTGCAAATGGGCTCTTTATGCCTTTTGGTTTAAAACCTATGTAGTATTCAGTGATAAATGTGACACTGTTAGTAATCAGTTGCCTATGAAGTTCCTGCTAAGGAGTGACTTAAGCTGTGCAAACGTATACACTCTAGTTACTAGCATATATTACCAAAATCTCCAGAAAGTATTACAGATGGTTGAAGACAGTTCTTAAATGAGATATACCACAAAGTGCTACACTTCTGCAGACTTTCTGTTTTCATTCACTGAACTTGATCATTGTTTCATTGTTTTTGTGAATGGTCAGATTTGGTGCTGTAATAGGTAACAGCACAGCAACTGCAATGAAGCTAATGAAGAGACTTTAATACAACAGATTGTATTAACTTGCTTTGCTTTAAAATTGTGCGTGTTTGTTTGGCTAAGTCTAAGCAGATGCAGGCAGTGATACAAGAGGTACATCTTCCTTTTGGGGAGAGAAAAATTTTGTGCAATCTCATGTATGTAGGTTTGTTATATACCAATGCCAGACTTAACCAAAGTGTTTGGAAGATGCCTTTCTTTCCATCCTAGGGAACAAATTTCTTGTTATTAATAATAGCTCTTGTTAATGCATACTTGTAAAACAAAGCCAGCTTCTACAGTTAACAATCAGTAGAACACCATTTCCTCCTTCAGTACTATAGTTATCAGAATGCAGAAAGGCCTCTGAGTGGCAGCATAGCATCATTCACAGTTTACTTTTCAGTCAGCTGTATTATTCATTTTACTGAAGTCTTGAACACTCTACAGGTGTGCTTGTACTGTTTAATCAAAGACAGTCTCAGTTTTTGTCTCAAAGACAGTCCAGTTTTTGCTCACCTTTTTGTTGTGCATCACTGGAAGAATACTGATGTTTTTAGTTACTGTTTACCAAAATGACTCAAACAGATAGAGTTCCTCCAGTTGTGTGTGCTTTCTATTTTCGTTTGATGGAATTGGGTAACTTGGAAAGTAATTCCAGACCTTCCAGGTCTGTGACTAGGCTCTGTGCAGAGACTGTTGTAACTAATTTCTGGTCCTGAAAGCATGATTGTCAGTGCAGATTATGGTTTAATGCTGCTAAGATGTCTTAAGATGGAAAGACAAAACATCTAGCCATGCGCACCACGAATCTAAATGAAGTTAGAAACCATTTATTGATTTAATTTCCTATCTAGTCAGCATTTTCTCATGAGAGAGACTTTTTTTTTGCTTTGCAGTAACTGTTTATTTTAAACTTAAATCTGTACCTCGTAATACTGCTTTAGTTGTATGCAGCTGTCATCTATTAAAGAAAGCCATGAGGAGGAAAAAAAAAAACCCAAAACAACAACAAAACAAGGAAAATTTGCTACATGTGTACTGATCCAACCTTTAGCTATGCAGGAGCATCTTAATGTAAGATGAGGCAAACGCTGCTTTTAGACTTTCCTCTCACTGGTCAGTCTTCTGTTGGAAGTTTTGCTGCTACTCAAAGTTTCATTGATGAAATTCAGTAAGAAATTACTTGATATGCTTCAGCATTTGTTTAAATTTATGAAGCTAACAAGGCAGTGCAAAGGCCTTATTTAGAGCAACAGTTAATAATGTCTTCTGACTCTTACACATTGTGCAATTGTGGTTACAAATGAATTTTTAAATGCCAAAAAATGCCTTTTCTTAAAAAAAAAAAAAAAAAAAAAAAAGAGTTAACTGTTAGGTCTGAGGAGTATTAAGTATGTACTTTTGAAAATGAGCCTTCAGGCACTGTAACAAACTTGCTGTTAGTCTTCTGTGCAATATCTCTTTCCCTCCTGGGTGCTTTAAGTGTATACTGTATGTCTTATTTTGGTTTGATCAATATGTTTTGAGAGTGTGTATATTAGCTAATGATGGAATTTTTTTTCTGTACAGCATGGTGGAAGATGTTTTAAAATTTTGCACTTTTCTAGGATTTGTGAGTTTGTAACCTAACAATTTTTAACATGCACAATTTTGTACATAATTAGCACTGTATATATTTAGAATGAGTATGATGCCAATAAAAATAACTGAATGCAAAAGTTCTCTATTAATTCTGCAAAAATGAAGCTAATGCTGTAAGAGGACACTAAATGAACAATTGCTTTATTACACAGGTAAAACAAGGCAGAAGAGCTGACTCTTAATTGTGTTAAGGTAACTTTCTTTGAGAGAGGAATCAAAGTGGAGATGTGAACATACAGAACTTTTCAGAGTAAGAGTACTCTTCTATTCTTATTCAAGCATTTCAATAAAGCACGTCTTTGCTGGGAAGGAGAGATTGTCTGAGAAGTGAGCAGGGTGGCAAAGAAGAGCCTAGTAATGCATATTTAGTTTTATTTATAAAGTTAAGGCTGTCTACCCACTCTTGTACTGCAAGCATTTCTTCCATTCTTCACGTGCTGACTTTTGCTGTAGAATATGCAAGGCTATTGGAAATTGCTGTCAATCAGCAAGAAACTGAAATCTGTTCCAGGCTCATGTTCAGTTGGTTTCTTACCCCTGTAAACAAAATAAACCATGCTGTAAGCTTGAACAGCAGCTAGGTCTACTGATCTTCCATTTGTTATTAGGGACAGAACAAGGATCTTCTGCTTGGTATTAGGGATAGAACAAGGTTCCCTTCCTTGTATTCATCATGAGATGTACATTTTAGACTTCTCAGTAATGTTCATACAACTAACGGCCTGAATTCTCTTGTTCTAGAGTACATTAGGACCGAAGTGGCATTCTCCAGCCTTGAGTACAGAGCCCAGTTGGAGTACTGGGACGCTCTAGATGAATGGTGGCTATAGCTTACAAACATAGGTGTTGTCATACTAACTGCTTTTTTGGATCACTAATCAGTATTCGTGTTTCTTCTGAACAGAAATGGAAGCAAAGTGTTAAGTGACTTGAGTAATGAGGAAGAGGCAGTGTGTACCAGGAGTCTAACCAAGTCTCTCTCTCTCTCACTCAAATTCAAATGAAGCATTTACCTCAAAAAAAGCCTTGCTCCTGTCACTCCTTGCAAGGTGGCTTTGTCTCCTTCCACAAGCAGCATTGCACCTTCCCGCAAGCCCTAATATAGGTTTAAAAAAAAAAAAAACTTTATTTGCAATCTGTTTGAGAGGCTAGAGCACTTTTCCCGTTAGGCCAGTTTTAAGTGCAGTGCTTCATGACTATCACTTGCTTATTTTTAACAAAGATACAAAGACAAAGGTGAGTTATCTTGTTTTAGAAGCCAGTTTTCCCATGTATTTGATAGCCTTTTGAAGAAGGCTATACAAACCACTAAGGAGAAAAACAAAACCAAACTTAAATATACATTCCACAATTACTTCTGCTGCTGCTACTCTTAGATCCGGTTTTGTTGAAGCAATGGTAACCCAGGTTTATCCTCCCTGTCCCTACACCAGCTTTGAGTTTGAAACTTGGTTCCTGGCTTCCCAGACATACTGCTACTACAAATGTATTGAATTGTATTATTTACTGAATGGGCAAACGAAGATACCTCCAGAGATTAAAACAACATTTAAAGTAAGAATATGTCCAAAAAATGAAGGGGAGGTATCTTACCCATCTGCATGCTTACTACCAGCAACATACAATGTATGCCTGGCAACCAGTGATTGGGACAGATCGGAGCTGTCTAAAATCCTAGGGCTTGGCAACAGGGCTTCAAGCATCTAACAGCCCGAAAGCATTTTACTTGTTATAATCCATTTTCTAAAAGTGAGAAAATCGAAGGCTGTAGCTGTTTAGCAGGACTATAACTAACCTTCCCTGCTGCAGTTCTGGAGAGCTTGTTAGGAACAGGGTTTCACACTGAAAGCTAGTAAGGACAAACTTTAAAATGCTTACCATGCTACATACATAACCTTCCTTACTGGAAACTACAACTCACCAGAACTGGAGGGGTGTTTGGTTCTTCATGATATTGGCGAATTCTTTCCTCTCTTGTTTCCTGCAATAACAAGTGTAGATTTAGCTGCCCAGAGAGTGAAGTAGAACTTGGAGCCATTCAAGTAGTATAATGTTGAACAGCATCAACATTAAACAAAGCAGGCATTCCCATCCAAAAGAATGTTTTGATTAGACTAATGTATTGACAGAAGTGGCAGGATTGGCTTTAGTAAATGGATTTACCCTTGATCACTAGCAGCAATTACTGTAGGTTGATCAGATAGAATCTGCCTGGTCCCAAAATTGGCTGAAAACATGTTTCCAGCCAATTTTTTTATTTTTGTTTTTTTTTTTAAATTTTTTCAAATGTTCTTTATGTGCACACTCAAAATAAGAGATGATGAAGATGGTGAAAGCAGATGTATGCGCTGCCTTGTTTGTGAAAGATGACAGCCATAGATTTCTACTAATTATCTGTTTGTTTCATCTTGAGTAGGAATTATCTGAAGAATTTCCTTCTCTGAATGGCTCTGCCATGTTTCCTGAGTGCTACTGCTTTTGAACTGAGCAATAGTAGTTAAGGAAATCAAACCAGGAGGATTTGTCGGTAAGGAAACGTAGGAATACAGCAGGCATTGGTACAGCACAGAGCTTCTACAGTCCTCTCAGTAAAACAGCAAGTTATTTACAGGGAAAGACTGAAGACTGATGCCTTATCTAGAGACAAGCAAGTAGGTTTCACCTTAATATTGCGTTGCCAGCTCCCCTTCCTACTCAAAAGCTTTAGGAGGGATTAAAGTCTTATTGCCTCTTTGGCATTTCCATCTGATCTAGGGAACAGTTGTTAGTCAATGTCTAGCTTTGTAAGCCCTTGCACATGCATGCTACTGTTATACCTTGGCACTCTGTGTTAACTCTGGTATGCTTTACTTACGCCCATGTGAGTGCTTTTAACATCTGGATCCAGGTAGTGAGGGTTAATGTTAAAAGGAACTAAACCTAGGGCTTTCAGGGAAGGTGGATAAACAATTGGCATGTCATTGGTAGTGTTGATGCTGACAGTAGCAACGTTAGTTCCTGCACTGGATCCCATGTAAGGAATCCCATCCTGAAAGACAAAAGCAATGATTAGTATGCAGTATCACAATTGACAACTGCATGTTATAGCATCTTCTGTCAAAATTGGAGACTCAACAGCAAAGTCAGACATCTAGCTCATTTTGCTGCTAATTTTACAGGTGAAAAGCAGAAATACAAGAGCTCAGGGTTTGCGGTGCGCAGCAGTTTATACATATAATGGTTGTCAGAGAGCCAACTATTGGATGTCACTATAGGCATTAGGCTTTGCTATTAAGAGAGGAGACTTATCTACATTACAGTTGTAGAAAATATCTGAAACAGGTGAACTATCTGCTCTTTCGGAAATCAGATCTGAAGCCAAGAACCATTCTGACACACCAGAAATTTGTATATTAAGATGGCCTACCTGACCTTTCTTCTTGTCAGCTGGCCTTTTTAAACATAAAATGGTTTGCATAAATTTGTCTGAAGTTACTCACAGTTTCACAATACTGGGGGAACACCTTGCTTTGGTCTTTTTCCATGGATGGTCTGTTTTTGCTGTGCCTTACGAGATTAACCAAGCCAGAATGGCTGCTGATAGGAGGGGGCTCAATGATGCTCATACGTTGCGATTTTAGATAAAGGAAATACCGAAGGTGAATACACCACTTTCTTTTTTCTTTACTGTATAAAAGGCACACGTAGATCCAATTCTATACTTGGATTATCATTAGGCAACGTGAAGCTTGAACACATCCGTATCAAGCCACAAAGTAGACAAGCTGAGAAACAGGGTTTCTGACCAATGGTTGAGTCCCACAGTGCTCTTCATTGGTGTATGTTGAGGGGCTTACTTCTATATTACAGCACAGCATTGTACATCCCAAGGTCTTGCAGTTCTAAATCTGGGAAACTGCTGGAGAAGGAAAATTTCTGACCCTAGGCTTTTCAGGATTCCATGACTAACAGAAGCTTCATTTGGGCACAGATTTCAGTTCACCGGCTTGCATGAAATGCCTTCTATTTAAGTACATTAGAAACAAAGATGTAGAATCTACTTGTATTTCTCTGAACAAATGCTTATTTGTTTGTCATTTAGCCTCAGCCGATGTCATCTAGTTGTTACCTCAAGAACTCGTTTCCTGATCTCTTGTATCAGTCTGTTGTCATAGAGAGCTTTCAGGAGACGGAATGTATTGCCACCTCCTGCAAAAAAAGTATCCAACTTATTTAACATGCTTTACTCTAAATTTTACATAGGTGCCACTACAGACTTGCCAGACTCAGATCGGTTCAGGACCATATTCTGCTTTCAGCAACAGTAAAACCAGAAGCTTTGGAGAAATGCTTATTTGGCAGGCCATGGGCTCATGCCCTAACTCCCCTTCCTAACAATGATGCTGGCTGTTTGTCAGCAAATAGTACTCTAATACCCTGGAGTATATTAGGACTGCTCAGTCCAACCACAGTAGGCCTCACTGCTCTTAGTCCTGAAAAAGTGATAATTTATCTAAAATCATGTTTTTAATGTTGAAGGGCTGTTTAAGAGAGTAATTTAAAACTTACTAGAGAAGCAGTTCCATTGATTAAATCCCACCTACTTCTATTCCCACCATTAAATTCAGGGTCTTAATGTTCACAAAGTACTATTTTCTGCAGCTTCTAATAGTAAGGCAGGACTTCTCCATTCTTTTCTCTGTGCTGTCAGTTCTACAACAGACTAATACAGTGTCTTATGTAAACCTTCTTTAGGGAGCAAGAAGTAAGACTTACCAATGAATATTGCTTCAGATTTTCTTACAGCTTCCACTGGATCACAAGATTCATGAATGCTGTCCAGCTCATAACCTTAAATTAGAAGTTATTTACCTTTGCCACTTCACTTGGGAGGAAGAATGTACATTCGGTGCTTCCCTCCTGTTATTTCCCAACCAACTTCAAGCCAAATGTCTCACAGTAAAACCAGGGGAATCTTAAGGGCTAGTGCAAGGGTATAATGTGTACCCTACATTAGTGTAGGGCTTCTGTATCCCCAGCCGCACTAAAACCAATGTTAGCTTTATGGAGACGCTGCTCAGCATCACAAAAAGCAGAGCACTTTGCTCAGAAGGGGCTAGCTCAGTGCAAACTGCTAACTCAAAAAAGAGAGGAACACTGCTACTGTTCAGCTTGGACATAGGACTTATTGGGCTGTGCCATCAGTGTTCTGATTTGAACCTATTTTTTATAATGGCTAAAATGTTTGGCTTTGACAGGTTTGCTCTGCTCGGTTCACTGTATGTAGTAAGGGCCAGGAGTCCCAGATGGGCATTTGACAGCAGCAGTCTTCCTGCACAAGGAGGAGTGGTGTGACACCCAAGGATGTGAGTACTGGTTGTTACTGGGGTAACGGGTCCAAGGTTATCCTGAGCAGTGCAGATAAGAGGCAGTTACTGCAATAGACCTGTCTGGAAAAAAACTTTCCTCAAGGCTCACTGCAAAAAACTTCCTCTCCGAAGGCGTTAGAAGCGTTTGCAACAAGATTTTTGCAGAGGCCTCTTGGGCGTCTCCTCCGATGCCGCAGCCCGCCTTCCCCCCGCGGACAGAACCAAGGCGGGGTGCCCCGGGGCGGCTCGGGCCCGCGCCTCCGGGCCCGCCTTACCCAAACTCGCGAACTTCTCCCTGGCGGTGCGGGCGTAGGCGTCCCGGTCGTGCAGCGCGTAGGGCACGAAGAGCACCCGCTTCACCTTCCTGGGAAGATAGAAGGGAAAGGGCGCTGGAGCCCGGCGGGGCGCGGCCCGGGCCCCCCCTCCTCCCCCCCACGCGGCACTTACTCCCCGAAGAAGCTCTGGATGTGCTGCTGGCAGTGGCCCAGGTACCCCCCTCCGTGCAGGGTGGAGTTGGAGACCAGCAGCAGGCGCCGTGGGCAGCCCATGCCCGCCCGCATTCGCGGCCCGGCCCGCCCCTTCCTGCCCCGCCGCGAGGCCGCGGGGTGGGGCCGAGCTGTCGCCACCGCCCGGCCCGGTCCGGCCCCGCCATGCTGGACTTCGCGATCTTTGCCGTCACCTTCCTGCTCATCCTCGTGGGCGCCGTGCTCTATCTCTACCCGGTAATGGCGGCGGGGCCGAGCGGCCCGACCCCCGCTGCAGGGAGCGAGTGGCCGCGGGCTCTCTCGCCCGCGCTGCTGACGGGGCCGGGGCTGCGGCGGGGCCGCGCAGAGCTGCGCTCCATGCTGGGGCGGCCGTGCTTCGCCTGTTCCGTGCCCCGATGAGCCCTTTTAGAAAGGCTGTACGCCTCGGCTTATGGTCTGCGTGTGCGCCGGTCCGTGGGCAAAATCCGGGTGTCGGAGCTACGCTGGAGTCTCCCGTTGAATCAGATGGTTAGAGCCTAGTTTGGCCTGTGGGACCAGGCACACGCTCACAGCTGATCAATTCTGTATAACTCGGCAGGTCTGAGGCCTGAGGATGCGCTTTGTCCAGCTCTGTTTAACGTTTGTGTGTAGTGCAGAAGCATTGGTTTGGGAAATCCAGTTCTCCTGCTAGAAAGCTGTGAAACTTGCCTAAAATCTACATTCAGAAAGGCTGATAGGGTTTCCTTTTGCTATTCAGGCATCCAGACAGGCGTCAGGTATCCCTGGGCTGGCTCCAACTGATGACAAGTAAGTGCTTCCCATCTTAACATTGATTGGGTTCAGCCTTGGTGGTGGATGTTGCAAATGAATAGGTGGCTTCTTTGTGTTCCTCAGGGATGGCAACCTGCCAGACATTATTGCCAGCAGAAGTTTGCATGAGTTCTTGGTGAACCTTCATGAGAAATATGGCCCGCTGGTCTCCTTCTGGTTTGGAAGGCGCCTTGTCGTCAGCCTTGGCTCCATTGATCTCCTGAAACAACACGTGAACCCCAACCGTTCATGTAAGCATCATCTGCTTTGTCTTTGAGTCAGTTTGTTCCATATGGCCTTGCTAGGCATCGTATATCAAAGGAAAGAGAAAGAAAATGAAGCTTAGTTTGCAGCTGACATAGTGATTCAGATATGTCTTTGGTACTGCTTATTGGAATTCAATATTGGTGACCAAGAGCTGCTGCTGCCCAGCAGCTATTGAGAAATTTCTGTGCTTCTGCCTTCATCTGCTGCTTACAGGCAGATGTTTATGGGAAGTTCATGTTCGTTAATCACTGGAAGCAGCCAGTTGAAAATCCTATAGGAAATTGAGATATAATTTAAAAGCAACTTGGAATACAATTTAAGATGGGGAGTTTTACTAAATTAAATCTGAAAAGAGCTGTGATTGTGATAGCTCCCTTACATGGCTCTGTGTGGAGTGTTTTAAAGCCTTATTTCAAGAAGTTCTTTAATTTTCATTTTTGATTGAGTTGCAGAATTTTGTGCTGAAAACTTCTAATGATCTAGACTTGAAAGTGGTCAGTAGAGCTGGTAGCTGAACTGATCTTAGTCTTGTGAGAATGTTTTAATTTCTAGTGAAGCCTCTCAGGTAGATGTTCTACTTCCTAAGGTAATCACAAACAATAATGTAGTTAGGTTGTTTAGGTTTAACCTGTGGTTTTTGCAGTTTTCTTCCTCTCATGTAGATATACGTGCTACTTGCGTACTGCTGATCTGGTAGCACAGGCTCTTTTCAAGCACAGGAAGATGTCAGCTATAAGTTATGCTGGGTTGTGATGAATAAACTTCTTGTACGTTTGCATAAACTTAAAAAAACTGCTGATGCTCTGGGAAAGAAGTAGGAGTTAAAAATCAGCAAGAATCATTGGATAGTGGTTGCACTCCAGAAGGTGGAAGCTCACCCTGAAAGATTTGAATGCACTCAAGTGTAAGCGTGAGTATGTTTGGAGAAGGTTGAGTAGACATTCACTTTCTGAAAGCTCAGAGAAGTGGTGACAGGCCCTTGAGCAAACAAGTTGTCGCAAACATAATGAAGTTGGGAGCGTACACAAATACTGGTGAAACGTTGCCTGCGCTTAAATGTAGGAAGCAACCAAGGCAGCTACAGACCAGTCTGGTCTCCTGTAGATGCCAGCAGTTAAATATATTCATTTTAAAATGTGGAGTGGGGAATGCATTAAAACGTGGTCATGCTTCTTAGATAATCAGACTTCTAGATTAAAAAAAAAAAAAGAAAAAAAAGAAAAAAAAGCATAGAACTGTGTTTCTGGACAGTTGAAAGTGTGATACGTTTCACTAAGAGGAGTGTAAATGTAATCCTAGAGTTGTTTTCAAGTCTAGCACAAAGTATGAAGTCTGTAGAAGTGCTTGGCAGTACAGAGTTCTGTCTCTGTGAGGGGTTTGTCCCTTGTGGGATCACTGATCTGCTGCCTCTGTAGAGAAATAGATGCTTTCCAAATACTGTAAAACAAGAGCAGAATTATGCAGAGGGCAGCTGAAGCAGTGCTGAGTTTGCAGCAGTGAATGTAGCAGTGGTGTAGGACTGCCAGTTTGCTAGGGATTGGGTGAGAAAAATATGGAGCTTGCTGCTGAGCTAGCAGTTTCCTTCCCCTACCAGGAGAACATTGCAGTTTCTGCAGGTGATGGTGTTAAGCATTCTCCTGCCTCTCCACATGGCTCTGCTTGCTAGATTTGCTTTGTGGGCTTTACCATCAGTAGGGCATTGTGGCATTAATAGCAAAACTGCTCCATGGCAAAGTACTATGGAGGGGAAATTGCCAGCAGCAGCTACAGTCACATAACAGTTTGTTCCACATGCAGAGCTGCAGATACCATTTGCAGTGCCACAAAGCACATGCATGTACTTCTTGTTGTTGGAAGTGGGAAATGGGATGATCTGCAGAGCTCTAAAACATTGGAAGGAAAATGGTGTGAGAGAAGAACATTTAGCTCACTGTATTCACACCTCTGGTTTCATTAGCTGTCATGTGATAGTAAGTCCTCTGAAGGTAGGAATTGTCTCATTGGGAGTTAGTTCAGGAGCATAACAAGGCTTTGATCTCTGCTAGGTAGAGTCCACAGTAGGTAGAGTCATGTACGTCTAGCCCAGCTCTCATGTTTTGTGATGCTTTGAAGGTTTCACTCCATCTGGGAAAAATAACAAACTGTGATAAACATTGAAAATCTCTTGCTTGAAACTCTTTGTGTGCTGCTTTCAAATAGCTGCTTAGAGATTCTACTGGTTCTGTGACACTCACAGAAAGAGTCACAGGAACAGGAAAGCATGTCATAGGCTGTGCTCAATTGCACAATTTTGCATTGACTCCTAATGTACTTCACCACATTAATAATGTAGAGGTCCTGGTGGTGAGGTTTGGAGTAAAAGATCTAAATGAAGCAAACTGTGAATACAGAAGATATGGGGGGTAGACCAAGTTGGTGGCAGAGCCATCTAGAACTGGAAAGCTGGGAACGAGCTTTCAAAGCATTTTTACGAAAAGTATTGAGAAAAGCAGCTTGGTGGAGCCAGGAGGCAACCTGCACAGGGGGAGCTGAGCACAGGATGGTACCCTGCCACAGGGAAGAATCTTTATGACATCCTAATCCATGTGGAGCAAGAGAAACTTAGCACCCCAAAGAGACCATGCCTGGTGAAGGAGCCATGCCTTGTTCACCTCCCAAAAGTAGCAGCACTCTGTCGAAGAGCTGCCTGTTTTCATCGTGCCTGTGCAAAAGAGGCTTCTGAATGATGTTTTCTTTATTTTCAGCGGATCCCTTTGAGATGATGTTGAAATCCTTCTTGAGGTACCAGTCCAGCCTGAATGGGGATACAGGGGAAAGCCACCTGAGAAGAAAGCTGTATGAAAGTGCTGTGACAAAGTCCCTGCAAAGTAACTTGGCTCTCATCCAGAAGGTAACTTCCTCTTCTCCAGTGGAGAAACCCTATGTAGCTCACAGAGGAAAGTTTAATGAGAATGATTACTAGGGTAAAGAAGCTGCATTCAAAATTATACTGGAATTTTAAGCTTGGGAGACAGAGAACAGCTTATGCCTGTTCAAGCACTGTGAGCATTTGGTTCTTGTAAGCTCCACTGGGCTGAGAGAAAGTTAGGTTTGGTGACATTTTATGCTAAGACATCAGATGCAATTAAAGATCCTGGAGCATATGGTTTCTGGATTTATTTTACAAGACAGGAGGGAGGAGCAATGAACCAGCTGTTGGGACCACAGACAAGTGGAGAACTGTTCTATTGACTCAGTCCAGCAACTAGTCTTATTTTCTCAATATGGAGCTACTCAGATTAAAGGGTTTAAGGTATTTTCTCTGACGGAGGGAACAGGAGATGGACAGGGCTGTCTTACATTGGGTGAACCATGGGCTCAGGCAGGATATATGAGGGCAGAATATTACTGTTCAAGTTAACAATGAAAGGAAACCCTTGAAAGTGTAGATGTACACCGTGGCCTTGAAAGTGTGGTCTATCTGAGGAACTTAGGGTGGGAATGCATTCAGTTTGGGATATGTTTGGTAAATAGGCTATTGATATTACTGTCAATTAATGGTTCCTTTCTTAAGTTGTCAGAAGAATTGCTAGCCAAATGGCTCTCCCTCCCTGAGGCTCAACATGTACCACTCTGCCAGCATATGCTGGGCTTTGCCATGAAGTCTGTTACCCAGACAGCTATGGGCAGCAGCTTTGAAGATGACCAGGAAGTCATTCGATTCCGCAGGCACCATGATGTAGTAAGTGTCACAAAGAGCCAGGAAGTTTCCTGTACTATTTGTTCAAGCCAACAGCTTGTGTCTGCATGTACAGTTTAGTAAAGGACAGCACAAGCAATTGCTGGGACTTTACCATTAAGCTAACATTAAGCTTTAGAGCTTGAGGACTGTTGACTCAACTATCTGAAGCTAAAACTATCAGAAAGATCCTACTGGTCTTACTGTCGTTAGTCTTAAGCCAGGTATTTCTAAAGAACCAGCAGAAATTGGGATCCAGTGACAATTGAGATGTATTTGGTCTACGTCAGTTAAAATCTCCAGAGAAGGCCAGTGTAACTTCACATTTTCAGAGAACCTTTGAAGGCTCTGTGGCGTTGTGGAGAGGGAAAACCTGAGGAAATCTGAAGCTGTGTTCACATTTGGGAACGTTAAGTCTGTTGGTAGTATGGTGGGAAAGAAGCGGGTTCACCTCTCTCTCAGGGTGGCCATGGCTTTTCCATACAGTTGTAATTACAGGTTTTTCATTTCAACTCAGTTTCAGCTGTTATACATGTAAGAACTAGGCATGGTGTTCTGAAGAGGGCACTAATTTCATTTTCAGAGGACAACTTCATTTTATATAATGTTTTCATTTTACTGAATAAAGCAGAATGAAGGAGTCCCTGCCTGTGGTGAGTGACAATGCTCTTCTCTCTGGCCTTCTTTCAGATCTGGTCAGAGATTGGGAAAGGTTTCTTGGATGGGTCCCTTGACAAAAGCACAACTAGGAAGAAGCTGTATGAAGATGGTAGGTTCTTCCCAAATCCAGTCTTCCTTCTACTTCACTTCTCCACTCTGATTAATGCTTAGGAACTATCAAGCATACGGAAGCACTTGATTTGCCTAGCTGTCTTGGCTTTTTTACAGTTTGTTGTTGTACTGTAAGCTACCTGATGTGTCTTCTTTACTCTTGCAGAAGATTAAAATATATCATTGTTTAGTGGTTCAGAGACAAGCCTGCCATTGTTGGTGTAGTTCTTGTGTCTTTGTGCGCTCGCTACGTGTTCTGTGTCGTATTAACTTTTGACCTCTTGCAGGTAGGCAGCTACTCTTAGGGAAGACCGATGTGTCATTTGGTCATAGTTAATAGTTTAAGCTTTTCAGTATTGACTAATAAGATCTTAAACCAGAGTAGCCTCTATCTAAAGCTAATAAATTAGTTCTAAATCCTGAATTTGTCTGAATTGCGCAACTTAAACTAGACAGCTAGCAGCATGTAGGTCCCTAAATCCCCCTAGTTCCCACAGCAGCCATCAGTAGCTAGTCATCCAGATATCTTGAGATGTGGAACCTTTGTGCCTAAATCCTCCCACACTTGTCCCACTTACCTCTCCCTGTCTATGCCAACTCTTTAGCACCATCTTCCTCTGAAATCGTTTCTGTAGAGCTCCTGGCAAAAGGGAGACCATCAGTCAGCAGAGGTGCCTTAACGCTTGAGTAATTGTAACTCCACAGGCAGTTCAAGTAATGTTATCTGGCTTAAATATTTTAATTGTGAGAGCTGGTTGAACACAGTATGTGATGGTTTAATGCTGATTATTGTTTGACCTTCCTCTACATGGTTTCAGCTCACAGAGTACACGTCTTGGTTAGACCTGTAAAGTTGGCTTTTTATAGGCAACTGGTGATATTTCATTCCTATGTTTTCATCTAAACTAGAAAAATCGCCTTCCAAATGTAATGCTAACAGGTTGCTTCTGTAAGTGAGTCCTACAAGGACAACTGTCTGAAAATCTGTTTGGGGAGATGGTTTCACTTCTCTGCAGCTCTCAGAGTGACCATGATTAAAATAATCATTTCTGTTTCTCCAAAGCTCTGAAAGAAATGGAATCTACCTTACGGAAAGTCATAAAGGAACGCCGAGGCAGATCATTCAACAGGCATGTCTTTATAGATACCTTGCTACAGGGGAACCTTAGTGACCAGCAGGTTTGTACAGATGTTGTGTCATCGCACGCTAATGGAGTTCTACTAGATTAGCATCTTATTATGTTGTAGCCTTTGGTTAAATTTTTGCATTTGAGTGAAATTCCTGACTAATGCAGTGTTCTCTCTGGCTTTTTTCCAGTCCTGCCATGCTTAATTGAATTAGACCTTGGTAGCTTTTCTTGCCACTGTTTCATTGTTATTTTTGTAAACCAGAAGTGTGTTAGTATTAAGCATGTCTGAAGTGCTATTACAGTGGAAGTTCTGTAAGAGAGTTCAGTCTTACAGATGAATTTCCTGCTCTCTGTGCTAAAGAGATTTTGTAGGCTTGAGTGGAGGTTGTGCTGTGCCTTTCTAATTATTGCATCTCATGGACTTCATTCTCTGAACTAGATTTTGTTTCCTAGATTTTGGAAGATACGATGATTTTCTCCTTGGCGGGATGCATTATTACTGCTAACCGTAAGTCATAAATAACTTTCTGTCCTCAGATTCAGCTGTCTAAAACTGACTGTGATGATGTGAGACTTAATCTCAGCTAATAAAAAGTGATATCCATCATTCTGTCTCTCCTGAGCTACAAACAAATAGAAGCAGGTAGTTTTACAGCACACTCAGTACAGCATCACAGCCAGTGAGTTGAAGCTGTGTTTGACAACCTTCTTAGCCTTTTGGTGAGCTTGTTGCTTTTTGCTTGGACCCTTAACCCCTGTCAAGTGATGCTAAATTTGATGAAAGAGCACCAAAAATTGCGAGTCTCAAAGACAGTGATGTACAATGGCTTCTGTTATGTGGGAAGGAAGTTAGAGCAGAGCCCTGAGATGTGAGTGGCTGCTTTGAATTTCTGGGGGATGGGTATATTCCATATATGGAAGAGTTCCTCTAGGGGCTACTTTGTTCTTTATAAGGATTTTGAAAAAGAGGTAAATGGAAATGTGACCTGAAGCTGTGTAAAATCTTTTATAATATGAAGATGGTTTGAACTTAACCCCCTGATTATCAGGTCCTGTATTTCAGTGAATGGGACTGGGACTTCAATCAAAACCTTTCTGTTGCTACTGGATATTGAAAGATATGGAAAGTAAATTTGGCATCTCCATTAACACTATCCCTGAAGATTATCGTCTCCAAATATTCCAGGAAAACAGTCTTTTGAAGGGGCTTGGCTCCTCAGGGGTTGCTGGATAGCGCTCATAAATAGAAGTGGTAGAAACCATTTTGTAGCTTTAGAGAAACTGCATCCTACACACTTATTTCTTAGGCAAGGTTTGTTTCTCGGTGTGCTGTTGAGGATATCTTCTGAGTATCTCACAAGATGGATGTAGAGGAGACAAGTGCTGGCCAATGTGCTGCAGAAAGCTGTACTGTTCTTCTCCTTGCCTGTCAGGAACCCAGACAGGGAATCTTGTGGTGCTGTGAACAAACCAGCCTTTTAGCTGATTGATCTAATAACCCTGGTTTTCCAGAAGGGGTGATTGCTAGAGCATTACAGCCATTTCATGGACCAAAGGGCTGGGAAAAAGACACGCTTTGATTGCTGCTTTGCTGGATTGTGAGGTCTTGAATCCAGGGCTATGAGACTGGATGACTTAGTCTCCTACACAGCTTCCTAAGCTCTTCATAGCCCTAGAAAGAGAATTTAAGCTTGCGGAGTCTCTTGTTACATTGGAGTTCAGCCTCTGCTTCTGACACTGAATATGGAATCAGTACAGTATATTAACAGAGGTCACCCTTGTCTGAGTCAGAAAAATAATGTTGCAAATACAGGAAGCAAAAAGGCTGAATACGGTTAGCAAAGGTTTGAATTTGCTGAATCCAGTGTTGTCTTGATTCCTTCCCCAGTGTGTACTTGGGCAGTCTATTTCCTGACAACATCAGAAGATGTACAGCAGAATCTCTACAAGGAGGTGGACCATGTTCTTGGGAAGGGACCAATTACACACGAAAAAATTGAGCAACTCAGGTGGGTCCCTGGTAAGGAAATGCAGAGGAAGGTTTTCTTGTGAAGTGGGAACCGGGGCTTCATGTGCCAGAGGCTGATGACCAGCCTATGCTGGATCAAAAGAAAGCATCCAAAAGCTACTATGTTTTTTGGAAGTGATCGAACACCAGGATGGCTAACAGCAGAAATAGGATCCACTGTAGGACTCCAAATAATGAGAAATGGGATGCTTTCTTCAAGTTATCTATTAGGAGGCCATTGAAGTTTGTTGATAGGGAAGAAAGCACAGAATTTGTGCCCTACCTGCTTAAAAACACTCTGTGCCAAGATAAAACCTGGAAAGTGTCTCTAATCAGCTACCAGAGAATCCTGTCTGTACCAATGGAACTGAAGTCTTTTAAGGAGGAGGGGTAATTCAGAATAAAAGACTGAGAATACATTCTTCCTCCTATTCTATGTCTCAAAGGATCAGGTTGGCGAAATTGAATGTATGTTCAGTTTTGGGTTCACAGCAATAACAGTGTGAGCCTTGCGTGGGATAGGGCTGCAAAAATGATGAATGGGAGCAGAGATTTACTCCTGATCTTGATTAAGCCACGCGGATGGAATGGGACAGAGAGCAGTGACTTCTTTCCCACGTATAAAGAAACAAAGAGAAAAAAAATTGGTGGCTAGTGATTTATTAACTCTAGGCTTGGGATTTCAGGAATAAAGTCATTGGGACCTGATGTTCCGTTTGATCTTTTTTTCAGGCTGTGGAGCAAGGATGAGAGTTAGCATTTTTATGGATGAACAGATAACGTTTGTTTTTTGTATAAGTGAAGTCTGCTCTGAGATGCTTTATCCCAAGGTTTCAGGGAGAATATGAGAAATCTCAGTTTCCTACTGATGCTTGCTTATAGCACACAATTAGGGTGGAAATGGCTATTTGAAGAAGGAAATTTGTTTTGCGTTCTGGTTTTCTGAGGATAGGAGTAACCAATAATTTTAATTGTAAGTTTAATGTGAGATGAATTTAGACAGAAAGCTTCAAAGAGTATTCTTTTTCAAGGGCTACAGAAGTAGGAGAGTGATTGGTGAATGGGGTGCCTCTATTTTTCACACATCTGTTCATGTTCAGGGTGTGCTTTATATTGGGACTAGTGTTAAGATTTGAGTAAAGGAGTATATCCTACTGCTTCCTGTATGAGTGAGAAATGCTGGAAAAGGCATGTTTACCCTTTCTAGCTGGGTTGGTTTGATTTACGGAAGAGGTGGTATGAGAGACATTTTGATGAACTGATAATGAGATTTAATGCTTATTGAACAGATGCTGGGACTCTTTGTCAAATAAAAATCAAAAAAAAAAGCTCCTCAGCATTGCTGCAGAGACAGCTCCAGGAGCGGACTGGGGCCTTGGAGGGCAGTAGATGACCAAGCTCTCCTTTTCTAGCACAAGGACATGAACAAGCTTCTTTCTGGAAGCGTTAAATTGACCAAGCCTTATTGATTGCAGATATTGTCGGCAAGTCCTATGCGAGACAGTGCGGACAGCAAAGCTTACTCCCATTGCTGCACAGCTGCAGGAACTGGAAGGCAGAGTCGACCAACATACTGTCCCCAAAGAGGTAGGGCAGTACCAGGAGCACTAGGCCGTCCTGCTTTCCTGAAGGGAAATTTTCTTTTTCCTCTTCATCGTATTTCTTTTTCTAGAGGGGTGAGGGAGGAAGACGATTTCTTTTGACATGTTTAACCTGAGCAGATGATCTGTCATCTGAAAGTACTATTTAGTCAAAGTTTGTCATGCAGTTCCTTTATGGAGTAGGCTCTGGGAATTTGTGCTCTCTTCCTGAGCAGGTTGGCTTCTGGTTCTGGGTCCACTGTGAATGAATAACCCTTTGAAGGGGTTTGTGGTCTCAGCTGTGCAAACAAGAGCATGGTTTCAGGCCTAATTATATCACCTGTATTTGCCACATGAGAGTGGAACCTTCCATTGCAGAGAATAAAGAAGCATGCGCATACGTACTAGCAAGAGTAGTGGAATGGGATCTGGCTCTCTCTAACTACCAAGATTTGCAGCATGGGTCTTAATAGGTTAAAATCCTAGCATTTCATTATAGAAATCTGTAGGTGAAAATGACATATAAATGTTTGTAAATGACCTATTAAAATGAGTGGTCAATAGAATAATTGTTGCCTTGCAGAGCCGTCCAGGTGTAGCTTAAATTGTGCGTTTTGTTCTGGTCTGACATATGTATCCTCATTTTTTTTGCAGACACTTGTACTTTATGCTCTTGGTGTGATGTTGCAGGACAGTTCATCTTGGCCATCACCATACAAGTATGTAGAATCAAGGCCTTTATTCTTTCTCAAATGAATTCCTTTCCTTTTTTTAATTAATATTATCTAGATAGATACAGATCTATAGAATTATAGATCTTCTTTTCCTTTTTTTAATTAGTATTCTATAGATCTTGTTTCCATGCAGAATCTTCTTTGCTGCAGAGCCTGTCTAAGCAGATTTTGGAGATGAGAGGGAGTCCGTAAGAAAGTGGATTTGTGACAATCCTTGTCTCCTTGGGCAGGAGTTTGGGGCAGTTCAAATCATGATCCTCCTAGACTTTTTGTATGTGTGTATGTTAGAGGTTTACAAGTTTGTTTGTTTGTTTCCACACACCCTGCTTAGGCAAATACCAGTAAATTCGTCTTAATGTTTTCTGTGACAGAGGGAGGTTTAAATTTGAATGGTTTTGGAATCACTGTCAGCATGAAACGATGAAAGGGAGGCAATGTTTGACAGAAATTTTGTGTTTTCAGACTGAAGGAAATGCTATCTCATTACTTTGTCTGTGGAACAAAGCTGGATCCAGGATAGTATATTGGAAGTTTAAAAAAAAAAAAAAAAAAAAAGTTGTAGCTTACTGTGGCCTCTGGATGGCAAGTATTAACATTAGTTTTGTTCATTTGGGCTGGAAAAAAAAAAACGTGGGTCAGTTATTCTAGAGAGAGAAAAAAGAAGGCAGCTGAAATCTAGGAAAAGGAAGAAGCCCTTAGAGCTTGTTCTCTCCTTCATGCTCTTTCAAGAGTCAGGCATTGATGATCCATCCTATGAACATCTTGGCAGGGATTGCCCAATAGGATGGGGCATGCACTGTGCTTAGGAGGGTTTCACTGGGGCAGCATGTAAAGAAAGGTGAGGACTGCTGTGAACACTGTTTTTATTCCAAGAAGAAGGAGAGTTGAGGTTGTGATTGTATTTATGTGACAGAGATGGGAGATCTACGCTTTGAAGTCCTTTCACCCATCTACCTTACATATAACCTCTGTGTTTGTTTGCCTTTTTGTTTGTTTGTTTGTTTGTTTGGCTGAACAGCTGTGATTTCCTCCCTTTTTCAGTATATGTGATTTGTCACTTCAGGGGAAATGTAAGCATGATGTTGCTTTAACTGAGGGACAACATCCACATGACTTTTCATCTTAATAGAAGCAGAGCTTGGATGTTTATACAAGAAGTCAAAGGCTTGAAGCACAAGCAGAAATATTTAGTAGAAAATGAAAGAGGACTGACTACCTTCAATCCATTATGTTATATATTTTATAATCCTGTTTGGTTTTTTTAAATTATTATTATTTTTCTGTAATAACTTATATTTAAATTGAATGGTATTTTATTGACCTCCTTTTGGTTAGTTGATTATGGGAACCTTGTTTTAACTTGTGAAAACCCTGGATAATAGTTTTCTTACAGCCTCCACCATACTAATGCTGGAAGCCACTTTTCTCACTTGAGTGAGTCACCAGCTTCCCTCCCCCAGCATATACACACACACCAGCTGCTTCAAGACAGGGGCAAGGGAAAAAAAGGAAAATATTTTTGGAGGTGAGAGAGGGGGAGGAATGCAGAGAGACTGGTGGGATAGAGAGGGAAGATAAATCAGATTTGTGTGTGTGCCCCGGAGGGAAATGGAGGACATGTAGCAGCACCAGCTCACTTGTGTACTCGAGCTAAATACCCACTGCTAAGAGGTAAAGCGTACTGTTTCCAGCCCTGCATCACACTCAATTATTAAGCACTTTGACCAAAGTGGGACACAGCTGACCAACAGAAAACGTAGATGGAGTGGATGCACAGTCACCTTCCTATACCTGTGTGGAATTACCTAGTATAATTTAGAGAGAGGACTGATGCTTTTTGCAGTTGAGTCATTGCCAGTTCCTTACGGTGATGTGTGTGTGACCATGCATCCAGAGGAAGGATTCTGTGCTCACTCAGTGTGTTTTGTCTTTCACAGATTTGACCCAGAGAGATTCAATGAGGATTCAGCCATGACAAACCTCTCCTTGTTGGGTTTTTCAGGAAGCCAGGAGTGCCCGGAGTTGAGGTGAGCATTAGAAAGCAGGGTTTTTTTGTGTTTCTGTGATAGAAAGAAAAGGAGGTTGTTTCAGTGTATTTCAGTCCAGACAGGCAGTTGTTTTTTGGCAGATTTACTTCATAGCAAGTTTTTTATTCTCTTTTCTTACCTTCTTCCTCAGGTTTGCCTATATGGTGGCTACAGTTCTGTTGAGTGTCCTGGTAAGAAAACTGTACCTTCACCCAGTTAAAGGACAAGTCATGGAGACCAAATATGAGCTGGTAACCTCACCAAAGGAGGAAGCCTGGATAACGGTGTCTAAGAGAAGCTAAGAACAAGCAAAACAAGGGTCTGGAAGTGCCAGCAGTGAAGTTCTGGGCAAGTGTCTTAAAGGCAGTCATGCTGGCAGCACAGTGACTCAGCCAAGGAATTTTAAATGCAGATTTTGTTACCTTCCACATTATTAACTGCATAGCCTTCTAGGGTAATTTTTTCTAATTCAACCAATAGTTGTATTAAAGTAGATGTAATCTGTATGCTTTTTTACACTTTTTGCCCAAAGGATTGCAAAGGAAGCAACAAAACCAAGCAGTGGTGTATCTATGAACTGTTCTGTGCCAGCTAGTCGAAGACTGGGCCTCTGGTTAGTCCTGCCCCTTCCTAACAGCAGGAGGATCTGGTGGGTAAGAGACTGTGCTGCAGGGCATGCTTCTTCATGGATAGCAAGTAGATAAGACCTTGAAGGCACAAGGACAAAATCTTTCTCTCTATATAGGTATTTTTATTCAAAGTGTCTTTCCTTCCCTTGAGCTATAGCTATAACTGTCAAGAAGAGCAGATACATCTTGTGGGAAGTATGCGTGAGTGTGTGTGAGAGAAAAAGAAAGTGGGGTGAGAATTGCACCATCGGGTCTCATGCTACATATGTAATCTTCCTGTGCTGTAGGATTGCAAGAGGATGGATGGCTGAAAAATGCTAGTAAACGAGGAGGAATAAAATTGGTTTGGCCCCTGAGAAAGCAGAAGCATTAGTAATAACATAATGAAATGAAATAAAACCACAGAACAAAGCCCTGGGAAAGGGATTCTCCATCCTGACAGTTCAGAGAGCAGCGTCTAATCTAATCAGCATCAGAAATTGATGACAGGTGCTTGCAATTCATTCGTCACTCGGCCAGCAATGAGATTGGTCATGCAAGTACTGGAAAGGAAGAGTGCTGATTTTATAGGGCTCTGAATTAATGTTGTGGTTAATAAGTTAAAAGCCTTTCAAAGAACCTTCCTCCTCCTCCAGAACAAGTGCCAGCCAAAGCAGCATCACATGCCACTCATTCACGTGCTTTTCTGTGCTTCTTTCTTTCTCTCCTGACTGTGACAGATTTTTGAGCACCTTGCTGAATAGCTTTCAAGGCAGGGGCCTCTTACCCCTTTATCTTAGTACTAGTATTGCCATCTGACCTATTCAGGTTATGTTTCTTCTATTTCCCATTTTATATAGGATCACCCTTTATCTAATCTTGATCTTTTCTCTGTAAATGTAACTTCTTTGTTAGCACCCTCCCCACCCAAACGCTGTGTTGTGTAGGTGAATTGTTACTCAGCCTGCAGCTGTGTATGCCTGAGCTGTTTTGCACAGCTACTGATGCACCCCACAGGGAGGTTCAGGGATGTGTAGCTTCCATTAGAGCTACTTTCTACTGCCTAAGCAAACAGGAGATGCTTCACATAGGGACATGGATGTTTTATTTATCTGGGTAGTTGCAATCCCCAGTGCAATTCCCAAGTGCAAACATTGTTCCTTTCTCTGTCTCTTCCGGGTCAGGAAATCAGCTGCTCTTACAAAAATGTTTTGGCTGTTGGATTCCTGCCAAGTGCTGTTCTGAATGCAGTTCTGTCTGCTCTTGAAGGGTTAACATTTGGTGCCAGCCTCTGTGGGCACCAGACAAAGAAAATTCTGCTTTTGGGTTTAGTATGTCAGCTCTGCTTTTGGTGAAGCCATGGAGATTCAGATTCTCCCCCCACAGTGCAGCGTGTGTTGGGGGAACAGTAGGACATAGATGCTGTTGTGCTGTTTTTTGTCTGCTGGGCAGAAAAAGGAAGGTTGTGCAGTTCATCTTGCTGCCTGTCTTGCATTGATTTTTATAATGAACTGCAAAAAAGCTCTTGCTAATCTGACCTACATTTAACTGAAGGTTGGTCATTTCCCCAGATGGCAATTCGTGTTAGCCTTTGCTTCGCTGCTTATGCAAAAATGCCTACTTTTCTTGAAGATTGCAGATGTTTTTTAGGCCTTGTGGAGAAATCTGCGTGATAAAGGATTTTACTTTAAAGCATCCCTAGTGTACAGAGGAAGCAAAATGGAAAGGAAAATAATGGTAGAATAGCACTGCCCTGCTAAGAACCAGACTAGAAATTGCTGACTTGGTCACATAACAGATCTTGGTCACTCAATTTTCATAGAGCCATCTGGTAGGAATGAAGCTTTCAGACACCAGAAAAGCTTCCCAGGGGTGATTGTTCGTACTTCTTTTAACAGTATTTCTCTGCCTTTCTGGAGCTATATGGGCCAAGTGCCTTGCAGCAGTTGCAGGAATAAAAGGGAATAATTCTGTATAATTTGCTAAGAATTTTCAGTCTGTACAGGTATTGCATCCTAAAAGACAGTACTCAGTCTGGGCCATGTTTCCAAACATGCTACAGGAGTCTGTGGCTGACAGGAGGGAAGAACGTGGCCCAAAGTGGTGGACAAGGCCAATGATCAGTTTGTGTTTGCTCAAAACTGCTGCAGTCAAGAAAAGGCCCTGACTCATCATTTCAGGTTACGTTTTGAGCTTTGGAAGGAAGGAGAGAAGTGAGCATCTATCAGACGTTCCTTATTCATTGCTCAGAGTGACACCAAGGACATGGCCATATTGTTTGCTGCAGTCTGTAAGTTTCCATTCCACAATTTGTGACAATCATTTCCGACAGCCTAACTATCAAGGTAAAATGCACTGGTGATCAGCCAAACTGTAGCTCCTCCTATTGTGCAACAAAGACCCTTCTTCCTATGGGAACGTTCATGGATCAGTTCTTTCTCATAGGGTTTTAGTATGTTCCAGCTGGAAGCTTGAAATACTGGTTTTGTTCCATTTCTCCCCTCACCCCTTGTCTCATGTCAAGTGGTACTTTTTTGGCCTCTTTTTCTAAGGAAGATGTAGTCAGGTTTGCCTCTCACCCTACTTACGTCTGACCATTTTCTCCTTTTCTCCTTTTCCTACAAGAAGTAACTTCTAAGCCTTTGGATCAAATTAGCTGCATTTGTCAGGAATCGGGGTTTGAAATCTCAACAGAAATTTATCATATGCATACATATATAATACAGGGGACTTTTGCTTTTAATGCTTCATATCTCTACATCAGAAAGCTACTTCACAACTTCCTCTGGGTGGTTTTGAAGAGCATACAGCGAAGCTGTTATTTCATTCCTTGGACTATTACTGCAGAACAAGCTTTAACAGAAGGCTGCAAATTAATGGAAGGCAAGAGGCTAAATATATCTCGGTGCCTGTGCAACCTGCTGCTATCAGAAGTAGGCAGCCAGCACGGGTGCTGGGAGCAGTCAGGCCGTTGCAAATTGACTCTCGTGGTTAACAAAGGTTTGTTAGCCTCATCTTGGTGGCAACTGGTTAAACAGTTAACGTAACTTTGTGGAGTAGACAGCTTGTTGAGCTAGCTTCCTACTGCCTCCAAAATAACCCTGAGTGGCGTTACATCTAGGTTTTAATTAACCTGGGCTGCATGTAGAGCTGTTATTGCAAAGTAGTAATATGTGTCTCCTTTTCCCAGCAGTTTAAGGACTTGCTGATAATGGCAGTGGCATGCAGTGTAGGGCTGAGGGCTGTACTTTTTATTTTGTGCCCTGTGGAAAGGGTGGTCTTTGCAACTTCTGTCCTGTTTGCTGCAAATGTAAGTGTTGTTTGTTGGACAGAGTGGACATTTGGTGATTTAAAGTACCTCCTTGGGGCTGCTCTTTTGCCAGCTCCCCCATTAGCCAATTACATGAACTAGGGGATGCTGGCAATGCAAAGGTGGGGAAACTGCGTATTTATCTCACTGCATAGTTCATTCATCAGCATTTTGGTACTACTTGGTCCACAGTTACTTAGTATTGCCATCCTGCTATCTCAAGTGCTGTACACATTCTCACTGAAAAAAGGTCGTCTTACATCTCACTGGGGCCATGGCTGACCTTCCCAAAGTTTGTACTCTTGCTACAGGAAGGGCTTCCTGGCAGGCATCCTTGGATATGGATGTGTCTTGGTCAGCAGAGTGAAGTCTGCAGATTACTGGCTTACTTTATGTGCTTGGATCCTTTTGTAAGGCACATGTAAGTGGGTAGAGCAGTACTTTCATAAAAGTACTGGGAGCATACAGGACTTCACCCATTTCCGTATCAAGAGTGAGAGGAAAGGAGAAAAAAGATCTGTAAAGAGAACAGAGATGTTCATCACCAGTGGGTCATGCCACCAACAAGTGGAACTGCTGTAGTTACCATGGCAGCTCGTTGCTACTTTCCTCTTGTCCAAAACAGAAATTGCTGGAAAATATTACCGCCACCTTTTTCTGTAGCATGAGAATGTGCACCCACTTTGGCATCTCTCTCTAGATTAGCTCAGGACTGTTTCTTAGCAGGCAGCCTTCAACTGAACAAAAGGCCTGTTTGACATCTCTTAAGATTTGATGCCAGTTTTTTGGTGATAGCAGACGGAGAAGAGGAACTACCACACACAGGGGAAAAAAAAAAGATGAAAATGTTTCTCACATATGGAGGGTGGGGAAGGAGAGAAGATAAGGGTTTCCATGGCAACATTCCTTGAAGATAAGTATTTTTAAATCTGTGTGAATTTTAGCATTCAAAACACAGTTGAGTTTCCCACAAAAAGATTTAGAGGAGGGTGGAGCGTAAAGAATCTTTTCCCATATTTTTCAGGTCATTCCTTCTTTTGCTGAGGAGCCTGATCCCAAGATAAATGAAGTATATGCAATTGCTCTGATGTTAATGCTCCTGTTAAAGGAAAGTCTTTCCAAGGGGCGAGAAGTATTGGTCAAAGTTCTGTATTTGCACTGGCAACTCTGGCCAAAGCATTTGATCGTCTCTTTAATAGGAAAAGTAATTTAATTAGATCAGTGCTAGGCCAGTAAGAAGCCACAAGGACAAATTCCGGGTTAAATGCTATGTAATTCAGAGCATGATCTACACAGATGACTCTCAGCTCAGTGATAGTGATGATAGAGTGATAGAGGTCTTGGCCAAAGACGAAGGGATGTAGCAGAACTGAATGCAGAGGAGCCAGACGCAGTGTGTCCCTGGTGAGTGCCTTGTCTGCAGCAATGACAGTGAAACATCACTGCAGGTAAGCAGCGGATGTTCCTGTGACGCTATTAGGCAAGACATGTTTGTGCTGTTTATTGAGTATCAGTGCTGGGGTTGCTCCTTGAAGCTTTTTTCTTCCATCTCCGCGTTATTGAGCTCCTTGTGGGCACTGGCATGCTGTGCTCCCACCTCTCTGCTAACACCCAGGCAGGTCAGCTCTGTCACAAGCCTGGCAGTGAGACAGACAGCCAGTGCTATGCCTGCTTGGCTGCCAACTTTCTCATCTCACCAAAAAAGGCTTTTTTTTTTTTTTTTTTTTTTTTTTTTTTGACAGTCACTTCCAACTCAGTAATGACTCAGACACTGCAGCAAGGGTAAAATGATCATCTTCCCTTTCAGACTTTTACGGCAAAAGGCCCTGGGTGGCCTCTCTGAAAAGCCAGAGCTTGCTGGGCAAAGCTGTTGGCTGGATTCAGTTCTTTAATTTAACGGATCGAACTGATGCTCCTACAGTGCTGTATATCTGCTGGCTCAGAGTCTGTGCTTCAGCAGTAGACGAAATGATTCCTACGAACTATTTGTGTTCAGCAGTCTTGGGGAGAGGTGGCTGGGTGGCAAAGAATAGCTGCACATAAAGAGAGGGTGCTGTTAGCTCTCAGGCTCTGTCCCAATATGCCTGGCCATGAATCGAGGAAACAACACTAAAGAGGAAAGCAGTAAACCATGTTTGGGCACTTATTTTTTGAGGTAGCGAGGGGAAGCAAATAAGAATGTCTGAAAAAGCAAAGTTCATTTTGTCAGACTATGGAAATCAGCACCTCAGTATTGTTTTGTTTTGTCTGAGACCTTGATACAGAATGAACTCAGATCTAGGTAAGGCAAGTTATCAACATCCTTACATCTTCATTGATAAAGCCTAATGGGCAGCGTGGAAAAATCTGAATTTTGTCACTCTTGGATTCTCTATTGGAGTTCAGTGTTATCAAGTCAATTATTTTCAATTTTGGAACAAACATTCATGCCCTGATGTCAGCACTAGCATGACGATGCATTTGTAGTTTCTTGGACTGAAAAGCAGCTGACTTGCTGATGCAGGAATTACTAGCTGCAAGTTATTGATTAAATATATCATGTTTATTCCTTTGCTTTAGTTAAGGCTGCTGTACCTTTTGTGCTATACTGGTGCTCTTGTTCCACGCATTTGCCTTACAGCTGAACCCTGGAAGATGCAGAAACTCTGGAATATCTAAATAACAGAAGTGCAGGAATTTCAGTCCCTGCTCGGCAATCTTCAGCATCCAATGTGTCACAAGCTGACTCTTATTCATTCTCAGTTGCTTGTAAGTTAGCCTATTACAAAAATGGGTTTCAGGACACCATGGGCAGTAGATGGCTGTAAATGGATTGCTGCTGTGCCAGGGAGCAGTTCTCTTGTTGCACCACTTATGAACGTCCACACGTAGCTCTAAGCCCCACAAATAGAGTTTCCAGGCAAAAAGCCCTTCCTTTAGTCAGGCTGCCTGCTTGTGCTTGGGGAGAAAGATTGTTTGTTGCCCGCTGTGTGGCACATTAGCTTCTGACCACGTCCTGGCTCTGATGCGGTTGTCCTGCTTTTGCAAGCTCTTCCAGGAGCCTGAGTGGAGGAAAAGTGCCTTGAGAGAAGAACGAAGTGTGTGAGTTAATGGGAGCTGACAGGGATGCCTGCAAGAATACACCGTCGCGTATTATGAAAAAGCAGCTGAACCAATGGTTACAGCTGCCCCACGTTTACTGGTGAGCCGGGTATTTGCTAACAGAAAGTATTTGGAACACTCAGCATTTCCACTGTGCAGAATTGATATTAAATTTGTAGGAGTGTGCACCTTGATTTTGTGGTATTCTTCTAAAAGGAAGGAGCAAACTCACTGCTTGCTATCAGTTTGCTCTAAATTAACCTCCGGCATGGGCCTGAGCCTGCAAACCTTTGTATGACTGTGACTGTTATTTATGCTGTGTGATTGCACTGAGGGGCACTGACTATTCATATGTTAGCCTAGCATATAGCTGTGACTTTTACAAACCAAGTTTTTGAAATTGTTTAGGTGTTTGAATTTTGAATACCCCACTAAGCACTTGTCTGGCTAAGTGCCTAGAAGTCTCTGCAAATCCAGTATAGCAACAACGGAAAGAAAAAGGGGATGATATATAGTGGTTGCTGGATCAGGATTCTGGTTTGATATCCCAATAGCTGCATAGCAGCAATAGCTAGCTAGGGCTTATTGCTGTATATGCCACAGTTTGTAGCGAACCTCTTTTATGCTTAAGGAAGCTTGATGGTGACTTCTGCACAGTAAAGGTAAAAATACTGCAAACCTACATCCTGCATTAGCCTTTATGTATTTTATAGCTGTACCGTTCCGGTGTGGTAAACTGAGCGGAGCAATCACATTTTCTCAATTACCCTCAAGAACTGGAAATCCTTATCACCTCCCTGTTTCTTTCTCCCACTGCTGTGCTGGTCTCGAAATTGTCATCAGAGCTAAAAATCTTCATTCTGTAAATTCAACCGTGACTTAAAAAAAAAAAAAAGGTAACAGTGCAGCTTCCTCATAAAACTCCACCAAGTCTTTTGCTGATGTGACTCATTCAATTACTCATTTGGGCAGAAGTTCTGATAATAAAAGTAGTTAATGTAAAGCATTGAGAAATACTGCTGGTACCTGAGGAGGCAGGGGAGCAGGGAGGGAGGGAGGCCACTGTGGGCATTTTATCCGAAGAGCTGCTGAATTCACCAAGCTCCCAGACATTTATTTAAGTGAAGAATTTCTCTGTTGGTTTTTTTTTTCTTTTTTAATAGCTTGAAAAATCAAATTGGCTGTAGAGGAGCAAAAGTACACCAGCTGTGTATGTGTGTGTGCTCCTGTCCTCCCCTTCCTATGTACTGGAAATGATAGCCAGTCTGTGCCCCAAATCAATCTCTTTATCCTAGCAATGTATATACTTAACACTCAATACTCAGTAATGAGCTTTGGATTCCTGAATCAAGGAGCACAGCTACCAAGTGGCTAAATGAGCCCGTTGATTGGAGATGTTACCAAGGACCAGATTTTTCTAGCACAAATAATAGGCCACTGAGGTTTGGTTGTGTAATACTGCTACCAGGCAGACATTTCAGTGGATGTACACTGGAGGAATGTGGCATCTTTTGGAGCTGTTGGGACAGGAAATTATTAAAGAATAGTGAGATACTACATGAATGTGGAAGCAACCTTATGCAGTGAATTCATACTTGTCTCCTTGAAACCATCACACAGAATTAAGCCAAAGCTAGTGTACTAGTGGAAGCAGACAAACTGATTAGAGCTGGGGACTGGCTGGCATTTGCAGAACAGCCAGAAGAATTAATTTTTCTGAGGCTGCTAGATAATTGAGGGGGATGACACCCAAATGGCTGTGTGACCCCCTTTGGACAAGAAAGATGTGTTTGAAAATGGAGGGTACATGAGGATGTGCTCATTTCTCATGCAAGATGAGGTGGGAGGGAGACTACAGCTTGACTTGTAAGATAGAGCTTCTGGCACAGAGAAGCGTTGCATGGGTGTTGAGGCTGTGGACCTGAGTAAGTAAGCTGTCAGATTATATTTAGCAGATATGCACTGCAGAAAAGCGCAGAGAGAAGGAGGGGAACTAAAGCATAGCTGGGCTCCGTGGGTAAGCGAGCACACAGAGCAAGGAATGAGGCTATTTAGAGAATGAATTGCCTTGGTGCTCCTGATTCAAATAAATCTCTGTGTGAGGCCAGGGTTGTGCACAGACCTGTATGATGTCCCTGAACAGCAGAACTCAGCTTTGTTTATCCTTCAGTAATAGCTCAGCTACAGACGCTTAGATGAAGGGTGACCAACCCATGGCCTTTGAGCCGTTCACCTCTAGCCCCACAGGAGGGTTGTCTCCTGCAGCAATACCATTACCTGGATGTGGAAGCAGTAGGGGCTCTTGAAACCAGTGTTGCAGCTGCTGTACATCTCAACTGCTCACAGCGCTAAAGAGACAAATGTGGAAAAAATAAGTATCTTGTATGAGACAGATTAAACCCTATATGCTGGTTGATGTGTAGTAGTTGGTTGTTTGGATCCTGTTTTGTACTCCAGGACTACATTTTGTCCTGAATCTCTGCCTGCCCATGAGGTGATAGCACCGGTGCAGTAAGTTGGCCTGATGTGGGCTGCCAAAGGAAGGGAAGGTGTGTTTTTCTTGGGTATGTCCATCATAAAATCATAAATAATGGAGCTTTCTCATGATTAGACTCCTGCTTTCATCATGGTTCCAAGATGCAGGATTGCATGCACATGACTTCAGAAATCTGCTCATACACAGGGAAGGAAAAGAACTGCAGAGAGACAGCTTGTCTCATGTGAGAAATTTGTGCCAGATGTGTGCAGTGACCCTATGCTACCTGAGAATCAGGTCACTCCTTTAACTACGAAAAGCAACCTTATGCTGATCTGCAAGTAATGTGCAAATCACACCAATGCAGGGTGGTGCTTTTAAGTGCTCTGGTGGAAAAGCTGGAGAAACATTTTTTTTTCGTAGCTAGACAGGTAAGCTGATTTTGGTGGGGTGATCAGCTATCCACCAGTAAGGCTACATGCCCACAGAAACATTTAAGTTTGTATTCTTTTCAAAGAGTTAAATCTGAGCTCCTGTGCAAGACAAAGTGGTGGAAAGAGGAAATGTCTTCTTGGGACCTCAAGTAAAATGTTTTTAAGCCAACATACAGATGTCAGCTTTCATTGTGCAGTGTCCTGATCGTCTGTGGGAAAGGAGATGTGTGGCAGTCTGCAGCCAGAGAGAGGAGGACGAGGCAGAGGAGCTGTGTTTTGATCAGTGCCTTGTGGTTTGAGAAACAATGAGTCCAATTCATGAAACTTGAAAAGGAGCAAAACGTGTCTGCAAGTATGCTATTAAAAAATAATAATAAAGAAAATCCCGTAGCCCAACAAATAGAAAACTAAGTAGAGCTGTGAAACTTACGTGGATGAAGTCAGAGTTCCAGGGTAATAAGTAAAAATGGTTAGGTGGGGAGAAAAAGTTCACAACTTAGAGTTGTGGGAATGGTTTTTTTTGTGTTTGTTTTTGTTGTTGAAGAGTGCTAGTGATAAGGCTATTGTTGGAATAGCATGCGTATTTCACTTGTGACTGATGTTTGCAGTGCATCTGTCACACGATGTGCCTTGTTTTGCACTGCTATCAGCCAAAGCAGGCTGGCCGGGGGAGAGAGAATATCTCATTCTCATGCATTTCGTGTCTTTCCTGCATGCCCAGTTAGGAGCCCAAGTCCCATCAAACCAATGCCTGAACACTCAAAGACATTAACAAGGACAAAATTTCATCCTCGTAGTCTTCAGTGGGAGATTCAAATGCAGAAAGCAGAAATGGGTCATCCTCTACCTTTGGCTCTGCCGGCTTACATGGGGGAAGAATTTGGCCCCTTGTGTTCAAAATGATTTAGATCTGAAATACTTGTTTTTCTGCTACAGCTCAGCCCTGTGGGGATGCATGCTCTCTGCATGACTTGCCACATAAAGGCACAGAGTCTAGGGTACAAAAAAACCCCAGAAATCTAAAATGTAGATTCTTTCTAAGAGCATAAGAAGTTGCATCCCTGTTATATTTTTTGAGTCTTCATGAAGGAAGGAGTCAGAATAGATGTTAGAAGTGGAAAAAAAAAAAAAAAAAGATGAGAACAAAATTCTACTTGCAAGCCTGTTCCATGTAGCTCTGGATCCGTTTCGGAGAACCTGGAGACTGGTGACCAAGTGTTTTCTCATACAATGGAGAAAAGTTGGGCAGTGGTGGTCACCTGTGTCACATTCCTCTCAGGTTTTCCATAATCATGTGTGTTAAAGCCCCTACTGGACGATTCTTCTCAACTATGTTTGTAGATAACTGTAATATTCAGTCCTTTGTTGTACACGCATTCAGAAATGTCACTTGCAATAAGCATCATCCACAACCTGTCCCTGAGAGAGAGATGTAGAAAGAGATGGAGAGAGTGGGAGAGAGTGTGTGTGTGACATGATATTAATGAGCTGACAGCTATACAGCTGAATTTGCCTTACACCAAATCAGTATCAAACCTGCCTTAGTTGTAAGTCCTGACCCTTTGGTGTCTGCACCTTCAAACCAGACAAAAAGAGCCACTTAACAATATCAGCCTCTTGCTTGGCCCTGTCCACTGTATCACAGCCATGTTCTTCATTGCCTGGGAACTGTTGTTGTTCTTACTTCTGTTCAGCAGAACAAACCAGGGTGCTGACCTTGTGACTCTTGACTAGTTTGTGACAGGATGGGGATAGCTTAGACTGTAACTCTTTACTGCTGGAAACTCACTTGTGATTCAGAGATGTCGTGGATTTTGAGATAAATGAATTCTTTATGCTCCCCCTCAGAGACGACAACATGGGAAGGCCTGGCTGCCTTCTGCATATAAATGCTCTGTCAAACCAATTCCAGGCTGAGGTGGGGGAAGCTGATGGGGCGCCATCATTCTCTATCTCCTGTTAGTACTGCATCCCTGAGATGTGTGCTGTTACCATACAGTCTAAGGCACCTGTGGGTTCAGCAAGGGCTGGAATGATCCCTGGTGCTGGCTGGGGGCAAGGGCAGAAAGGATAAAGATGGAGGTGCAGATTGATGGCAAACAGAAGCTGTGCAAAGAGGAGCTGCCTTCACAGATAGTGAGAGTGCTTGACCAGATGTGTGATGGAAGCAGGAAGGATGGCTTCACAGATGTGGTTTATTATCCTTGCCATGCAAAGCAGTTATGCTCATTCAGATACAACACACGGTTGTTTGTTGGCTCCTATGAATATAAAAATCCCTACA